TGTGTGTGTGTGTGTGTGTGTGTGTGTGTGTGTGTGTGTGTGTGTGTGTGTGTGATCAAAGTAGAATGACTGCCAGGGAACACAGCTATATTAAGCAAATTCATGAGAACAGCGCTGTGAGTAAAATCAGGAGTGGGGGTGAAATATATGACGCTGATTGAAAGCAGATGATAGTGTGTGTGTGTGTGTGTGTGTGTGTGTGTGTGTGTGTGTGTGTGTGTGTGTGTGTGTGTGTGTGTGTTGCAAAGTGAATCAGCTGCTCTGTGGGGGCTCCTTGCTACGTTTGATGTCACAGGATGAAAAGAGCTCACAAATAACAGGATTTTAATCGCATCAGCCCGAGGCTACAGAAACACACTCACTCACATCCCCGCAGCCACATTTCCTTATTATCATTCTTTTGGTCTAGTTTTTTGGAGTGAGGATGACATTTGTTTTTTTGCAGGTACAGCAGGTTATTTTCAGCGTGCTGTTCCCGGAGGAGGGAACAGGAACAGGGAGGGAGGGAGAGGAGCTGTGGGCTGTCTACATAAATCATCCCAGGGTAGAGACATGTTATGCTGGAGCTGACCCAGAAAAGTGATTTTTTTTTCCCCCTCATGAGCTCACTCTGCAGAAACCCCATCAGCTCCAAACTCTCGCGGTGCTTTGCGTTGCTCCCGCTCCATCTCCTCAGATGAAAAACGGGACTCGCATCGCAGGCAGGCTCAGCTGACGCGGCGCTGGGATCAAGCTGCCACAAAAAGAGGTGAGGAGGTGCTGTTTATTTTTATTTTTTTAACTCATCTGTTTTATTATTTCCATTAAACGATCAAAGGAAAGTAAGATTTCCCCTCTCTGCGCGCACCTCTGCTCCGGGGCTGAGCTCTACTTTGACACCTAGATGCCGCCGGGCACACTGTATGAGCAGCCTACATGGATGAGACCACAGGCTGTTTTTTTCTTTTTGCTCCATTATCTCCACGTTAATGTGACTAACGGCTCCGCGCGACGCCGTGTGTGGCTGTGAACCGAGAGCCACATGACGAGAGGGCTTCCCGGCGCGAGGAACAGCCCGTTCCCGCGGCGCTGCTCTTCCGTCAAAGGCTACATTGTGTCCGGTCTGGCATCCGCTCGCGGCTGCTGCGGACAGGACGGTGTGATTTATCCGCCGCTGGGTGAAGCTCCGGCCGCTTTCGTGGCTTTTTTATTCTGTTGTCTACACCGCGGGTTCGATACCAGCGATAACGTGGCGCTGAACAAAACGCACGCAGGGGAACTACGGAGCAACTAACCTCCAGTATGTCTCGATTAACAGCCGCTTGCGTCAGTTAAAATAGCTTGGAGACTTGCTTATATGGTGTCGTCCAAAAATAATGTCAACACAGAAATCTGCGAGAACCGAGAACTAAGACATTTAAAGGGTCATTTCGCCTCTATATCCTTAGATATGGTTTTAACACTTCTTTCACCACTTTAACACCGAGTCTTTACCACTGTAGAATCTCAATACAGGAGCTCCATCCTGTTATAATACTCCCAAACTAGCCTACATATACATATAGTCTACTACGAAGTATGAAGACTATTATTATCAAAATATGGATCAACTATCAAAAGTCAAAGTATTCAATGCAGAACCATGGCTCCTTTGAGTGCTAATTATATTATATTATATTACATTATATTATATTATATTATGTTATAAGCAAAATACTTTCAGGTGGTCAAATTAGAATTTGCTTTAATTTATTTAATAACTATTGTAATAATGTATTAATTAACAAATATTTAATAATGGATATTTTTAGATTTCAGACTCTTTGTGAGGCAAAACAAGACATTTAATAAAATCAGATTGGATTCTATGATACTGTGATGAGATTTTTTTCTTTTTTTTTAATATTTCATTAAATGATTCAAAGGAAAATATCATGATATTATATTATATTATATTAAGTAGCATTTTACTATCGAGGTTCATTGAGGTTGAGCTAATTTCACCTATAAATACTATATATTATATACCTTTTTACTGTTTAATCTATATTTTAAGGTCATCATATGTTTTGTGTGAAAAATCTTAATTTTTAAAGTAACGAGTAACTTTAGCTGTGGAGTTAAAAGTACAGTATTTACGTCTGAAATGTATTTAAGTATAAATTTATACGAAATTGGGTCTAAATATTAGCTGCCCCTGGTATATCTGACATGATGTTCATTATAAGATGGTAGTTAATTCATTGGTGTGCAGAGAGGAAGAGGAGTGGAGAGGGGAATGATGATTTTCCATGTCAATGGTCCCCTCTTATCGTCAGGAAAGAGGAAATAATATGAGGACTGTTGCACAAGAGCTCCAGATTTAGAAGTCTGTCGGAACGGAGAAGCGATGCCCTTTGACTTTTAAACTCAACAGGAAGGAGAAGATAGATCGGAGATAGAGTGTAATTATGAAACATTGATTGTGATTGAGATAAGCTGCATGTAGAACAGACACTGCGTATGTGTCTTCTAGACTACTTCGGGGAATCTCTCTGCAGCTCCCCACAGAGTAATGGGCCGTTTTGTGGACTGCGTGAGCACAGTGAGCTTCAGTGTGTTTTGTACACACAGGACATATCTTGGTTAGGTGTGTAAAATATTTGCTATTGGCCGTCTTTCAAAGGTTGCTAACATAGGGGCTTTTATTACCTCAGGGGTTCTCAGTATTAAAGTGTGCCAACGAGGCTGCACCATAATCCATAGGAAGCCTGATGTGGGTACAGCAGGACACTTGTGCAATGCAAAACTTATTACTTGCACGCTCCCTGGCATGCAGATATTTGACAACCGCTTGTGATTTTACTGCTGGGAGTGGGAGTGAGGTCAGCTCCGAGAGGCGAAGCAAAAGCTCACTGCATGCCTTGTCAAAAACTGAGCCCAGTAAACCGTTAGACTCACTCACTCTGCTGTTTAGTAACACAACAGCAGGAATACTTTGGTTCATGTGGAAGAGTTTTGCCCAAATCTGTGCGCTTCTGTAAGTGTGAAACTCTATGTAGGTGTTTGACTAGAGAGATTTAAAAAGGCACTTACATGATGCATTATTGTTTCACAACCTTGGTATATTATTAGGTTTTACATTTAACTTGGTTTTCTGTTAAAGTGTTGTTGCTCTCGGCTGCTGAATCCTCTGCCTCTGTGTGTCAGTGTTTCTTCATGTGCTTGAAAAACTACAGAATAATCCAGTGTTTTGATGAAATAAAGTCTTTCTGGTGTCAAATGGAAAGCTGATGATAAGACGGGCACATGATCTGATTTCAGAGATGGGAGTGGTTATTTCCAAGCAGGACTGAGTTAACGGTGGTTTTCCCTCTCTCTGTTGACTGTCTGCAGGCTGCTGCAGGCATGGAGCAGAGGTGAGCGTTAATCCATGAATGGCCAGTTACGCTCCTGAGCAGCACACTCCTGCAGTGCACCAGCATCATGATAAGCCCCACCACAGACTCTGCTACAGCTGCCGTTTATCTATCGCCATGGTGAGAGAGAGCTTCTGGACCTTGACTCTGTTGCTATGGTGACCCTGTAGCAAGCAAGAACCCTGGTGATCACATAAAAAGACCCAGGTAACTACTGTTCCAATCTGCTGCCATGGCGATGCTGTAGAGACGCCCTGTATAGTCATAAGTCTGTTGCTATGGTGATACTGTAGCAAAGCAACAGTCACTATGGGAACGTCCAGGATGTTTCGCATCTTCGTGGTCCTGGGCTCAGCCTTCATGATCCTCCTCATCATCATCTACTGGGACGATGTCGGAGCCTCTCACCTGTATTTGCACACTCCCGTCTCGCCGGGCCCCAAAATCCCACACCCCCCTCCTCAGCAGCGGCCTCAAACCCCCCGAACCCCGTCCTTCCTGTCCGACATCGATGCCTTCGTCAACCAGTTCTTAGAACCGGGAACTGGTGAGCCCACAGACCCTGTCCCTGCCGACACAAGCAACCAATCAGAGAAAGCAGAAGAGCGGTACATACCGCGGCGGGAGTGGAAGATTCACCTGACTCCAGTGGCGGCAGAGCTCCGTGAGAGACAGGTTAACATCATCATTATTATTATTATTAGTAGTAGTAGTAGTAGTAGTAGTAGTAGTAGTATTAAATATTTCATGTTCCATTCATGGCAGTTGCAGCTTCATGTTGGTTCTCTGGGACGTTTAAACAGAACACAGTTATTGTTAATGTTATCGGTTTCCTGCTATGAAAAGTCAAAATGTCTGTTATTAAAAAGGCCTGTGAGAGAACTTGGTGCTCACATGCAGAACAGTCACAGCGGCTCCTCTGATTCAGATAATGTGAAGCTAGTAAAACTGTCATAATATATAAACATTAATTAAAAGGAGCCGATTGAGACTAAAGTCATTTGTGTTTATGGATTGGAGTAGGCTTTACAGCCTTGTAATATTGATGGATTTTTGAATAACTTTCAATAATGTTCAAGTGTTTACTCTGGATTTCTTTCTTTTTCTTTCTTTCTTTCTTTCTTTCTTTCTTTCTTTCTTTCTTTCTTTCTTTCACTATTATTACCTGAAGTTTTTTTTACCAATACCAATCTAAATATTGACCATTCTTTACAAAAATTATAGATTGATAATTCAAATTTATCAAATGCTGAATGTCATCCACACACAATAAGTTGTACAAGAGCTTTGCTTAGATTAAAAACAGTCTTGGCAATTATTTAAAGCCCCTACAAAAGCTATGCCCCCCCCCCCCCACACAGGTGTTTTCACTTTTTTGACTATTTAAGCCCCTCAGTGGCCTGTCATTCAGGGTGCACAGAGCTACACTGCATAGGGATTGTACTCACTGGTCAATCACAATATGTTATCAATATGACTGCCCAACCCTACCCTGGTGCTAGTGTTATAGCTTCTGTTTGCCTGTCAGCCTGGAATAACTGACCAAAGAGAGGAAACAAGATGATGATTGGATGGTTTGTCACCATCAATATATATGTCCCTCCATTGCTAAAGATAAATTTGTGTGTGTTTTATCACATGGACCGATCAGGAGCAGCGACGGAGGTTACTTCAGGAGATGTGCGCTAACGACAGCGTGGTGTTTCCCGGCAAAAACCGCTCATTTGATGACATTCCCAACAAGGAGCTGGATCACCTCATCGTGGACGACAGGCACGGTATCATCTACTGTTACGTCCCTAAGGTACGCCAATGTCTGCATTATCTTACGGCTTTGTTTGAGTCCATTACATCAAATGAGAGCCGAGGCGCTCAGCTGTGGTACGAAAAAATGCCACTGAGATGTTGTTTTTATGCCTGTGTGTTTCTACTGGCCCTTACCTGTTCTTCTGTAAAAGCTTCAGACTCAGCGGTCTGTGTCTCTCAGGTGGCGTGCAGTAACTGGAAGCGGATCATGATAGTTCTTAGTGAGAGCCTGCTGCAGGACGGGGTTCCCCAGAGAGACCCGCTGGCCATCCCCCGGGACCTGGTCCACAACAGCAGCATGCACTTCACCTTCAACAAGTTCTGGAAGCGCTACGGCAAGTTCGCAAGGCACCTCATGAAGGTCTGTGAAAACACTGTGCACTATGTGGTCAGAATAATACAACATGATTAAAAAAAAAACACAGAGTAGTTTATCCATTAAACGTATTAACTGCTTTAATTATTGTTGAATGGCTTCGTGACGCCTGCTAAATCATGTGTCATCTTTCGTTTTACTTTTGCCTGATGTTAAATTATCTGCACAATCACCAGCAAGACATTTTTGACGCAAACACATTTAGCAAAGCATCTCTCCGTGAACGTTTCTGGTGGATTTGCTCCAAATTTGTTTTCACCATCACAAAGCTGTAAGAGATGTGAGTTGAACATCTGTTTTCAGCTGCGTCACCGTCGCCTCTGGACACAGAATAAAAAAGAAAAAGAAAAAGTCATTATTAATCAGACAGAGGAGCATCATCATTTCTCAAAGCTAAAGAGTCGTCTGTTACGTCCTTGAGTTAGTTGCTTTGTGTATTTTATCAGTTGCCTTCACCTGTGTGATAGTAATATGTGATGTGTTCCTTTTTGAAGGTGAAGCTGAAGAAGTACACCAAGTTCCTTTTTGTGCGGGACCCCTTTGTGCGTCTCATCTCCGCCTACCGGAATAAATTTGAGCTGCGCAACGACGATTTTTACCGGCGCTTCGCACAGGTGATGCTGCGCCGCTACGCCAACCAGCCGACACCTCCCGCCTCTGTGGACGAGGCGTTCGCCGTGGGCGTCCATCCCTCCTTCTCCCACTTCATCCAGTATCTCCTGGACCCTCAGACAGAGAAGGAGATGCCCTTTAACGAACACTGGCGGCAGGTGTATCGGCTTTGCCACCCATGCCAGATTCAGTATGACTTTGTGGGCCACTTGGAGACGGCAGAAGAGGATGCAGAGCACCTGCTCCGTCAGCTGCGGGTGGACAACGTGGTGGAGTTCCCCACCTCCCACAGGAACCTCACAGCCAGCAGCTGGGAGGCCGACTGGTTCAGCACAGTGCCTGTGGAGGCGCGGAGAGAACTCTACAAGCTGTACGAACCCGACTTCAGGCTTTTCGGCTACGACAGACCGGACTCGATCCTCAACGAGTGACTCGTGTTTTTACAAAACTGACGCTGCCGCACACAGACAAAATGTTTTTATGTGATGAAGTGATGCTACACTCCCAACAACGGTGACGCCTCCCTTTGTTCTTTGCAGATACGTTCTCCAGTCGTTTCTACACTGAATGTGCTCGTCGTTAAGGACACCCACTGATTTAAGGTAGCACACTAATGAAGTGAAGCCAGGCGACAGCCATTATCCATTATTGTTGTTTATTAAATCACAAAGATAATTAGAAGCACACAGGTTAGAGTGCGACAGTACGAGATGTGGAGTGAACAGCAGGTGTCCCTAACACGTCGTACATTCAGTGTAGTCCTTAAAGGGGCAGTTCAGGTGTTCTGTCGTGGGGTTGTGTGAGGTCAGTCATATACAGTCGGTTCATTACCTGCAGTAGATTCTGATCAGCTCCTCCCAGGTAGGAGATCATACCAGGAGCACCGTCAGACCAGCAGAGTGACGTGTTGCTGTGGGCGGGGCCACCAGAACAAACCTGTTTTAGACAATCCAACATGTGTTTAAATGAAGCTTCATGTAGAATATTTTCAGAGGTTTATTTTCCCGTGAAAACAGCACTTTCAGCCACTTTCTGATTCGCTCAGCTGACCTGCAGCTGCGGCGTCATACAGTGCGCTTGTGCGTAGGAATACGGTAGTTCAGTGGTTGTAAAAAATGTAGTGCCAAAGGAAAGTGCTGTTTTCACAGGAAGATAAATGGCTGAAAATATTCGACATGAAGCTTCATTTAAACACATGTTGGATTGTTTTTAAAAGTGTCTAAAACAGGTTTGTTCTGGTGGCTCCGCCCACAGCGACACATGTGTAACAGGGAGGAGCTGACCTCACACAACCCCACGTCAAAAAAACCTGAACTGTCCCTTTAACTCTAAACTCCACGCCGAGCGTCTTGCACTCCCAGCGTCGATGTCACACCACGCCTGTGATTTGTGATGTCACTAACTCTGCTGATCACACAGGGCTTTGTAGCAGGATGTCACAGAGCCATACGCCACGTTTGTGCGGTCACACGAAACATATTTGGGGTTTTTCTTTTGTCTTTTTTTGGTCGCCGGTCGTGCAGTGGTTTTTGTAAATGTTACTAGATGCGTTTAAAATGTAGTTGCACTAGAGTGTTAGTCGTCAGCTAATTTATTTCACAAGGTGTAAGTGCTTTGTTTATGTCAAGCATGAAAGGGATTTTTTACGTTGAACACACTAATGACAGGTGCCAATATCAGAAACATTATTATTTTATACCTCATACACATGAAGAGGATCTTTAGGAACAAACCCACCTGCTCTCTCAGACCCGGGTACGTTAGGTTTCAGCATGCGCAAGTCCATAAGATTATATTAACAGAATAATTTATCATGGCATTTTAGCTTCATTTCTGCTTTTGCGTGACAGTTTGAGAGCACGATGAAGCGCACAGCAGCTCCAGTGAACTGAAGAGCTGGAGTTTCGACGTTCTTTTGCACAGGTGCATTCAAAACAGACGCTTTTCTAAAGGGAACATTTTTCTTTTTTATTGCTTGTCGTTACCATGACGCTGGTATCACCAAGCATTTGATCATCTTTTGTGTTTTCATGCACAAAACTGCAACTGTAACCCTGGAGACTGCAGCAGTACTGAATGATGCCCCCCCCCCCACACACACACACACACACTCCCTCCCCTCTTTTATAAGCGCAGTATTTTCATGGGATGCAGTGTTTTGTAGCAAGGAGCTGATACAGGTACAGAGCTCTGCTGTTGATGCATTTTAAGAACAACTGTAAAGTCGGTGCGAGATGAAGCTGCGGTCAGAGTTCACGTCAGAGTTTCCGGGTAAAGCTTTGGCTCGCGGTCGGAGTCGGGATTAACCCGCATCACGATCTGGGCAGAGGATCGGGTCGTATGATCGGTATCAGAAGAGTGGGATGAGAAGATAGTGCCTTCGGTTGCAGACATTTACACAGCAAAAAAAAAAGTATTTTTGTAGAAGGACTTCATTTTTACTTAGAACACGATACAGTGAGAACTGTACGAAACCACAACAAGGTATATTTCATATACTGGGCCTTGATTATCCTGTGTGATTATCATTTGGGACAAATAGGAAACGACGGAGCCCTTCAGCAGAATATGAGTCTGACTGTCTCTCTGGGAGTTTGTATGATTTGTGATTGTGTGCGGACTCTGTCGGTGTTCGTGTCCAGTGATCTCGTGCTTTCCACACCGGAATCCCCCCCCCCCCCCGTGCGGTCTGTACTGTACGTGATGTCACGGACACGCTTCTGTCGCGGCGGTGTACACGTCCACACACTGTTGACTCAGACTTGTCTCACTGCCTTTCGGGTTTATTCTGATTCGTCAGAGGAGAAACTGTATTTTTTATTTTTATTTTTTTTTTCATCTTAATTAAACTTTGACTTTTTAAATGGTTTATAGTTCACACCTGAATAGGGAGGAATTATTAAACTTCAGTGGCTGGTTTTTCCCAAAAGTTTATGTAAGAAAAAAAACAAAAAGAAAACACACCCCGTCATCCCCCACACACACACACACTCACACACACACTCTCTCACACACTCTCACACACACACACAGTGTTTGTCAAATTAATTGTATTTTCATATCTCTTGTATTTTCATGTTCTTTTATTGTATTTTCTTTGCTGTTTTTTGTTTTTCTTTCAAAGTGCAAACAACAAGACTATAAAATGGAATAATTTTGTATTTATTAGCAGAATAAAACTATGCGCACATTCTGTTTTTGTACGGGGGGGAAATCAGTCACAGTGGGCCTTTTTTTTTTTTTATTAAGATTAGGGTTTGACAGCTGATATGCATTTTCTTTCCCTCAGTGATCTGACGGCACCACCACATTACTGCTTTAAACAGCTTACATGTTTGTTGAAGCTGCGGCACCAAACCTCGTCCTACATTTTGACCTCATTCTGTTTCCTAACATCGAACAGTGGCACACACCAAAATCTATTTTTTGGATGGATGTTTTTTTTTTTTGTTTGTTTTTGTATTGTTACTTCTCCCGTTCGTGGGAGAAAAATGCAAAGTATTCATTCAGTTTTCTTTAGTATTCTGGTGTCATGCATCATCTGGTCTAAGTGCAAGAGAAATAAAGGTGGTGGGGCATGATGGAAGATTCTTTAGTCTCTCTTTCTGCACATCACTTCATCATATTTTTTTTGAAGCTTTATTTAAAGAGACGGATAAACTTTGTTCTCCATTTTCATTTATTTGAATACAATGCGCACGAAACACAACGAGCAAGCAAAAAGAAAAAGAAGAAAGCAAAATAAATGACTGGTGATGGAGGATGAAGGTTGTTTTTGTCAGTTACGCCTGTAAGAGAGACAGTGAGGAACAGGGAGGATAAGAAAACTGATGTAAGATTTATTTTTTAATATTTCTTCTAATCATTTTAAATCATTATTCATACATCAGAAAATGATTAATAAGAGCCTCGCTACTGTTATCAGGTCTGCACAGACCGAGCCATTAGAAGAGATAACCGATCTGCAGCAGGGTCTCACTCTAACAGTGTTATCTGTGTACTCGTGGCTTTACTGCCCTCTTGTGGTGTAAAGGTTTGATCAGTCTACCCCTGTCTGTGGATCTGCTCCACGTGTGCTGTATGAGTGCTACACACGACGAGGCGGCAGGAGGGAGTGGAGGTTTGTGCAGCCACAGAGAAACTGAGGACAGGTTTCTCTTCACACCTCTGCTGCTGTACCTGAGCAGTTGCAGTTGGATGGCGTTTTTCACAAAGGTCACGGGCGTGGTTGGAGCAGGAAGCTGGTCAGAGAGCTCCACAGCGGGCTGACTCTGACCCGGGAAGGAGCAGCCACAACATATGAATATTTTTCTACTTGCACTAAGTCTCTCCTCGTCTAACTGCAAGCTGAGAAGTTCGGGACAGTTTAACATACCGGGTCGTATTTGAATTTCTTGTTGGGCGTCCGGAGCTCGGGGGTGCCAGGTCTCTCGTGGCGTGGTGGGCTCACACTGGGAGACGGACTCTGACTGAGGGAGACACCTGAAGGAGACTCCTCAGAGCGGGTGAGCTCCTCGTCACGTTTCATCTTCTCAGGTGAAGTGTCTGAACTTAGAGAACAGCAGCCGCGGCTGGCCGGTGAAATCCTGCAGGCGGAGGTGGGTCTGCAGGATGTGGACGCTTCTGTCACAGACACCGACTCCTGTGGAGAACAAGGAATTTATTTTTACTGTAACGTTCAGCTCTTACTTACGTTACTGCACAGCACTGTGACTAATATCTCAACACAAGCACTAGACATGTTGCTCTAGAGTCAGATGAGAAGGTTGATTCCTCTCGTGCATCAGAATATTAACCCTCCGAGGTCGACGGATGTTTCCATTAATATCTTTGCAATAACACAACGTAGAAATATGGTTTAAATGTTGTTAGAATCTGTCGACTCTCCACTCTCTCTTACATCTTCTTGCGAGATCGTACGTGAATCACAGCCTCTAAAATCTGACACTACGACTCTGTGATATCACAAAATTTCCTTTTAGGCTTTTATTATCCATTTATCTTCTATTTCACTCATATATTGGACTGTTTTTATGAGCCTTCAGACAGTTTAAGAAATAATGTAGAAATGCAGAAAAACGCCCTCCGACCTCAGAGGGTTAAATATGGAGCTACAGCTGGTTAGTTTAGCTTAGCATGAAGGAAACAGCTAGCCCTGTCCAAAAGTAACTAGTAAAAAATGTGTTAATATGCAAATACTGTAAACAAATAAAAGATAAATGATAAATTAGTGTGCACAACTGTTTCATTGGGGTTTTTACAGGGTTATGTGCCTGACTATTTCCTGGCTGTGCACAGGAACTTGGACCTGGACTCTCCTTGGCATCAAGTGGAGACGCCAGGCCAGGAAATAATCCAGTGAATCACCCACTGGTGATTTTTACACTTTGGGTTTTGTACACAAAACAAACAGCCAACCAGCTGCTGGCTGTGGCTTTGTGTGGTCGCCATGTTCTCATCTGACGCTCAGCAAGAAAGCAAACAAACAAATGAAAAACTAATAGATTCTATCGTCAACAAAGCGTGGTGCGGTTTGGCGGCAACCTCGTCGGCTTTCGCTCTCTTGGCCGGCGTCTCAGACTGAGGCCGGCCTTTTCTCTTCACGCCCGGCTGGCCCCGGCCGGCAGGTGGAGCGTGACGAGGTGGCGCTGTGGCGGAGAGTCGGTGGCTCGGTTTTGGACTGAAAAGCCTTTTGCGGTCGCCGTTTGGCATCTCCCAGCTGAGGTTCTCCCTGCTGCCGTACGTGGCGGATACGGTCATCCCCTCTTCATACGTCCTACAGCTCTCTGCCTGGCTGTAGACTGCAGCAGCACAACAGTACAATCATCAGTCCTGATGTCACACAACAGAGAGCTATGTCTACTCAATTCAAAAAGAAAAGAAGAAGAAGAAAAAACATACTAGTTTCAGTGAAGGAAAGGAGGTCGGGGGTCAGGTCTATTTTCTGGTTTTTAGACCCGTCTGTATTAAAGACCAAAGAAAGTCCGATCATCCAGGTTGTGATCACTCCCTCTCTGAAACAGGAGCACAGGCCAACGAGTGCTTAACCCTCTGGAGTCCAGTTTGATGATTCATTTATACATTAATATCTGTCTCACACATTATAAACCGTCCCTATAGCCCACATGCACTGTTTCCTTTTCTCTGCACAAACTCCACTGAAATAAAACACAGGCACCTGTGAATATCATCATCTCTTTAGTTGTAATCAATAGAAATATTATTAGTCCCACAGCAGCACTTTCCACTGACTTCCTCAGCCTTTCTTTACATGATATATAAAGTTACGTAACTGTAAATGAATCAGTGGCCACAGACGGACTCCAGCTCAGACACAACCATGAAATCACATCCTTACTTGTTGTTGTCCTTCCCGGGTCCATGGAAAGGCTGTAGATGAACATGAGCCAGTGAAACATGGACATTTCTCTCCAGGATTCCCACCAGGAGTCTGATCTTTGACTCGACAGTGCCGACCCTGAGCCGGGGGAATAAAACATCGTGTTGAGAAAGAGCGAACCGGAGCAGCTGGAAAACACACGGACCGTTACGATTGTCTTAACTTTAACGTCAACTCACCACTCACGATGCTGCTCCTCCGAGGCCGAACTCGCTCGCAGCAGAACGTAATGCCTTGAAACACAAGAGGCAACACGTCATTGTGCCTTCATAAGGCCGGGATCTATTTTACCCGCACAGATCACTGTGGATTCAGTTCTGATCAATATTTACAGACGGTCAATTTACAGCACAACGAGTGACATCACTGCACAAAGACAGATACCAGTCTATCCATTAAACAGTGAAGGTCAAACGTAACAAATCTGTTTTAAAGGATAAAACCTTCAGCTGCTCGCTCTGACCGCACAGCTTCAAAATAAGAAAGAGAAGAAGAGATAACGAAGCGAGATCAGAAGACACGGCAGATTTATTCAGACGAGACATTAAATCAAACACAACAGAAAACAAAGTTCAGACGCAGTTAAATGAATCCAGGCGGCTCATATTCACAACAAGTGATAAACTCCAACAAGTGATAAACTCCAACAGTCCGTGTAGGACGAAAAACACAATCACATGTTTCAAACACTTTGAATTACTCACTGAAATCATTCCGCAAATCCATCAGAACAATCAGATTCAACCATCACAATATTCTTAAGTCTGAAAACAAACAGACTGTGAAACCAGCTGAACACACATCAGTCCACATTTTCAATTAATTACAGCAAACAGCAAAAGAAACGTTTGTTCTCTCTCATTAACAAACAGGAGACGACCCACGTCTGTTTCCAACAACAACAACATCATCACATCAGCTTCATTCATTACTCCACTGTGGACGTGAATATCTTCATTCAGTCTGTTTAAAATATCAAAATGATAATTAACAGTTATTAATTATCGTTGCAGGATATTTTGTTCTTCAGGCAGATCAATACATACTGGTAATTCTCAAAAAAGTTTGGCTTTTCAAAGAGTTTGGACCAGTTCGCCTCCTCCTGCTGTATTTCCTGAGCGACGGCGAGGCCTGTGAGCGAGGGAGAAAACGTTGAGGTTATGGCTTCAGCGCGGTTTGATCAAACACAGCTACGACAGTGACGGTTTGTTTGAGAGAGCCGAGGCGTTTGGCGGCGAAGTGGCTACGTACCGCGCTCGATCTCCGCTGTGATGATGGTTGAGGTGGACGGAGACACGTTGAACGACGTGTTCTGCTGCGGGTACGCCGGGGTGATGATGGGCATGATGTGGCAGCGGTCGTTCAGATTAACCTGGAAACACACAGGAACACAGAGTCTCACCTCCAACGTGTTTGAAGGTCGATGATTCACTAACTCGACACGATTTTTCACGGTTGTAGCCTAAACTGTGAATGAACCTGACCGTGGGATCCCAGAAAGGAAGGTCGTAGCAGCGGTTCTCCACGACCCTCAGGCGGACCGGGACGGGCCACACCCTGACACAAACACACAAAGATCCTCGTCTGCAACTTTCACAAAAGGTGTCAACATGCAGCTTCCTGTTCAGAGTGACAGCGTGGCGTCACCGTTTTAAAAGCCCGACAGCAAAATGTTTTTTTATTCCTCCGCGCCGGCGACAGTCAGAGCCGGAGGCCATCTTGTTTTCAGTTTGTCAGTTAAGTCCGTCTCATTCTCGTGGACACGATATCCCAAAAACGCCTTGACGGAACTTTTTCAAATTTGGCAAAAACATTCACTAGGACTCAAGGATGAACTGATTAGATTTTTGGGGGGTCAAAGGTCAAAGGTCACGAGCGTGGTGACCCCACAAAACACAGTTTGGGCCTTGTGAACGCGATATCTCTGTAACACCTTGAGGGAATTTCTTCAAATTTGGTAAAAACGTTCACCTAGACTAAAGGACAAAGTGATTAGAATTTAGTAGCTAAAGGTCAAAGTTCAAAGGTCAAGGTCACGGTTACCTCACAAAACATGATTTTGGCGTCGTGAACATAATATCTCCAGAACTCCTCAAAGGAAATCCCTTCAAATTTTGCACAAACGTTCACTGTGACTCAAGGACGAACTGATTAGACTTTTGTGGTCAAAGGTCAAAGGTCAAGATCACAGTGACCTCAGGAAAACACTTTATAGCCATTACTCAAGACACATGTTACATGAGTCTTTACAAACGGGGGTGTAACCTGAATTTAGTCTGAGTTGTGGAGGCAGACGACAGTGAGGAGGCGATTCTGTGAGTTTCTAGTTGCTTTTCAACTTTAAGAGAAAAGCAGCAGGTGATGAGAACAGCTGTTTTCCAACGAGCCACATGGTTCTCACAAGAACTGAAGAACTGTAGTGAAGTGCAACCTGCTTATGACATAAACGATCTGTCTGTCCATCCAGAGCAAGACATCAGCTGCAATGGGCAGTTTGGTTTTGATGGAAACAAATTCTAGATCCAGTCTCGGTGGATCTCAGCGCCAAGCGACTTTTAATAAACCCAGTTTGATGTTTTTTTTCATTTACCACAGAGACCAGAAACACTGGGACAACTCACCACATGGAGTAGACCTTGAAGAATTTGATCACCAGGGTGGAAACTGTAGCGTTGGGGTACACCTGACAAATTCTGGCCACCAGTACGGCCCAGGATATCCCGCCCAAGAAGCCCAGCTTGTTGGAGTAAATGTTACGGCCTGAGGGGAAAGAGGAGGATGAGCCGAGTGAGAATTTTCAAAATAAGAGTTAAATATTGCATGCCTCTATTTTGTTTCACATTACATCGCCTCCTACTGCTGTTACAAAAATGCTGCTCAAACAAATGTTGTGGCAGCTAAACCTGTGCATCGTTTATCTCTGCAAAACAGACACAAACCAAACAAAATAAAAGAGAACATGAGCCTCGGTAGAGAAAGAGAACTGTCACTGACGTGATCCAACACAGGGTTTACCAAAGTCTTAGGTTCATAAAAAAATAAATGAGTGAAATAGAAGATAAATGTTTAATAAATGGCTAAAATTAGATTTTGTAATATCATTGCGTTGTCTGTCACTCTGCTTTAACCAGATTTCAGAGTTCTGCTTCGAGGCCTTCTCGCTGCAGCTTTGAGTCACGTACAATCTCACACGATTCTACAGATTTTAACAACATTAAAACCGTATTTCTTCGCTGCGTTATTGCAAAGATCCGTCGACCTTGGCGGGTTAAAGGGGTTCTGTGTGTTGAACTCACGTTTGGCCCACAGCTTGACGGCTCTCAGCGCCAGCCTGAAGTTAAAAATGTTTGGCACAAGACGCATGATTTCTTCTGTGACCCTGTAGCCTGTAAAGACAGAATATAGAAACAGGAACAAAGGGCCAATCAACAGTGTGGTACATCATGCAGCTGTCAGGTAACACTGCAGGGTTTCTCAGTCGGGTGTGTACTTTAATCTGACGCTGACCATTGAGGCTCCTGACACAGTGTTCATCCATGTTCTGCAACAGCTTGTCGTCCAGAAGGTCGAGATTTTCAGGGATGCTCTTCTGCGCCACGCGGGCGAAGACGAGGTCAATCTGGAAAATGACAGAAACACACAAACACAATGGAGACACATGCAAACTAAACTTCTTTTTTTTTAACTGTTGAACTTTGGACGGTCGAGTTTTTATTTATTTCTGGAGACAAATTACCTCAATCCCATCATAGGACAGTTTGATGACGGGGACAAACGCGTCTTCAATGACCCGTATGTCTTTGACCTCCTGCTGGGCTCGCAGCTTCTCGTAGAAGGACGTGAAGAAGTCCTTCCTCTCCAGAAATCCAGGTCCGACACAAAGAGCGTCAATGTCAGCACCTGTCACAGCAACGCAGATTCATATGAGAGGAAAGTCTAGATTTAAATAGACCAGTATCTTCACCATGTAACCCACCACCCTGAATGGATAGTGAAACAGCAGCCTCACATCTGTATACTATATAATAATAATAATAATAAGAAGAAGAAGCAGAATAAACTTTATTTATATAACACTTTTCAAAGTTACAAAGTAAGTAAGAAAAAGGAGAATTAAAACATGCTCTTACAGTTAAAGAGTTAAAGAGTCTCTGAATTACCTTTGGAGTGAGCTCCCATATAATAGGAGCCAAATGGAAAGACCTTGCCTCCGACATTTTCAGTGACTGATTCAGGTATGTTCTAAAAATCAAAAAGCAAAACGACTGGTTTCGTATGTGGAGATACTTTTAGATTAGAAAACAAAAGATTTAACCAACTGTTTCTTACCAATGAAAAACACATTTCTTTGAGCCACTCCTTATAGAGAAACTCCAGCCTCCTCACAACCTTCTCTCTGCAAATAAAACAAGGAGAGCATTTTCAAATATCACCATTTCTCAGAGGAAAAAAAAAAAACAAACCATCCAACATCCAAGAGTCACAATAAACACTAAAATATCTACATGTTTATTCAGTTCTACCTCTCCTAGTCTTTATCAATGAAACAAGGAGGAGATAATGAAATAGAAGAAAGATGAGTCATGCCTGTGCTGCAGCTCCAAGTCGTCCTCGAACACACCGTATGACTTCAGACTGTCGATCAGTTTTCTGGTCTGGATCAAATCAGCCTCGTGGGGCAGATCCTCACTGATCGGACCAGTGATCCCATAACACCTGGGTGTGTCTGGCCATGGCGGAGCGTGGCTCTTCACGGGTCTGAGAAGGGACATTTACACTTTACACGAAACAGTCTTTTTTTTTGTCTTCTGTTTGGTTTTACTCATCTTAACATATCTCCTCTGTTTTAGTATTTTATTATTTTATCTTTATCCCTCACTTCATCTTTACTTTTATCTTTGCATGACAGCGTTTCCTCACTTCCTGTTATTATTGTTTTATTTCTATTGGTTTTATTTATTGTTCTGTGTGTAAATATGTGTGTGTGTGTGTGTGTGTGTATTGCTTTTATTCTGTAAAGCACTTTGTGTTGCATTGTTTGTATGAACAGTGCTAGACAAATAAAGTCTGATTGATTGATTGATTGATTGATGAAACAATAAGTATCTACAGCATGTTTGTGTGTTCAATAGAAAAGGGTGAAAGTATGTTAAATATAAGGTGTCACTATGTCCATTACTCCCATCATAATGTGGGCATCAACAACAATGCAGAACACTTACAAAATCACAAGTGAAGCTGCAGCACATTCAACAATAAGTAAATATATTTATAAATATATAAACAAACAAGAAAAAACAACACGTGGTTACTCACCGAGACATCGTCACGGCTGTTTAGCAGTTATCTGTGTTTCACTAGCTGTCCTGTTTCTTATTTTCACGCAGTAAAACACGGAGAAAACACGCGCAGGTCACACAGCTGAGCGGAGGAACACACGAGTTTAAGAACGCGCGGCCACAGTGACGTCAATTCTGGAATCCAATCAGAGACGACTGCACGTGACCAGAAGAAGAAAAGAAAAATGACACGTGCGCACCGACCTGTGTGGGTTTTAATCATCAACGTATTATAAGATAAGATAAGATCCATGGTTTTAATGCTGCGTTCAAGTGATAGTGGTTCTGTTTCTTCTAATTAATGCACCACTGTCACCCACTGAATGTGTGTGTGTGCTATATTAGTAAAGTATATTAATAAACATTGATCTATATGTTGATTAAGGGATGATGTCAGAGTCATTAATATCAGAAAACTTCACAGCCAGTACTTTATGTGGTTTAGTCTGAACTGTTTTAACGTTTAAAGGTGCTATATGTAAGTTTTTGCTATCGCTACATAGCCAAGAGTAGAAACCAGCTTTCTTCTAGCTATGGAAGTTAGCATGCTAACCAGCTAGCCCCGTCTTGAAATGCAACAATGGTTGATGCTCTTTGCGAGCGAACATCACCACCACCTGCTCGACCCTGGCGGGAAACCACGTTCGACAACAGACGACACAAAAAAAAAGATCAATAATATCAACAACAATAAAATCAACAATATCTATAGATAGATACTTTATTCATCCCCTTGGAGAAATTCAATTGCCCAGCAGCTCGTACATACAGTATATGGAGTTAAGATTTATAGTCCAGGTCATGAGCCGCTGCCTTTAGCTGTCTTTGCTTTTGCCGTCTGTTGTTTAGCACGAAGCATTCAAGTACACTTTAAAAGCAGGACATGAGACGGTCCATATAATAGTAAATCAGTCCAAAACACGAGATCTTCCTGTAGAGAACATTATGCTTCAGTTTCACAAAGTCACATAGAGTCAAAACTGCCCTTTTATTCCATATTCTACACAACAAAAATTCAGTTAGCACCATGTTTTAGCACCAAATGTAGTGTAGTGTACTTGTTCTTACCATATGCTACTATAAATCATCGCTTGAGTGACAATACTAAATATCAGCCATCTTTCTGTTTTCATTATTCTGTCATTACAAATTACACATGACGAATTATGTCCTTTTTTTTTTTTTTTTAAATCAATAATCTTGTTACTGTGTGTAATGAGGAATGTAAGACTCCTGTTTTGTTGTTATGATATCCAATCAGAGAGATACAGAGAATGAATCCACATATTCTGAGACTTTTCCTTTGGGGTATCGAGTGTTTTCAGTTCACTGCAGAGGTGTCGCTGAATCAGCAGCTGGACGCCTTTTATCTACAAATTACAGAGAGACGTCCTCAGCTTGTCTTCCTCCTCATTACTCCTCCACACTCGCTCTGATGAGGTACCCATTGAAAGTGATATAGACATCTACGTCGTCACTGTAGATGGCGTTCTCCCGCTGCCTCTTGTACAGTCGGACCCACACCTCGTCGTTCAGCTCCAGCTGCAGCATCAGGCTCTGACTCTGCATGATGGAGCGGTCGCTGGGCTGGGCGTACACGATGGCCTGCTCCCTGTCGTTCTGCATGATGTGCAGATACGTCTCCTTGAAGTTCCACGTGTGAATGTTGACGTTGAAGAAGTAGATCCCCGGGATGCGGCAGAGGAACTTCCCGCCGAACATGTCGAAGTGGCCGTCGAGGTTGACAAAGACCGTGTCGAACACCAGCGCCTGGTAGGACTCCAGGCTGTGGAGGGATTTGCGACGGCCAACAGAGAAGGCGGAGTACTGGACTTTGCAGGGGTCTCCTGGAGGCCCCGCTTGGCCCTTAGCGCCTTTTGGGCCACTGGGTCCAACGGCGCCCGGAGGGCCTTCCTGTCCAGCTTTACCTGGTGTCCCTCTGTCGCCACGATCTCCTTTGTCACCTACACACAATGATGTGAGTCATACTTCCTCAAACATTAGAGAGACAGACATTAGAAGTTCACAAGAGACGGAGTGAAAGAAGAAAAGGTGAAAAGAAGCGTGTACTTGATGAATTAGCCACCACATTTTCTCCCTGCTTCAGTTCAAGACAACAGATCACTGCGGTCATCTGAAACAGGTCGAGACGCTCAGAGACACAGGACCTGGTGTGTTGTCTTTGTCTCTGGTGTCCAATGACCCGCACGACTTCATGTCTAGAAAAGGAGCTGAACCCTTTTTGTCACATAAAGAAATTCTGTAGGTTTGACAAACAAGATTTTTTTTTTTCCATTTCAAAACCGAAGCCCACGGTTTGGAAACTCCTCTGTTTCTCCAAAATATGTTTTTCTAAAGTTTACAGAACCATGAGTAAGTCCAGTGTCAGGCAGAATGTGCAGCAACTTTCATTCCAGAAATGTAACACAAAGTGCTTCACAACAATAAAAACATATTTAAAGCTTTGATCTAAAATGAAAAACATTAAAAACATTAATGTAAAATGAGATAAAATAATGAATAAAATAATAAATCATTAAATAAGAAGACAGCAAAAAAAAAATATATATATATATATACTGTATATATAGGTAGCTGTCCTCTCCCAGTACTTCTCACCACCTTTAAACTTTGAAGGAAACCTGGATATTTTATTGTAATGTGCTTGAAACCCTGTGGAACCAGTATGACTGCGCACAGCAGCAGCAGACGAGTAAGAGTCACCTTTGAGGATGGTCATGTTGATGAAGGTGCGGACCTCCGGCACATGGCTGAACCCTCCGGCGGCCAGCTCGGCTCCGCTGCCCTCTGCTGGCTCCAGGTCGTCACAGCAGCGCTTGCAGAGGGCAGTAGCACTCGGGGGAGGCACCAGGGCCACCAGGGAACAGAGGGACAGAATGAGGAGGACACCCAACATGGCTGTGCCTATAGAGTCAGAGCAGAGGAAACTATCAGAAGATCGAATCGCCACCTGGAGCAGACGTCCAGTGAAGACTGGTGCCACAGAGATCTGAAGTTCTTTCACTTAAAACAAAGGATCTGTTGTGCACCTTCCAGGTGACTGAATGCTACTTGGCGCAACATTTAATAACCAGTAGAAAATACCATTAGCTGCACCAGCAGTGAAGCACGCACCATTCAATTTATGTAACAATGCCGAGTTATGATTTGTTCAGCAGCTGCTCAGAAAATAAGATCATTCTAGATGTGATTCCCAGAGCAGTGGAAAAGAGAAAGAGGAATCTTCGACCGTGAGCCAGTGAAAATACTGAAGGTGGATTGCACTGAGAGAGTGACATTTCACTGGTTGATCTCTGCTCATGTATCTACATGTGTCACAGAGCCGGCTCTAACAGACGGTGCCTCAAAGACGCACTAATGTGCTTCTCATCCAAATCCCGAAAGTAAAGGCAACGACATAAAAATGGGGCGAAGGCGGAGCGACATGACAAATGACCCCGCAGACGACCCATAGTTCATCAACTATTAGCTCAAGAAGGAATGATGGTTTTAACCCAGAGAGAGAGAGAGAGAGAGAGAGAGAGAATGTTTCAGTGGAAAAGTTTTGGCCGTCTGCCAGGCTGCAGTGATCAGCCCGTCTCTGTGAACTGGAACTGGAACAGCGTGTGCTGCTGTGTTTACATAGGACAGCTGCATCCATACTGAGAGTTACATCCTGCATACATGACTGATACTCAGTAAAAGAAACACACACACACACACAGAGATTCTAAACGTTACAAACATTTATGATTAAAGTTTTCCCATTACGGGGAGAAGAAAAACGTTTTGGAGCGACTGTGTTTGCTGGCAGCTCAGCTCCAGTCTGGGCTTTCCCCTGATTGTGTTTGGTAGAAACAGAGGACATTAAACCAGCGGCACCGGTCGCTGTCTTGTTTGTTTGAAGCGACTCTTAATATTTTTGCAAGAAGACACAGAATGAACAGAGAAGACATGGACACAGTCGTTTTGTGTGTCAGTCTGGCTGTTTGGCTCCTCTGTTTGGAGGTTTGGAGTCATTGCTTTCTTTCTTTTTTTTAACTTTATTTTTATCGTGCCAAATCACCACAGACGTCATCTTAAGGCTCTTTTCAAATCCAGCAGGTTTAGACTGTCTTTACTGCCTCGTGCCATTTTCTCTCCCGAGTAAGAATTTGTTTGTATTTGTCATTTACTCTGATGAGATTTCTGTCTCTATCTCTAGTCCGTTACTGTGTGTTTACCACACTCTCACCTTTGTGTCCACCGGCAGATTGTGTGTGCATTTGCAACGGCAGTTGTGCAGCTGTGTGGTGCATATTCAGTGAAAATATTATCATTGGTCCTCATTGGTGTTTTCTCTATTTGTCATTTATCTTGCAGTGAAAATCTGCTACTTGTGTTGAGGCTCTGCTGAGATTTCCAGACTGAAGCACAGATGGTCATTCAGTGCGTTTGATGTGGCTCATACACTGACCAGAGATATTACATAACTGTTTCTTTGTGGAAACCCCTACTTGAACTGGAAACTTGTACGTCAGATATGCTACACACTGCATGCATTTATGTCCTGTCTGGAGGCATCTGTGTACACCTTGATTTTCACTTGTGTTAAATTGCAAATTTGTATTTTAGCTTTAAAGTCCATGTTTAGTCAGTACATGCAGGGACATCCCGTGAGATGCAGCAATGAAAACGAATGTGCATTTTGCAGATTGCCATGTATTAACTACACTGCACAAGCCTGTTTCTATATTTAAAGTGTGGAGCCCAGTCAAGACTCATAACCAAGTCGCCAGAAACAACATAAACTCCCCCCGTCATGCACCCAGCTGGTAACTGAGATCTGTACGTGAATCGACCTCACCTCGTTGACGTCTCTGCAGCCGCTTCAGTCCGCTGAGGAGACAGAGGACGGAGGAGAGAGACACTCCCTCTCCCTCTCTCTGTCTGTGCGTGAGTGAGTTGTGAGACGTTTCCTATAAATCCCTCCTAGTCTCTTGCAGACTCTGGCAACAAGTGTCCGTCTACTGATTTGACTCTAAAATCATAATCAAAGATAGAGGAAACAAAACATATGTGCAGCTGCTAAAGCTGCCAAAGCCACAAAAATGTGTAGGGTGCAATTGTGGAAATGTCTGCACGGGTCTATTTATGTTATGGAAAGTCCTGTTCGTTTGCCCCTGGGTCTGTATTTCCTCTGTGCTGAATTCCTCCATACCCCCCATCTGCTGCAGCTGCAAGGAGAGAGAGAGAGAGAGAGAGAGACTAATGCAAAAAAAATGCAGGATCTGGGTCAGACTCCTGTTCTGCTCTGTGTCAGGTTTGTCTTTGGAGGGAGGGAGATGACAGAGAAAATGCAAGACAATCACATAATAGGACAGAGTTGGGGGGGTAAATGAAGAGAATGATGGACGGAAACTGCAGGAAGAATAAGAAGACAGGTGACCACGGAGGGTGTGTGTGATCGGTGCTTCGTGCTGCTGCAAGGCAGATGACAATTAAGATAAAATGTTATTAACAGATTTAATTAGACATCATACATCATAGTTTATCAAACCGGATGAATGGAAAAATTACCCACAGAAAAGCTTACCATGTGTCTGCACAAAATTAGCACATTGAGCAAAAAAAAAATCATGGAACTGCCCCCCTCTTTAAAGCAGATATTTGCACGTTTTTGCTCTTGCTAGGTAGCTAACATTAGCATCAACGGCTGTTTACTGTTTACCGGTGTAGAAGAAACATTGTGAGTTCAGCATCAAACTTCATTCCTTTACCAACCCAGAGGAAATAGAATAGAACCACCGCTGTTGTTTTGCTTCTATTTGTATCTATCTACGCTGAAGTTAGCATGCTAACCAGCTAGCACCAGTCCATGCGCCCCAGGGTGTGCTAACCTCTGGTAAACACAACGACGGCTGAAGCTCTCAGCAACAGGTGTTAATGCTAACGGTGGCTATGTAGCAATGACAAAACGTACAAATCTTTTGATAATTCATGCCACTCTGTTAAATATACGGCTACTTCCAGCAGGTTATCTTAGCTCAGCATTTTTTAGGTTTCTGTTTTGTACGGAGTGAGCAAAGACGGTATAACGCGGTAATGACTGAGCTTCAGATGCCTTTGAGTGTTTCCACTCTTTATGCTAAGCTAAACGGCGGTGTGGACGGTAGCTTCATACACAGACATGAGAGCGGTATCAAGAAACTTTTAGCGACGTGGTCCAAACTGTTTCTTGAAGCATCATCGACAGCCGTTTTATCACAGCTCGCACGTGTATGAGCTGTTAGCAACGCAACCGAGGAGCGATTGATTCATTTTTATGGTTTTTTGGACGTCTGAAGTGGTTAAACTATCCAAGTATTACGCAATAAAAAAAACAAATATTATTTCGTATCTTGTTAATCTTCTCGCAAATACACTCAACCCTGCGTTCATCCACCGTACAGCGCAGCTCATCATCACGTCATTGTGTGAAATAAGTCCAACTAACTATTCTATGATCCGTGCTGCTGAACAAGTGGAGGCTGAGGCAGGATTTGTGCACACGTGCATGAGCAACAGCTGTTGAACATTATCCCCAGTGGGTCTCAAGGGTTGAGGTTTCATAGATTGTTCTGACATTACATAAGAAGAACATTCCTCTGTTTTTTTTCTGGCCAATGTAAACTACCGCCCGATGCAGTTGACGCCGTCCTCCTGTGAACATCTACTATCTGCTGCCTTCAGGAGTCAGACTCTGGATCTCCAGTGCAGCTCATAACTCTGTCATCCCTCTCTGTGTGTACTAATCCTCCTCTGGTGATCTTTCAGGTGGTATTTAAGACTCTTAAATCTGGCGTCTCATTTATCTCTGTGTTTGGTATCAACTATATGAGCAGCAGCAGCAGCAGCAGCAGCATCTCTGAACCCAGGTGAGCCATTTTCCCTGACACCTGGATGTGGTGATTCCTGATCACAGTACAGCAGCTCATTTTTACAGCTCATAAACCCGACTAGAGACTTTCAGGGCCCCAGGCAGATTTTTATTTTTTTTGACTCCCACAATCCCACCCGCATTTTTCCCCCCCAAAACATATTGTTAGTGGTTGACATAAGTATGGGGACTTGCATTCAAATTTGGATACCAGAGGTGAGTTCAGATTTCTTGTGGTTTAGCTCAGGAAAAAACAAAGAACACAGACAGCTGGTCCGCAGGCTGGTGGACAAACTTAATGCTCACGAGAACATGAGTAACCCATGTGGTTATAAAGCATTTCTCTGCATGCACACATTTATAGTAACTTACCATGTAGTAAATTTAAGACGGTAATTTATCCGGATGACTCATGAGAAGACGATTGTTCCTGCAGGTTTTATCACCTAACTGTCTCTTCTGTTTTGATGGAATCAGTGAAGCTTTTCTCTCTTTGAGTTTCTGAGTTCAGAGTCAGGTTAAATTCAGTCGAGACAGTTGGATTAGTTTTTGTTTTTTTCAAATGAAGCCATTTTTTTTTCAAGCAGGGGGTGTGATGCTGTAATATAACAATCTGACTTTTTAGGAAATATGTTAATTCACTTCTTTCTTTTTTTTAAAGACCTCTATCAAGTCTGCATATACAGCCAGCAGCCAGTTAGCTTAGCTTAGCTCAGCACAAAGACTGGAAACAGGGGGAAACAGTTAGCCTGGCTCTGTCCAACAGTATAACAAAACTTGCCAACCAGCCTCCAGAGCTCAATAATCAACTTGTTAACAACTTGTTATTGTTGGACTTTTTCTTTGCAGGAAGCTGTAACTTGTTTTTCTTGCTAACTGCACATGGCTAAGAAATAGTCTGTCACATTTTCCCCCATTAAACAATTAATTCTTGTTTTTTTAAACTACACAAACAGTTTTACACAAACAGAGCCAGGCTAGCTGTTCCTCCCCATCTCTATTCTTTGTGCTAAACTAAGCTAAGCTAATAATTGCATATTCTAGCATTATAGTTACCATACATACACAAGATTGGTATTAATCTTCCCATCTAACTCTCCTCAAGAAAGTGTATTTCTAAAAATGTTGAACTGTTGCTTTAAACCAAACAGAAACTATAGAAAGGTCAAGAATCATTATGGAGAAAATGAAACTTGCAGTTGCCTTAAGAACGTCTGTTTCTTATCAAAGGAGATTATAGTCACACAGGCTCAGTGCAAAAATACATGAACATATTTAATGAACAAAAAGAAAAGAAAAACAACTGTTAAACTTCTGTTTGTTTTCCAGTCAATAAACAGGCTCATGGATCTGCTCCTGTTGTTTTGGTACAAGCTCTTTCTCACGCTGGCCCTCACCAGTGTTTGGCTCCTGTGGTGGTTGTGACTGATCCGGCGTCTCCTCCTTCTGATAGCAATGGTATCTGTTTCTCCTCCACACGGTCAGCTCGTCCTCACGTCCTCCCCATTTCTCTGTGGGTTAGATCCAAAACAAACTCTGTGGGTTTTCAGGGTATTTTCTCTCTCTCTTTTTCTCTCTCTCTCTGTGAGTGACGCCTGAAAAACAGCACAGGGAACAAAGGGGGGGGGGGGGGGGGGGGATGTTTTAAGTGACACCAAACAGATCCCAGAGAAAGAAGAAGAAGAAGAAGAAGAAGAGGAGGAGGAGGAAGAGTCACCTAGTGGTAGACTGAACAAAGTACACCAGAGATACTTCAATCTGCTCTGGGATACAAACCAAACGTGTCAACAGTCATTCACACAAAAAATAGAGAGTCAAATCTTATGATACAGATGCAGAACTGAACTAATTTTACCCAGAATTCATTGGTATAAAACAATTTTGAGTTGTTTTGACCAAGTGTTAGTGTTTTTAACTTTTTACTGTTGGTCATTTATACAAACTACATGATATGGTTGTGAAGTGTTCTCTGTGAACTCTAACTCTTGTCTCTATCTGTTATTGATTATCAATAAAATGTTTATTCTTTGCAGTTTTGATGAATGAACCTGCAGATCTTTTTTTATATGTTTGTGACAGTTTTAAAGGTAAAACTTGGACTTATTGTTTCTCACTCTAAGCCATTAGATAGATAGACAGACAGACAGACAGACAGATAGATGATAGATAGATAGATAGATAGATAGATAGATAGATAGATAGATAGATAGATAGATAGATAGATAGATAGATAGATAGATAGATAGATAGACAGATAGATAGATTTTCTTGTTTGGTGAAGATTCAGTGTTTCTGTCTTTGACATTTGGACAGATGTAAATTCATCCTGGATTGCACCATTTCTCAGTCTGTGTCTGAATAACAGGTTTTGAGCAACAGGTAAAACTAAGCAGATGAGCAGAAGAGCTCTCTTTATATCAAATGTTGTGTAATTCAGTGGAACAGCTCGACATAATTCGGGTGTGAAGTTTAACGTGTGAAGCTGTTGTGAAATGGAAAGAGGAGATTGTAGAGACACTGATGAAAAGCAGCATGTTGTGTGGTTTCTTACTGTCATGGCTAAATATTGTAAATTCTCTGTGAGGTGAGCGGATGTCGCTGGCTGTGTCAGAGTTAAATGTCAAACCACACTTGAATACACATGCTCGCTCGCTCTCTCTCTCTCTCACACACACACACACACACACACATACACAAACACACACACACATACCACGACCACCTGACAGGACATATAAACAACACACACACACACAGAAAGAGAAGTAAAGGTGTCTCTCTCACATGCCTCCTCACGTCGGCTCACATGCCCACCCCTCAGCCCTCATTCCACGCAACACAGGAAGTCAAAGGGTGACCCATTTCTACCAGAGCTTTTATTTTGCTTGGTCTCTGCACAGATGTCACTGAGTGCAACGGAAATATACTGCGTGTGTGGAGCAGCAAAGATTAGCAACATTTATCACTGACCTCATTGATTTACATGAATGTAGAATAAGCAGTCATTTAATAAACATGGTCCTTAATGTGTTAAGAGACTTTTTCACTGTGGATAGCAAAAGTTTACCGGGTGCAGTTATTACTGTGGAGTGGATCTGCTTCTGAAATAATGATAAACTGATGATTAATGATTTGATTTCTTGCATGAGGTTCAAACAAATGACAACAAATGACTTACAAAAACATCAGTGGCAAACCAGCTGCCTTTCCTTTGATGGTAAATCAATGTAAGTAAAAAAAAATCAATCAGTTTAATGCTTAACTATTGCTATAGAGTTAAACATCAGCTCAGAGCACAAGCGATAACAGATGTCATATACTATAATGTCTTCTCTCTAAAGTAAGTAGTAGATTACATGTCTATTAAAAGTAATTTATTACTATATTCATATAATCAAAGCACTTCTGACTCCCGTCCCACTGCTCTCAAAATCCTAGATCTGCCTGCAGGAATAAAGATTTTTATTAGTAGTTTGAAAGAGCTCTCACAGCACATGTCTTTGTAGGATACAGGTTAAAGTAATAAGTATTTTTAAGATGGTATCATTAATAACTGATGGCACTTTCATACTCTGCAATTTTATTACATATATTTTTTAACACTAATGCCAAACAAAGCTGACTGAAACTGAAGAATTAATCATTCAAAAATACTTCAGCTTTAAATCTTTCCGGTGTGTTTCTGAAAGGTTGGGTTGTTCTTTAACTGCGCTGTGTCACACAGTCCGTTGATGTTTTACATGTATATCTTATCTGATCTCATCGTGACACATTCCTGCACCATAACTCTATTGATTTCAGCAATAATCACAGCAAAAGACCCTTCAGTGGTTGTGTCTGAACAGTGACAGTGCTGAAGTAATGCTATCTACGTTTTTTGTTTGTTTGTTTGTTTGTTTTTTATTAATGCAACCTAAGTAGCACTTTGTAGCAAGCTACAGTATCTGATTATCTGATTATTAAAAATCTAAGTTTGTGTAGATGCAGGGAATCAAAGGATAACATGTGATGTGAAATGTTCAGGTCATACGTAGTTTTTTCAGCCTCTTTCAGCTTGTTTTGGTTTTCTGGCTCACGACTTTTTACTGTTTTGGCTCAACGCTCTTATGAAGCTTGTTTAACCCACCGTACGCTACATGTCCAACACCACCAAGTTAGTGACTTAGCTTCTGAACACAGTGGAGAATTTAGCAGCTAAAGAGCCAGATGTTTCCCTCAGGAGTTAGTGAGACCAAAACAGAGCTGAAAGGGTTGTGAATATTGGACTTGCATTCACCAGGTGACCAGAAACACAACCCCACCTGCTAACGAGTTAACCATAACAACTTCGTCAGCTTGTTCTGCTGCCTCCTAGTGAAATATATATATAAATGCAGAGAACCCTCCCAATATGCTCCAAATCAAACTGCAACACACATCAATCTGTCAGGTTTGCTTCGTGATGTAAACACAGATTAAATTTCAAATGTTGTCACGGACGTTTTCAGATGGATTTATTGCTGAATGTGGTCTGTAGTTCTTTGAGGGTGAGGTAGCCCGTCTTACAGGGCTCAACGGGCATCGAGGAAGACCTGCACATGGAACCAGCCACGGGCCAGGCCGTGTAGCTTTCACCAGCAGCCTCCTCAGGTTCATCGTCCACCTCCTGGCTGTCAGAGCGTATCTGAGTTAGACTGGGAGGATGAGGAGGGGGTGGAGCGGAGGAAGGAGGGCACGCCCAGGAAGAAAGATGCAGAGGGAGGATAAGAAGGGGTGAGCTCTGGTGGTCGTCTGACCCCTCCTCTAAACGCACGCCCTTCTCATCTTCCTTGCCCTCTTCGTCTTCCTGTCCGATGCCGAAGCCGGAGTCTGGGCTCTGCGGCTCCCTCTTCAGGCTCTCGTAGGCTCGGAGGGCGGTGAAGGAGGGGCAGAGGGAGAAGTGGAGGTTGTCGTGCAGATTGTGGAAATCATCCTGATAGGTGAAGTAGGCAGGACCGGGGTCAGTTCGAGCCAAGCCGCTGGAGGCGTTGGACATGAAATAGCCCATGTTAGAGAAGCAGGATGAGGAGGAGGAGGAATTATCGACAACCCCGCTAGTGTCAGAGCCAGCGGTGGGGTAGCTCCGGGAGTGAAGCAGAGCGCAGGTGGAGCTGGTGGAGGGAGAGGTGGAAGGCACCACATCCCAGCTTTCACACACCTCCACCTGGGAGATGTGGTCGCACGGCTGAGCTGTGAAGAACGATTCAGAGGCCGACAGAGGATTCAGCCATTTCTAGGAAAAAATAAAAAAGACATTTAGACAAGAAAACCACACCTGAGGAACGACACGACAGTCATGAATGTCCTGATGACATATGTGAGTGTTTTGGGGAGTTTATGTCAGTGATGTTTCAAATACAAGCAACAGACAAACCACACAAGGAAGCATGTTCTTTTGTGGTTTAAAATTTTGATTTCACTAATCTGGGACAAACTTTGGCTGCAGCTCTTTCCTTTTTCCTGGTAATCAGGAACCCGAGCTGCGGACTGAGAATAGGCAAGTGTGTCATCAGCATCCTGCTTGTCCGGGTGAGGGAGACTTGCAGGTGAATTGTGGTCATTAGAAGATGATAGCAACAGACTCACGATAGTTTCAGTGTCTGTAAAGCTCAAAAGCGATTGGACCCTAGCCACGCTTCCTGAAAGGTTTAGATGAGAGGTTTAAAACATTTGCATGACTTTGCTCTAAATCTTTGAATATGAGGTTGGGATCAAAGAACAGCTTTTTGACAGAAAGAGCTTTTCTTATTTTTTTAAATAAAAAGCATCATCAAAATGGAAGCAGCAGAGAACGAGATATCCTAACCTTCATCTCTAGTATATGGCTCAAGCTCCAAAACACAAGCTTTCTTTTATAAATAAAACCCCTAATGACATCGTCCGGGTTATTTTCTCAGACTGGACAAACCAGAGCCACAGAAGACATTATATGTGTTAGTGCTCGTCGAGACTATAAACTGACTTTTATAAACATCTAATAGACCTGATTTTTTAAATGTAAGACAGGATAGGTTTAGAGAATTACCATCCCCCACAATGAGAGGCAAAAAAAATCCCCGTGGAGACCCCCTGACAAACAACAGTGTCATCTGTTCGTGCAAGTGCTCGAAAATGCCATATGACCACAACTGTTAACATCAACCACATGTTTACTACTGTAGTGATCATCACACCAACTTAATTCAAAGTGCGATGTCTCCCACACCCTCCTGTTGTCCTCGGGTCAGATTTAAACTGTTTTCAAATCAGAAATCTGGTTTCTTTCATGTAAACTGAAAATAACACGGATGGTTCCTTACTAAACTTTTGGAAAATTTGCTGATTGAGTTTTGGGTGTTTTATTCAAATTTATAGCATCTGTCATTTTCTTGGGTCAAATTTGACGTGGCCACTACAACGGATCACACGACTGAAATGGTTTCAAAACAGTATTCTGACTAAACTTTGACATGTACCTGTCTGTGATAATCCATCAACATATGTTCTCCTGATTTTAACTATAGTCAAAATAATTCAAAATTTAGTTTGTTTTAAATCAAAAACAAGGTATACTTTTATGTAAATTAGGTTTATTGACCATAAAATTTAAAAAAGAAAGTGTAAAAGTCGCAGTAATGAGTTGGAATGAAGTCGACTTAAAAGGTGTGATGCAATTATTGGGTAATAATTTTATACTTATACATGTTTTATAAACGGTCAAACAACAGATCGGGTCAATTTTGAGACGGGAGGACAAAAGTTTCACAGTTTCAACCTAAAAACATGATATTTTCCTTAAACCTGACCAAACCTTGACCACAGCTTTGTCACATCATAAAAACGGATCTATTTTTCAGCAGTTTTGGACGGAACAGACGATGATGACGTCCTGCTGATCAGAAAACACTTCTATGACTCGTCCTGGAAGCCCTAGAAAAACGAAGACTTGTCGTTGCCTTTATGACGGCCACATTTTGCAGCATTAACACTATGATACTGCTGCTCCTCGTCTCGCTGCAGTGCTGTTTACAGTTTCATCAGACTCCATGTTCAGTAACCAAAGACATTATTTAGCGCTGGTCAGTTCTGGTCAGTACTCGCTGTAACTGAATATTGATTGAACATTAACTACTTACATTCATGTGCAGTAACAGAGCAACAGAACACATGAAGAGATTCAAATAATAAATTTGAAGGGAACATGTCATCACACCTGAATGTTGAAAGCCACGTGAATACCGCACAGTTATGTTACCTGCGTGTATAAATAGTTCATGAAATTTTGTGGTAACAGCTGCAGTTTCTAAACCATGTGTCAAAATGTTCCATGTGGTAAGAAGCAGTGCAGAATTTAAGGGCTTCATGTTTGGCGAGAACGTGTGTTTTTACCTTTAGATTCCCTCCGTGGACAGGGTGGAGCGTGGGGAAGTATTTAGACGGGTTTGGTACTTGCTTCTCCTTCAGACGCCTGAAGCAGCACGAGAGAGCCGTTATGTCAGACATACTGCGTGAAAACACCTGATGCACAAAAGCCAAAGACAAGCGCACTGTATACTCACCGCCTGCACAGGCAACTCATGTAAAAGAGCAGCACTACAACAAAGAGCCCCATGCTCAGCACCACTCCCTGCACCACCAGCGATGTGTGATCCAGAAACCAACCTGAAACAGAGAGATGACATCTCAATGTGTAAGATGCAGGTATTTTCCCCTTCGAGAGCTGATGCAGACGCAACCCCAGAGTTTCTTTTTCCTGCCTGTGCTTTGTAAAGACCTTGAACCTAAGGTGACCAGATTTCTGAGATGAAAAAAAGCGTGGACAATTTGAGTTCGACGGGTAATATGTCATTAAAATATCTGATGTTTTTAACCAGCCGACAGTTTCATGTATTTTGATCCTGGTAACTGTTGTACTGTAATACACTATGGTGAAGGATGACTGATAAAATGACAGCTCCCTACCTTTGAAGCAGTTGAGAAGTCCGATTGTCTATCTACTTGTCAATTATTTAGTTTGTAAGAGTCCACAGATCAAAAGAATCAAAAGCATTTTAGTATTCCACGTTGTGAATATTGTCATGTGAAGTTCAATACAGACAGTCAGGCGACTTCTTCTTCACTTCTTCCAAAATGAAAACAGTTTTGTCAAGTTTCCACTGGTGGGCTTTAGGTATGTTTGTTTTTGTTAGTTTGCTGCCTGGTTATGAATTCTGACCAATGAGTGAGCCAACTAATCTCTTCTCTTCCTTGAGATAACAACAAAAAAAAAAAATTGGATAACTCACTTTTAGCATAATTTTTGAAGCTACTGCAGCTAGCAGCTAGCCCCCTCTGTTCGCCAAAACAAGCGCAACATTAGTTTTAATTCACAGTTAAAAATGGGGACATTTCCGGGGTCTGGTCCCCCTACTTGAACCCGACTGGACAACTACATTTTCCAGCTGGTCCAGGATCATTTTGACCCAAGAAGAATGATCTATTTCGAAATGAGAGTTGTCATCCTGGAATCCTTTGCAATTGCTGATAGTTTTTCTTGTCGTTACCTTGATCCTGTGACGCCACATCTGGCGCTCCCATCCAAGATGTTGTTGGACTCCAGTTGCTCCAGTGGCTGTCGCAGTGCTCGCCACTGGACTTGACTCTCACCCTCACCTGGCTGTGCCCCTTTAGCTGCCAAGCAGGTATTCTTAGGCCTTTGGCTTGTGTAAACAAAGTACTGGCCTCCTGTAAAAGGATAAAAATTTGGCACAATTTGAAAACCTTATATAAACCTATCCATCTCTTATTCTAACAACTACAGTGTCAAATAATATGTCAGAGTGATTCATCTCATGAATAGCACAGGTTCAGTAGCAGCTGAATTTGCATGACATATGTGTGAAACCAGACCCTGCCTCTCTGCTGCAACCAAATAAACACAACAACAACATTAAGACCAGACATCAGTGGAAGGGGAAGTGTCTAATGTTAAACTTAAGAGGAGACGATGGTGTCAGTACATTTCCACATGAATATTTGTCACAAATGAGAAAAACACTAAAGAAGAAGAAGCTACAAGAATAGCAGCTGCAGGGATGGTAGCGTCGGTCGGTCGGTTGATCCACCGCTTTGACATTCTGACTTTCATGATTCCCAGATGAGGAATATTCCTTTACTGCTCCATCTAGCACCATCGTCAAGTCAACATTTTAATTTCTCCAACACTTTGTTGTATAAAATGTCTGTGTGTGTAGCCACTCACCTTCCATGTCTGTTTCTGTAGTTTGATCTGAATTTGGAAATCAAAGGTTACGATATAGTCAGAGAGAGGACTGCCTGGACTCCATGATAACCAGGTCTCATTAGCAGTGCTCCTGACATTGGGAACACCTGGAGGATTCAATTTGACTGTAGACACACACACACACACATGAAGACAAAAATAGCAAAATTATTAGTCTTTTTTCAAAAGTCTTTTAGTACCAGAGGTAGTAAGAAGAAACAGCTACTCACTGTGTTCACACGGGTCATAGTCGGTGAGGATCTCCAACAACTTGCCGTCACACTTCACGCTGATGTTGGGCATGACTTCATAAAAGTCAAATTCCTGGAGGGACCCATTATGTCATTATGTAAGCCGTAAAACAGTGAGGACAGTGACTGCATGTGCAAAAGCAATAACAAGTCTAATGGCAGAGCTGACTTTGGATTTTATTAATGGATCACGGCTGAACAAAACATTTAAAACATCAAACACTCGTTCAAAAGTGTTGTAAAGAAACTCTTGACATGTTCTTGTGAATAATATATGTATATATATTGTATGTTATTGTAAATAGTATTTCTAATTTATCTTATTTATTCTGGATTCTGTTCCTATTCTTATTTCATTTCCTCATTAAAATTTTCCCCCGCGATTCTTTTGTGCTGCTGTGTCCATTTGAATTTCCTCTATGGGGGATCAATAAAAGTACATTTTATCTAATCTTATCTTATCTAATCTTATATCACCTCATCTCATCTCTTCTTATTTTATCTAATTTTTTTAAGTATATTTTTTTGGGGCTTTTCATGCCTTTATTTGACAGGACAGTAGAGAGACAGGAAACGGGGAGGCAGAGAGGGGGAATGACCGTCCGATGTGGGACTCGAACCGGAGCCGACTACAGCGAGGACTGTGGCCTCTACTAATGGGGCGCCTGCTCAGACCACTACGCCACACGACGCCCCATTTTATCTAATCCTGGTGACTTACTTGATTTTCGAAGACGAAGCTGCAGCCTGGAGGAGAGGCTCCCTGTTGTTTCAGCTTGCAGCTTTGGCTAGTTAAAAACAAAACAAACAAACCCCCGGGACAAACAGGTTTATTTTCTCTTCATGGAATCTCCAAGAAAATGAAGCAAATACATTTTTAAACAGCCAATAACAAATACAACATCTGTATTATCTTACTCGATTAGTTTGGGAACTCTTCTGTTGCTCTCGAACTTCCAGATTTTCTTGACACCGTGGATCCAACAGTCCAGACCAGGAGCCACAGCGGTGCTGTTCCACGTGCAGCTGACATTGTTGACAAAGTCGTTCACACAGGAAAGTCCTTGAGAGCCAGAGACACAACAACAGACAGACAGACAGACAGACAGAGATAATGTTGGTCTCACTGGACTTCATGTAGGACATTCAGATGGACCCGCTGGACAAATAAATTCTTACCCTGAGACTCGTTCTGGGAGCGAGCTGCATGGGCCGAACACAGGGGCAGGATGAATAAGGTCCACAGCATCTCCACCGCCATGACCACAATATGACTGAGAACAGAGAGGATCAATACATACTCTATATTAGATATGAGGTTAAACACATAAAATACATCGGAGTGGAACTTAAAAAGCAAGAAATATAACAAAACTGTTGTAAAGACATTTGATCCAAAAGCAGCATTTAAATGATATCCAAGTAAACCTGGGGAATACGTGTGAGGATCAGAAGCTTTCTAACCTTTGTCACATGTTTCTACCTCCATATTTTTTCTGAAATGAAGTTTCTGAACTGGTTTGTGAAACCGTACCAATCATCATCAGCACTAGAGATGAACACTTGTGAGAGTGAGAAAACAACACCAGATCCACACCGAGCGAACACTCATCTCCACGAGTAACTGAAAACACCGGCACCTGTACGACAGAGAATGTACCGACTGTGTGTCACAGTAAGAGCTTCCTGGTTGGCCGTACACATAAGACTTATTTTATTTGACATTTATGTTTATTGTGGCTGACTTCAGTTGCAGTGTGAGCAAAAACAAGTGGTCACACATGACTGATAATAAAACTAAAGTAGAACTGACATCCAAAGTCCTCCTGTAGATAAATCAGGCTACAGATTACGATTATTTATGACCCAAAGAAGAAGAATTTTCCCATTAAGTCACACATGTTGTCCCCAGTTTGAGTCATCAGTCACTGCTGGTTTTTTTCCGCTTACAGCCTGAGCTGAGTAGGACTGCGAGCGCCTTTCTGAAAGGTGCAGATGTGTCACTGTGACTGATATACATGTTATAAAATAATTCACAGTGGAAACAAAACCACTTGTTCCTAATAACAGCGGCCGCTCAGGAAACCTACACAACACCTGACAACTCAACAGCCAAAAGAAATGTAAGAAATGATGCTGAAGGTGCAAACCTTCAAACACTCCAATACACAGAGATAACTCATCACAAGAATATTGCCACAATATATTTAATATATATGATATAATGATAATAATAATATCTTATAGTCTTGTGTTGTTGTTTTTTTTTTGTTTGTTTTTAACAGAAATAGTTAAAAAATAAAAAATAAATTAAAAGTGATACACCACCTGATCAGTGTTGGTCAGTGAAGGCAGCAGCAGGTCCCTGAGACGAGACACATCGTCGTCTCCTCCGCTGGTCAGATGAATTTATGGTTTCCTTTTCTTCTGTCTCTGTCTTTCTATTCTACTATTTCACTCTCTTAAACAATCTCCCCCCTCTCTCTCTCTCTCTCTCTCTCTCTCTCTCTCTCTATCTCTCTCTCTCTCTCTCTCTCACTCTCACTGTCACTCACACTCATCCCTCTGTCTCCTCATTCTCACCGCGCTCTCTTCTTTTAAATGCCCAGTGACATTTTCCACTTGTAACCACAGCCCATGTCTAAGGGCTTTACAGGAAGCCTGTCGACGCTGTGAGTGACAGAGAGAGAGAGAGAGAGAGAGAGAGAGAGAGAGAGAGAGAGCGATGGGCCGGGGTGGGGGTGGGTGGGGTGTGGGTGGGTTAACTGAGCGGGGGCCTCTCAGTTGTAGAGCACCGCCCTCCTGCGCACCACCAGTAGCAGCTACCTGGACCCTGTCACGACTTTTACCATAATAATTGTACTGAAAACAAGAAATACAAAGCAACACCACATCCTGTTTCAATCACAACGTTAAGTGGGTTGCATAAAGAGAAACTTGCACATTGTCCTATGAAGTGGTTTGTGTCAACGAAACTCTGCTTAAACTGAAGATTCGGGGGATTAAAGAGGCTAAAGCTACCAGATTTAGAACCATGGGGGTTATTTAAGATACAGACAAAACACACAAGAAAAAAGCTGTACAGCGCCAAAACCGCTGCTGTTACAGCCGCAACCACTGCACACACATCTGTATACTACTCAAGTGTTTCTATAGAGGGAAGAGGAGAGAAGGATCAAAGTTAAGCAGCAGCCTGCTCTTCGCTCAAAGGTCATTCAACATTTCATCTTCGTAAACCGCAAGCCTCAAATAAATGTCCTCTCATTGTCGGGGAGATTATCGGAGTTTTATTAAGCTTTTATTAAGCTAACTGGAGTTCTATGTCTGTTTTCCTCTTGTATAGTTTATCTACATATGTATAAATATATATGTATATTAACTTGTTTTCTAAAACCTCAAATTTAAAAACACAGCCGTAGAAGGAGACACGTTTCTAATACATATTATCATTATATGAAAATCATTATGGAGATGGTGTTTGACAGATTTCTTTTTATCTCATCCTTTTCCTGAAAAAATCAAAAAAGATGGTCTCAAAAATGTTTGTGAGAGACACGTCTTGGGTTTGCTCCTGTTTATCGTCTCATAATAACCGTTCATTTGGAAGCTTTTGGTTCTAATGTCCCTCCTCACGTCCAGTTTCAGCTGCGTAAAAAACATCAACATGTTGAGGTTGAAATCAGAGCCCAGTTGAGAAATTGTTGTCAGGGTGTTGCAAAATGTTTTAAAAACATCTTAAATCATGACCCAACCCCAATAACTTTAATACAGTCCCTAGTGTGCTCTGTTCATCAGGATCTCCGCGAGGCAGCGACACACGAAACAAGACGTGCAGGTTCTGCCTGGAGATTTGAATGAACAGAAATATTCCATTGTACAGAAACGCAAGTCAAACTAAATATGAAAAGTGCCGCAGACGAAGAATAAATGGCAGTGAAACAGAGAAACATTTATATATTCACTCGGTTAAATTGAAACCTTTAAATGTTGAGTACTGCAGAGTCGACTGAATTGATCATATCAATGTCGGTCTTACGAACACTCTGATATCTGAGTGTTCATCTCACTCTTCAGGTTCAATGAAAGGCCATTGTGTAACACGCATCCATGCTGCATATATAGGTCTACAAACCAAAAAGCATTCACACATACAACAACTGTTGCAACACAACGTCTGAACTCAGAAGTCAGCAGGTGCCTGCAGTAGGCCAGAGGGTGATCTGATGCAGCCCCCTCGCTAGTTCCTGCAGCTCGTAAGGTGTCAGCATCACTTTACAGGAGAGACGACGGCAGGGGAGGGTAGAAGCGTGCAGAGGAGGTGTAGGAGGAAGAACAGCGTTCAGAACTTGTCAAAAGGTCAAAGTCCGCCATGCCTGAGGCGGGAAGCTGCTAAGAAGACCATAATGATGCTCGCGCTCAGACGGCAACAAGAAAACAGTCTCCATCAACAGACCACAAAGACAAGGGGGGGGTTTCAGTTGGGTAGAGGTGAGAACAATAACAAGGGAGGGTACACTTAGAGCAAAACCTGTGCCTCTATAAAAAAAAAACATGACGTAAATTGAATTTCATACAATAAATATAGTTCTATTTTTTCTGCTTAAAAAAGTTAAAACAGCTGCCACCACATCTGCTCTCTGTTTAACACTGTTCATCGACTCCCTGAATGCAGAAGTCAACTGCTAAAATATGTACAATTCCTGTAAGTAGAGGCCAGAGTTGACTAAGCTCAGTATATGTTGTATAGGTCTGCATATTAACATGATTCACACACAGTCCTGACACAAGGGCTTCCACTGTTGTGTCAAGAACCCAACCTAAGCGTCTACAGCGAGGTTAGCAGAGGCTGCACAGCAGAGCTTCAGCTACATGCTAATGTTAGCAGGCTGGCAGGCATATAGTTACCATGTGCAATATCTTAGTTTTGCATGTTAGCCCGCTAACATTTTTTTGTAATTAGCTCAAAATAGAAGAAAGTACTGGACAAAATGACATGACAGCAAACGAACAAACACGTGCTACATATGCTACAGCTTGGCTGACCTTACAGATCCCTCCCATCTACGCTTCGACTTCATTTTGATCATTTTGTTGTAAATAAATTTGTTTTTTTCATCTAGTATACCCGTGTGTCCAACCATCTTTTTGTGCAGTCTAAGAGCCGGGCTGCAACAGTATGTATGCATGCATGTATGTAGATATATATATATATACATACATATACATATACCACACCTCAGCTGGGATTTCATGACCCAGACAGTTGCATGCAACTTGAGTCTTTTCCCCTTGTAGCGAAGAACTCATCAGATCACTACTCCAGATACTCATACGGGTCTGACTTGACAGAAGAAGCAACAGCTTGTGACAAAAAGCAAGTTTCAGTGGTTTCTGTTGAAACCACCTCCATTCTGTTACCTTTACACATCACACGGAGAGACTATTACCCTCCTTCAGCTGCTGCTGGTGTTCAGTGGTTTAGATCCTTTAGTTTTAGGTTAAGGGACTTCTGTGTGTTAAACTTTAGAGAGCACTCATCATTTCTAAGAGTTACATGAATAAAATGAATAAAGTTTAATAATTGTTTTTGTTTTAATTTCATTTAGAGCGTATTCATGAACACACAGCATATTTTCACTGCTGCGCTGTAGCAGCCAAATGATTACAGCTTGGTTAAGCCTCAACCAAAGGGATATCACATATATATTTTGTCTAACCAATAATCTTTCTAGTGGTATTTCATCTCCAACATAATCGTCCTTTTGTTTGTTATTGTTAAGCGACAAGTGTAATAACATGCACGGTAGCAAATCACACTTTGCTTTTGCATTTACAAAATAACCAAAAGTGTGAATCACAAGGGTGCTGTATGTGTTGTGGTCTCAGGGAAGGAAGCAGGACCTCTTTTTGCGGTGCCCTTTTTTTCCATTTCCGTCAGTGTCTTGTTGAGCTTCTGGTTCGTGATGTTTTTCTCTGTCCACTGGACAAACTGTAAAATATAAATGTAAAAACAAAACACATCAGAATGAACAGAACTGAAAGAAGAAAGACATATATAGAATGAGGAACAGGAAGAGAGAAAGCACTTATACCCATTTCATCTGTCTTGTGGCCGAACCAGAGATGGGGGTCGGTAGACCAGGCTGTCACAGGGTGGCTGACGTAGGAGTCCTGGGCGAGAGATCTCCATGTCACAGGAGCACCTGGAGATGGAAGGTGCAGAAGGTTGAATTAAAGGAGGCACAGAGATTAAGAGACTAAGAATTTACAACCATGCTGGATCTCTGAGGCTGGATTTAAGCACAGAAATACGTTCAGCTGAATGCTAATACCAGCATTCAAACACGCTCATAATGAAAACGCTAACATGCTGACATGTAGCGGGTTTAATATTTGCCATGTTGAACATCTTACTTTAGCTTGTTGCATTGCTAGCATCTTGGTTTGGCAAGTTAGCACGTCAACATGCTAATTATAGTGCTAGATGAAGGTTGGTAGAACTCATCCTGAGTACTGACCAACCAGCCGACTGACTGGTTTAATATGAGGCCAATTTAAAGTGAGCAGATTTCTGAAATGAAAACCGGGGACATTTCCAGTTCAGTGTCAATATATCATTAAAATATCCAATGTTTTTATCTATGAAATAAAAAGGGGGACAGTCCTGGTTTCATGTTTTTTGACTGTGGTAACTGTTGAACTGTAATAAACTACAGTGAAGTTCGACTGATAAAATGACGACTCCCTACCTTTGAAGCAGTCATGAAATCCTACTGTCTGTCTGTTCCTCAATCATTTATATTCCTTTGCCTTCGTAAGTGTCCACAGATCAAAAGAATCAAAAGCATTTTTCATAAAAGGTCATGAATATTGTCGTGTGAAGTCCATCGCAGAGAGTCGGGCGACTTCTTCTTCATGTCTTTTTCCAAGTTCCAACTGGGGGGGGGGGGCTTTGGGTATGTTTGTTTTTCCTAGTGAGCGAGCTAACCTCTTCTCTGCCTAGAGACGATGTCAAAATAAAAGGAAAAACTGATTGGATAACCATATAACTGATGGTTTTAGCTTCACTTCTGATAGCAGCCTCTGTTGGCCAAAACAAGTGCAACACTACACGTCTGTTTTTTTTAAGTTAAAACTGGGGAAATTTCTGGGACTATCCCTGGAAAACGGGGACATCTGGTCACCCTCGGCCAAATGCCATGGATAGCTTCACGGTTTTGATCTAGAATATTTGCTAACATTGCCACCATGAGCTACTAGTCATATCAGTCCATGTAAGATCTGAGAGTGAGTTTGTTTTAGTGCAGATGAATTACACTTTACTACTGACTCACCTCTTTCTTCAACGGTTTCAGTGTCAGTCAAACAGACTGTCATACTTGGCCTGCACAGCACACTCAGTGAGTGAGTTTAAGTTAGTGTGTCACACAGTGCAGCTCAATTATTCAGCAGGATAAGACGGATCGTGTTTCAGCCGCTCCCTTGATTTACTGTACCATCACGTCCGTGTGACCACCGCCGCTAAAATACTGTTAATGTCACGTCAGCAGTTTATTGAATAATAACTGGCGGTCAGCATCACAGGAGCAGGACTCTGGACTGTTCTTCTCCACGCCTCAGCAAGAAGCACTGTCCCATCTCTACATCATGCTCTTACTTTAAACGAGGTCATGAGAATTTATACACTGAAGAAAACTGTTGTATGGAACCAAAGTTTGCTGGTTAACTGGCAGTAATTTGCTTAAACAAAATACACACATTTGTTTAGGATTTACTACATCACACAAAAACAATATAATCAGAAATAGATGAGCCTTTGCTGCCTGGTCAGTAATCCAGCCTTTATATATGTTGATCCTGAGTAAGTCTCACAACAAACAGCAGACATGAAATGAAATACTTTAGCCACAGCAGAAGCTACAGAAGCTTAGGAAGTTGGGAGTGTAAACAGAGACAGGACGTTGATGCACAGACCTGGAAACATGTTGGTGCGGAGACAGTGGCCCAAGCTGTGGTAGCTGTGGGGACACGAGGAGGCCGATCCAGGATCAACATAGTGAGGCAGCGACAGAGGCGGCACCAGAGGGTTTTTTACTGCCCGCACCTACAACACAGCTTTGTTCAGAGGAAATCATAACCAACAAAAGGCTTGTTAAGTTTGAGTGGAAAAAAGAGAAAAAAAAACCCCAAAACAATGCATGGTTCTCACCTGTGCCTTCGTCAGCCCTGCGTCTGTTTGGCCTGCTGTGGTCATGATGAGATATTAAACCACAGGAGGGGTGAGGCAAAACAAAAGGTGTTCAAGGTGTTGAATTTCTGAAGAATTTTGCACAAGAAAGAGCACAACATCGGGTTTCACTTCTGGACACAAAAAAACCAGACGAACAATAAGAAACACACACACACACACACACACACAGTTATTATGCTCTTTGTCATTCAATGCTTTACTCTTGTGGCTTCAATGACAAGGAAAATCTTTGAAGAGCAGTTTGTCAGATGATTTTTAGGCTGAAATCAGTTCAATCTCTTAAAACACAAACTTTTAATTAATGTAAGAAAGGATGCATGAGCTCAAGTTAAGTTAGGTTAAATAAAAAAAGAAATAAGATATATTTATATAAAAATAATGCAAGATAATAACTCACAACTCCTCACATGTAATCTCTTAATTAGTCCAAACTGCTTTTACTTACTTTTCCACTTTTCCAGCTTTACAAAGATTTTTTCTAATAAAAAACAAAAAAAACAAAAACAAAAAACAAACAAATTTTTTCAGTTCTTTTATTCAACTTTATTTCACAATTTTATGCCATTTATTGTGTTTTCTGTTATAATACCACACACAAATGTCAACTGGCTAAAACAATATAAAACATAACTTCCACAATTTTTCATTATTTATATTATGTACATGCACTCATTTACTTAGAGGCAAAAAAATCTCAGGCCTTCGCTTACTCTCAAGTGCACTTTCATCTGCCGTCCTTGCTGGTTGAGAGGCCATTCCAATGAGGATCCTTCAGCTTCAGACTTAACAGGTTTTTTTTTTTTGGATTTATAGAAGTTTATATTCATTTTTATAGGAAATATGGGATAAAACGACTGAATGAATTGAGCCAAAACAAACACACAGCAACAGTTCTTATCATTATTATTATTATTTTTTTTTTTACTATGCAACTTCTCCTCTCTCTCATAGCGGGGAAGCAGATGACACCCACTGCTGTTGAATGCGACTTAAGTTGATCACCGTGACAGACAAATTAGTTTCGTTCCCAGTTGGATTCACATAAAGAATCTCACCACTAGGTTAATCTTCGTTTCACCCCAGTGAGGGATGAATGATGGAGGAACAAAGCCCCGACTCCACCCGCCCCATTTTCCATCCGTGGCTCTTCCCTCCTCTGACGTGGACAGAGCTTCACTTCTTTCCTTTTAAGTGCCAGGATCGTCTTTTACTTTTATTTGACGTGTTGATAAATTCTGTTGATACTGTTCTTTTGGAAACTCTGATGTGACAGGAATGAAAGAAGGGATCTCCAGCACAAAGAAAGGAGCGACTTCCATTGTGCTTCTAACTGCTCTGTCCCAGTTTATTCCCGTATCCATGAAACACTATCTACAATATTTCCGGGGGTTTGATGATTTGATAAAAAACTGGAAGTTTACGAATAGGCAAACACTGCTCCTCTGCCACGACCCACCAACATTACACAGAGAGTGGTTCTGACATGAAATCTTATTTCTACAGCGCTGTCCTTACATTAGCATGATTTTACAGAATTAATGGAGGCATGAGTGAGCTCAGCAGCACTCATGACAAAACTGGAGATATGGATTATACAAGAGTTACAAAGAGCAAAGGTCATGTTGACAGCAGAGTTCTAGGATCATCAGCTATGCATTAAAATGCATAAATATTTCTTGAAGACAGTAAAATTATGATCTTTTGTTGTTTAAAAAAAAAAGAAAAAGAAAAAAAAAGAAAAAGAAAGGAAGGAAGAAATAAAACAGGCTCACTTGTCATCTGTGTAATAGTATAATAATACTCAAAACTGGATTCTTATTGGAGTGGTCCTTCAGGTGCCGCCTGCCTCCTGTTTGTAACCTCTGTCAGTTCAGGCTGCTCTGGCAGGATAAAGGCCAGACACTCCTCTCTATGTGGGGGCAAACTTCTTGGCCTGTGCCCTTACCCGCTTCTCATAGTCCATCCTGTTCTGACTGAAAGACAAAAAAAACAGAGCGATACAGACATTTTAAACCCTGCTAACATTACTTACAATTTTCCTTAAGGGTTCATTTTCACACATATATCACATCAGTGTGTAAAGTAGTGCAAGAACCGGAAACAATTCTTTCTTCCTTCTTGTTATGACTTAACATTGGTTTCTAAAGGTCTGAGATAAAGGAGTGACAGTTCCCTATCCTAATCTGAACTGACTTAAAGTATCTAAAACCTTCAAAATAAAAGGCCTTTAATTTGTGCCAAAAAATACAATTTGTAGTTCACAGCAAGAGCACACTACAAATAAAAGCTGATAATGTGGAAATGAAAAGAAAAAAAAAAAAGCTAAACATTTCAGCTCAGTGGGTTTCAGTTGTTTTACTATATTTAGATATTGCTAAATAAAAAACAATTAATTCGAGCTTCAGCTGCAGATACACTCACCAGTAAATTGTGTAAGCCTCTGCTTGTGCTGGGTCTTGAATGTTAGGCTCATTCAGCAGCTCCTGGATCCCCAACAGGATCTGAAAACACAGTCGGTCATAGTGTTAGTGTGACAGTTTATTGGGTTAAACCCCACCAGCTTTACATTCATTCCTTCACTGCAGTGGCTCCTTGATCCACACAACTAAATATTTTACCTTCGGTTAGTGGACGGTGTGATAAGAGGATTATACTCACAAAGCAAACGGCCTTCATCAGATATAACCTTATGATAAATAAGTGAACCAACCACCTCCGCTGCTGATGACAGTGACTACGAGTGTGTTCGAACCTGTTTGATGGTGATGGCCGGCCTCCAGTCTTTGTCCTCCTCCAGGATGGACAGACACACAGTGCCTGATGGGTAGACATTCGGGTGGAATATTGGTGGCTCAAACTTGCCTGAGTGGAAAACAATCGAAAAGAAAGTCAGAATTTTAAAAGCTTGAAGAAAAATGAAACTAAATTAAATTGAAGATTTCAGTTACAAAAGAACAATGTAGTCATTGTAGAAAACCGTCATTACCTGAGGTTTTTCATTCAATATCTCTAAAACACAAGAGGATCTGTCAAAGTGCTGACACATCGTAAATCTGTCCATGAAAAACTGCAGTTTTCCTCCTGTCTTCCTGCCGACATCACTGATCAAATACTGCCTTTGTTCAGCTGCTCATCTGAATATCACTTCACTTCACTGAGAGGAACACTTCTGTCTTAGAGACTGAGCTCAATCATCAAGCTTTCATTAGAGAATGGAATAGTTACTGTGCCACCCTACTCGACTCTAGCTTCATTTCATCCTACCAAAACAGGCAAATGCAAATTTTCATGTAACTTTAGCTTGCAATACCAAATATATGTGTTTGAAACTGGTGGCACCATCACACCAAGGGATTCTGGGACAGAGCCCTGGATGTAAAACAACTGACAAAACAAACAGTTACACATTCTTAAGTTTGGGTGGACATGTAACACTTTTGCTTGAATTTAAAACTTGTTCGGCAGTAACCAGTTTTTATTTTACCATCACACACACAAAAAAAAAAACAATGTCATCTTGTACTCAGTGTTCACTATTTACACAAGCTGGTGGCTAAACCTGGTTTAATGACCTTGTTTCCAAAACACTTATTTCCTGTGTTTTTCCTCTTTTATTCTGAATAGACAGCTGCATGCAAATTTCTGCCCTTCGATGTAAAATGAAACTAATTACTAAGTGCACAATCATACTCACATTTGGGTGGTGAGGAAGGGTAGTCATCTTTGAAAAGCATTCTGAGTTTGTAGAGTCCTCCCTCCCACAAGGTCTAATCAAAGAATAAGGAAATGTTAAATGTTTTACTGATTTCACTGAGGAAAGACAAAGGGGTATTAAACAGAAACAGCAAAGGACTCATTTAAAGTAACAATAAAGGAATTTCAGTGTGGAGCCATAGAAAAACTAAATATGTGGACATTAAGCAACAGTTAACACACTGAAAATGAAATGCACCTTGTGTCTTGTGGCAGCAAAGAAGAACTGATTTCTGGGAAAACTGCCATTTTATCCAGTTGTGAAACAATAAAGTACATTAATAAATTGTTGTAGGTATCGTTGCATAGACTTGCATACTCCGATAGACTGGTAGTTTAATACATATTAATACATTATAACTTATTAGGTTTATATTTTGTGTTAATCTGAATCTGCAAAGTAACTAGACTCTACTTATCAAATATATGTAGTGGAATAAAAAAATAAGATTTTTCTCTGAAATGTGGCAGAGTACAACACAGGTAAAGTACAAGTACCTTAAAATTGTAAACAAAAGTAAACCTTTGTTAAATTACACCGTGTATGTAATGTGTAGTGTAAAATGTAAGATTACCTATACATTTATAAAGGATTGTCCTGTAATAATCTCAATTTACAGTAGTCATGAATGCCAGCTAGCAAACGGTGGATGAAAGAGTTAAGGTGCTAAAGTCAGCAAAGCAAAAAGGTTCACATAAAGATTATAGAGGATTATAGTTTGAACGCCAAAGATGTGTTGAAATTATTATCTACTGCTAGTCACACAAGCATAAAAACAGCTGGTCCACTTTGATATGTAACTGACTCTACGACAGAAGGTAACCTACTCCTTTCTTCCCTGGAATGGCACACTCCCAGTTCATCAGATTCATGGTCCCATCAGGATTCTTGGTAGGCACAGCAACAAAACCCTGCATGGTTCATAAGAGACGCAAAACATAAGTGTGAAACCTCTGTCCTAGTTGACTGCATGGTTATCTACTCTGGCCAATACATCTATGAAATCTCAAGGATAAAAAGAGGGGTTACAAAATGTTGATACTGTATAATAATCAGCTGTTGCTTACAAATGGGTGGTCTTTTCTCCAGGCTTTGCGCTCCTGGGACAGTCTGCTAAGAGCGATGCCAGACATTGTTGCTCATTAACGCCTCCCTGTGGAAAAACAACCCAAAACAAATTAATTATTCAATTCAAGCTGTCAACAATCTTAATGATATGGCCGCAATTGTTTCTACTGAAAAAAAACAAACAAAACAACACATCTTGACAATTTACTACTCGACATCCGGCATTAATTGATGTTATTAGAGTCCAGTTGAAAGGATATGGTTCATTTAGCCTCTACAATGCACCGTACTGGACAGAATATACGACCCTAGCAAACCGCACACCGGCAACAGCTCACTCACACTAGCCTCAGTGTTAAATAACAGTCTTTTAGCTTAACTTACCTCTTATTTTATTTAGCTAAATATCAGAATTACGTCGGGTTGAGGACTAGCTTGTTTGCTACGCTAGCGCTAACGTTAACGTTACGACAAAACACACCCTTCGACGTTCAAAGACAAAACTACTGGGCCAGTTAGGGCGTAAAAGACCGAACCGATTGAAGCTTCTACTTTATCAACATTCCCCAAACAGACTTATCGAAATATATTTGTGTTACTTTTCACGATTTACCACAGTTGTGTAAAACAATGTGACTCGTAATATCGTTTCGGCAGCTAGCCTATAGCCAAAAAGGACCCCAATTTGTTTATTTCGTAAGGACCTTCAGGCAGTTTACGGGACATCCGAGTGACATACGTCAGAGACGAGCGGCCATCTTTGTTGTGGCATTCGTGCTGGGAAGTTCAGGGCTTCGGGTGATGCAATCATTTTGATTCATGTCCTCTAAATGAATCAGCTTTCAATCCCGCCTTTTCTTTTTTTTTTTTTAAATTTCATTTTCATTATTTTTTACTCTTTCACATCAGCCTGTCTGTTATTTATGATATATGTTTAGCTAATATTAGCATTATGCATGTGTAATAATTAAATGGACAGGACTTGTAATAATTACATTTTAAAGTCAGGTAAACTTAATGTCCAAATCAAAAAAACTGTAGTAGTAGTAGTTAAATTTATTGATATAGTAAAACCTTTTTTCGCAAAATGAGCTTCACTTGTAATATTGAATGGGCGGCCTACCATTGTGTGTGATATGGGATTCACAAAGAAAAAAAAAATACAATGCAAAAAAACTTCATATGCCCAAACTACTAACTCATGAGCCAAAAATAAATACTGCTGTCATATCTTTGCCAAACACCTCGTCTGCACATGTTGATAAAGTGACACTTACACCGTTCAGTACTCTTATATCGCAGTTTGCTCTTTTCATGAATGTATATAATGTATTGATTTAAACAAAACATGCGGCGATTATTCTGATTATTGACAGTTTATATTATCACACTATTCATATGATCAGCTGACTTGACGTTGTGTTTCCGTCGGTGAGGGTCAGAGGTCAAATATACACTAATGAGGCTGTTGTCGGTCACAGAGTAGGAGGTTTGATTTATGTGAAGTCATACACACCACTGCAGATACAGACACGGGCAGGAGCCTAAGCTCCAGAGGAATTGTTCAAAATGAGTTGTTCGTTCTGTTCTGCCCGGTCGTAACGCTCTTTCATTCAGGTCTCTGCATTTTTCTCTTCACCACAGTGGAACATAGCAACAGTGGACATCACAAACAATGCTTTACATAACTAATAACTCACTATTGCTTGACAGTTTAAAGACAGCAGTGTCATGATTGCTCATGATAAAAGAGGATGATGCAGGAGGGGAATAAATGCACAGCTTCCAATGCAATCTCCTAAGCCACACTCAAAATGGGACCCCTGCTCAGTGATTCATAAATTCCTTATCACGTTAGTTCACATCAGTGCCCACATCAGTGTGAACACAGCACATAGTACGGTTGTTCGTTGTATTACCACGGCTTAACAAAACCTGAAATACATCAACTTTGTTTTGGAAATCGGGCATCTTGCCAGACACCTCGAATCCAGCACAGGAACAGGACTGAACTGGTTTTCGTTTCCTCAACGTCAGCATTCCGAATTTTTTTTTTTTTTTTTTTTGTACTGTGTCTGTGTGGACCTTTTATTTGCTTCAATTTTTATTTTTTTAATTTACTGTTACCTATATTTTTGTTAATGCAACTTTGCAACATTTAAGACTTTTACAGAGTGAAAATAAAATCACAAAAGATCTAGACTTGTATCAAAATCAGCACGAGACTGAATCTCATGGGTTGTACGGGAAACCTGGTTGATCAATATTTCCTCCATCTACTGATTTTTCTTTTGCCCTTCTATCTTCCACAGGCTTCTGACAGAGTTAAATATTTACTCTTCTGGTTACTGAGTACAGGAGTTTTTCCTCCGTGCAGAAGCTAGATGCATTTGAAAAGAGAGAAAAGAAAGTGTGACAGTCGACTCGTTTTACAACATAAGAAAACAAGAACCTCAAGCATCTGTTTATTGTAACATTAATAAAAGAATACAGCATATCCACACAATATCCTCCTAGAAACAAAGTGCACTAGAATCAGACCCGTCCTGTCTTAACACATTTTTTGGAAAATAATCCAAAAAATTGTGCAACAATAGTCTCATACTTTCAAAAAATATCTGCCAACAAACAATTATAGCCCTTCATGTTATTTTAAGACTGATGCACGTTTTTCTAAACTCTGCAACTTCCCATGTAATGAAAATTTTAATCATTTGCATAATGAAGGGAAGGTTTTTATTAAAGGTTTCTGACAGCTGGCGAAACTTGCATCTGTTATGTTAATAATTAGGTTTCATAACAACCTCACAGCATTTACAGTCGTGCCTCCTCAGTATCTGTAGATTATGTGGCTTTAGTGTTTCGGTCTTGATGTGACACTCTCGTTGGCAGCAAACCCACAGCTTTCCCTCCCTCGTTTGTTTCTTTGTTCACACCTTCTTTCCATCTCCCTCTGAGATGATGTGCTCTGGACTTGCCCTTTTAAACCACTCAGACCAGGAGCCGTCGTAAACGCACACCCCGGGGTGGCCGAGCAGGTGAGCAGCCAGAACGACGTGACATGCCGTGACACCGGACCCACAGGTGGCCCACAGCGGCCGCTGCGGGTCCACCCCTGCCCCTGTGAACAGCTTGGACAGGCCCTCAGCGTCCAGCTCCTTCCCAGACGTGTCCATGAAAGAAGTGAATGGCATGTTGACAGCGCCGGGGAAATGTCCCGGCAGTGTGTCTGCGTGGGTGAGAAACATCAGAACGTCATTAAGTTAAGCCACTCAATGTTCACTTACTTCATTTCTTGCAGAGCTTTCAGCCACATCGCTTGACTTTCAACAAGGGGATGGTGTACTCATTCATGACTCATGACAACTACCCCATCTCCAGGGAAACTATATGCACTAATGAAGGCCATGAGATATGGCTGAAAACTCAGGAAGTAATCTAGTAAGTGGTCCTTGAGTAAACCAAACTACTGCGAGCTTGACAATAAACCTATCAGTTATTTATTATGTCAGTTTATCATTATAGACCTTAAAATGTCAACAATAACAAATAATTTTCCTTCATGAAAAAAACATGATTTTTCCTTAATTAATTGCTAAAACTATAATTTACATTTTTTAAATTAATTTATCATTTTCTCATGCAACAGCCAACATTTTTTTAAAGGTGCACTGATTACATGTTTTGCTGGAGAAAAATTATTTATTACATAATTTATTACGTTTATTTTCATAGACTATAAAATGTCAACAATAACATCAAATTACTGTATTTCATGAAATGCACATGAAAGCAATCATGTGTATTCTGTAGCTGTGGGAAAATAATTCACATATATAAACATATATATATATATATATACATATATATATATTTTTTTTTTTTACATGTTTTGCTGGAGAAAATATCTTTATTATAGAAACTTTAAGCAAAAGTGTGATCCTCTGCTCACTAGAAACAGAAACTCTACTAATCCCTCTCACCTTCTCTCGGTTCCGGCTCAGTCCCCCTGAACCTGCCTGCAGACCTGGCGTCCACAACCTGCACCTGCTCGGTTCTGACGTTCTCCAGCACGTCTTCGAAGCTCTTCACCCACGACTGGTTCAAAGTCGCCTTGAAGTCCCTGCGCTCCGGTGCGCAGTACTCGGCCGTCAGCGGGTGACCGTCCGCCAGCCAGTTCCTCATGCCGCCGTCCAGCACCGACACCAGGCTGTGTCCGAACAGCTGGAACATCCACCACACGCGGGGCGCGCTGTACGACCCGAAGTCGCTGGTGTCGTACACGACTACGTGCGTGTCGTTCCCGATGCCCAGATCTCCGACGTACCGGGAGAAGTGGCTGGAAGTTGGCAGCATGTGATCAAACGCGGAGCTCCGGTCGCTGCACTCGTCTATGTCAAAAAACGAGGAACCCGGAATGTGTCTCTGAGCGAACTCAGCTCTCGGGTCCCGTTTTGTTTTCGGTAGATACCATGAAGTGTCGAGGACACGAAGCTTCGGGCCGATGAGGTTGTTTCTGACGGCATCTGCCAACCACTGACCGGACACCAGAGCTCGGGTCTGTGCCGCCATGACGAGGCGCTGTAATACCAGCTCCCACCGCTAGAGGGAAACTGAGCTCTGCAGGACAACATGGAGTTTAACTTTATTCAGGAAGCACAACAACAAAGCGCGAGATTCTCTCACTTAGTGTTTTTTTTATTAAGAAACAATTATGAACATTAAAAAAATATACTTCATTTAATTTAAATCACATGTCAAAACTCACTGAAGCTCATTTATTTAGCTACAAAAGGTGTTTCATAACACACAAGTTGCATAAAACTGGATTTACAAATTCAGCCAAGCCACGTTTTAAAAGTGCACATCTCCTAAAGCACCAGCAGGTTGTGCCCTTCCTCCAGAGGACAGTAGCAGGATGTGTTTTGACACCAGATTTTGTTCAGAATATACAATTATTCTCATTTATATAATCTCCTGATTATATAAATGTAAAAATATTAAAAAGCCTCAGACCTACTTCTATGTTGTTTGTACATTCAAATCGTCCTAAAGGCATCCAGACATCATTGATTTATAAACCTATGCTCATTTCTGAGGTGAATCTCATCTTTCATTAAGGTTCAATCAGTCACATAAAAGTTCTCTTTTTTCCTAAGAGCGTTTGACCGTGGAGACGATGTGCTCTGGCGGGGCCTTGGTGAACCACTCGTACCAGGATCCATCATACACCGACGCCCCCGGGGCCCCACACAGGTGGGCAGCCAGCACCATGTGACAGGCGGTCACCCCAGAGCCACAGGAGCCACAGATGGGCTTGCTCAAGTCCACTTGTGACTTCTCAAAGAACTTCCTCAGCTCCTGTGGGGACAGCATCATGCCCTCGTCATCCAGAAACCTGAAGAACGGCATGCACCTGGAGCCGGGGATGTGACCCGGCTGGACACCTGCAGGACAGTTACAAATGAGGGGGCTTTTAAATGAAGTTGACACCATGTCTGGTTTACTGGCTGGATATCACTGAACTGACTAAACAATCAGTGCCGTCCAGTTGACTGTGTGAGCACTTGTGATAATATTACCTCTTACCTTTGAGTCTGTCACATCATTTGCTTAAACTCTGTAATTACCTTCGCAGAGGAGGTTGTGTTTTCACTCGTGTCTGTTTGTTTTTTTTCAGCAGGATTACGCAAAAACATCCTGAACTGATTTACACTCACTCTGGAGGAGGGCTGGATGAGTTTGAGGTCTGGTGTATGTTGTTTGACATGTTGACTTGGCTGAGGCGGACGTGTCTTTTCATCATTGTGTTTAAGTGTGTCTGTTTGCTGTGGCAGAGTTTTCTTGTGTTTAGCAGCAGGTGTTGTCTCTCTGTGTGTTGTCTATGAAAACTAACACATACGAATAAACAAGAAGAACTCGTCTGAGCCACAAAGACATTTGTGCAGAAATCAGACACATTAACAGGCAATGTACATCAGCAAGACTCTTAACTCTGGACACACGGCTCAATATGTTCTTTTGATTCTCCTTGTTAATTGTGTTTGCATTATTATTATTATTATTATACAAACAAACAAACAAACAAACAAATAAAAATCTCTTCCATAAATAAGAAGTGTGGCAGTTGTGAATATAAAATGAGATGTACCCTCTCTTGGTTCTGGCTCTTCCCCATGGAACCTCGCGTAGGGCCTGACGTCCACCACCTGGAAGCTCTGAGTCGCGATGTTTTCTGTCATGTCCTCGAATGACTTGACCCAGGAGCGGTTCATGGTGGCGGGGAAGTGGGCGCGCTCAGGCCGGGTGAGCTTCCCTGTGACTGGGTGACCCTCTCTCACCCAGTTTCTGAAACCCCCGTTCAGCACCGACACCTCCGGGTGGCCGAACAAGCGGAACATCCACCAGACCCTGGTGCAGGAAAATGCCCCGAAGTCACTGGCGTCATAGACAACCACATGGCTGTCACCTCCGACCCCGAGACTCCCAACGTAGTCCGCGAAGAGCTCCTCGGAGGGCAGCGTGTGGTCGAACCTCGAGGTTCTGTCCGAGCACTCGTCGATATCGAAGAAAGACGCTCCCGGGATGTGAGACTGTGCAAACTCCTTCTTCCCGTCGCGTTTCATCATCGGCAGGTACCAGGACGTGTCCAGGATCCGCAGCCGAGGCCCGGCGACATTCCGTCGGACCATGTCAGCGAGCCATTTCCCAGAGACCAGAGTCTGTACTCCCATGTTCACACCGGAGCGAAGTGTCACTGTCCTCAACTGCTCCCTCCTTTACTTCATGTCTTTTGATATTTGGTCAAATAAATAAAAGAATTGGTGCAATGTCTCCACCCTCTGGTATGGAGTGTGGATGAATTTACTATCTACTATTTTTATACTTTATTTATTTATTTACAGCATATATATATATATGGGTATAAACTCAATACTGTATTGTGAAGAGCAACCTAAAATGTCCTGGTTTCCCTGCAATGGAAAAGTTTATTTTATTTAGTATATTTATGTGTCACCTCAGGCCAGTAGGACACCTGACCCCACACCTGTACGGCTCAAATTATAGTCAAAAGGGTTTTGAACTTGCAAAGTAATGTTCATAAATAATTCCAAACGTAGTTGCAAATCAACCTCTGTAAACCTGTAAAATAAATCTGTTAAAAAAAAAAAGAAAAGATTATTTTTTTGTTGATTGAGTCGTTAAATCTCAGTCATTCAATTTAATGTTACTTAAAACCAAGAAAAGCATTAATTTCTATAACCTTTGAGGACCTGCACCCAGAGGATGTTTCCCATCTCTGCTTTGAAAATTACCCGAACAGGCCCTTGTGTTGTGTTGGATTTTGGACCTTTAAGCCCCAAATTCTTGCAGGTATTATAAGAGGTCCATGCCCCTCCTTATTTAGTATTAGCACCACCTGGTGGAGTGATCGTGCTCTACAGCTGATCTCCTGGCTGAGAATTTAAAAACTTCAAAAAATGTATCAAACATTATGGAGCTGAACGGCAGAAACAGACAGATGCATGATGGGTTCAATAAAGACAAATAAAAAACACAAACACACTAAACTGAATATGTGTTCATTAAAATATAAAAGTATATAATATAATAATACAGTTTATAATATATTATATAATTGACATTATAATACCAAACAAAACGAGTAGCAGTCTCAAAGGTACACAGTTGATTTGCCTGAACACAAGACACATTCTTCAGTTTATGTGGCTGCTGGTCTTTGAAGATACACTAGGTCCTTTAATATCTGTAAATTGAGGCCTTGATGCCGGGACGTACTTTTTTATTTCTTCTGGGAAATGTTATGTCTTTAATAGACAGTGACAGACAGACAGGAAGTGGAGAGACAGGAAAGAGTCGGGGAATGACATGAGGTAAACGGTCCGGACGGGGGACGGAGTCGACACGTGGACTTTGCTGCTCAGGGCATTTGTGCTCATGTGGTATTAATCAAACTAATCATTTGCCCCCCCACCCCCCCCACATACCTTAAAAATATAGCAGACCAACTTCATTCATTACTTGCCAAGGGGATTGATACTCCGTGTTGTAATTATTATATTCTGGTGAAATATCTTTTCTGTTCAGACGAAGCTTGCAAACAAACAAATTGCTCTATGTTGCTGCGTATCACCATATTAATAGCCCTGGTCCTTATCAGCAAAACGAGTTATGATTCTTGCTTGTGTCCCTTCCCTGAATGTGATTATGGCAATCCAAAGAACACGTGAGCATCTAGGTCTGGTTGTGTCTCATTCTAAGAGGCTGTAAAGAGCTCATTGAATACTTACCTCTGTTGTTTAGTGCTTATGATGCTGTTCTAAATAATTTACACTGATGATTGACCTGTATGATGTCAGAGAGATTAGGGACATGGGTTTATTTGAGTAAAACCTAAACGTTGTATTTATGTTCTGTAATGATTGATCATATTCCACAACTTCAAAATTCTGATAAAATGCATTTGTAGCATTTCTTTTCTTGGCAAACCTAAATTCAACTCGTGTATGTAATCCATCATAAATCTCGAACGAAACTATTCACATCAAATTTTATTTCAATTTCAAATAGCTCTGGTTATTCTGAGAAGGAAAATGTGCAATTCATCCATATTTGAAGCTAGACTTTGAGAGACAGATCAATATAAGAAGTGCAAAAATGTAGTTTTTAGCCTGGGACTGAAAAGGTCAAGTAATAGTAACAGGTAAATACGTTAAGTACATTACCCAGAGGTCAAAGCGACATCCTGTAGTTTGTGTCTTGTTTTGTCTGACCGGCAGTCTAAACCAATCATTCAGTTTATTTTAATTAAGCGTGAAAGGAGGAATCATTTCTCAAAACAATAATAATGGATGAGTCTGAATGTTGCTTTAAAACATCAGGATGCTACAGGATCATATTGTCACCGTCTCTCACAGCTTTTATTAAAGTTATCGTGGGTCGTCAGTCTCTGATCACTGAGCACATAAAAAACTTTTTATTCTAAATATGATTCACTGCTCAGAAAGAGTTTATAACCACAAGGACAACAAGTGTAAGAAGGAGGGAGGGAGAGTCACTGATGGTGCTTTGGTGAAGTTAGACTATGGAACAGACATGTAATGGTTTACAAAACACATGAACAAACGCGGAAGAGAGAGGGCGAGAGAGAGAGAGAGAGAGAGAGACAGAGAGAGAGAGAGAGAGAAAGGCAAGAAACTGAATTGCTTAATTGGAGTCACTGCTTCTGCATTACAGACAAACCCTTGGTGTTGTGGTCCAACCTGGTTTTCCTCCCACTGACTGTCCTTCCATCCTACCAACTGGCCAGATCTTTGAGAAATTTCCATATTGAGGTAAGCTGATTTTTTTTTTCTGCAATAAAACAAACCTGTCAACATTGTAGAAAGTGAAAAAAAAAAGTCATCTCCTGTCACTTTTATTGCTTTTTGGCAGTTTTTAAGGAGATTGTTTGTCTTGAGAATGTGAGTAGAAACAAGTTTATAGTTCCTCAAACACAAAAAAAGTGTCTTTATAATTATTACGAATAATGTTTTTACTGGATATTAAATTATTTTCTTTTTCACAAAAGATGCATTTTGTGGTGAAATCAGATGAAAACTAAACCTGAGCTTTATTAATATCACACATCGGCACAGTGTCCTCCTGAAACAATGTCCCGTTATGTGAATCCACCTCACCGTGGCAGAAAATAGTCTCAATGAAATCTGAACAGCAACTTCAAGTTTCTGGAAAATAATGTTGCTATTGAGGTTTTCAAAAAATATTCCTTAAATCTTTTTCAATGCTGAGCAGCACAAACAAAATCCCCTTCGCCTCAAATCTAAAAACCTCAGCAAATACAACCAAAAAAACATCTGCATGGGGAGATACCATTGGAGCTAAACTGGAAAACATGTTTATATTTAAAGTTTAAAGTAAAAACAATTAATGAGAGAAAAGGTTCCAATTTCTGAATATTGTTTGTGCTTTGTTGATCTTGCCTGTTTTAAGAGACCGATTAAAACAAGTTTAATGTCCATAACATCTGATCATTTGAATCTTACAGAATGTAAGATAAATGTCCTGTAGTGTTGTGTTGAAAATTATTTCTAATAATATCTAAAATATGTCGTGGTAGAATTGGTAGCACTGCTTGTTGCTGACTTGTAATTGGGATATTGGTATCATGAGACCAGCATCCTCGCAGAAACCGAATCCATCCTGAGCCAGAATAGAGACAGACAGCGTTGTGTGGACGACCTGAGCTGATGGGACAAATCAGGACAAATCTAATTTTCAAACAGTCATACAGCAAAGGATGCATTTCCATGACAACCAGCAAGATAAAAAAAAAGAAAAAAAGCCAAGCTTTCGGGGGGGGGGGGGCAAAAAGGCACTAACTGCTTCCACGTGTGAGCAGATGGGTTTTACTTATCAGCCATTCCTAGGATCCAGGGGGTTATTGTCTCACACAGACGTAAACCCATGTTCACCACATTAATACACAAAGAGACCTATGTTGGCCTCATTAGCCCCTTCACCATAATTCCAATAATTGACTTAAGCCACAGGCTCCACTAATGTGAGAAAGGTTGGACGTCATGTGAAGGAAACGTAAGCAGTATAATATATTGCACTGTACCAGTTTTTGTGTGTATGTACAGTAAGTCTGAGGTATAGTTTGTTAGGCTCTGTAAGGTGGACACAGGGGAGCTTTGGGCTAAATGCTAACATAGATTAGCATATTAGCATTCTAACATTTGCTAATTAGTACTAAACACGTGCTATATTTGTTGACACATTTGACACACACACAAAAAAAAGAAGCAAAGCGAACCTTGTTGGTGGCACTAGATGATAGACCATCAGTGCTATTCCTAGAGCCATGCTAGCAGCGTAGCTTTAACGCTTTAGGTCTAAAAATTAAGGTTAAATCAGTGAAGACGGTATTTTCTTTACTTGCTCTCATATACTTTATCTGTTCTCTGTTCAGTCATGATAGAAGAGAACAAATCCTGTCCAGCAGCTATGATGATTTTGAGTTTGTTGTGATGATTGTTTTGGTTATAGTTAGCATAACCTAAATCCTGTGGTTTCCTGTACTGATGTAAAGATGTTTTGTTTTTGCTTGTGGGCAAATGTCATTTGTTTGTTGAGGCTAAATACATTGGTTTGCTTTGATTATATATATATATAAAATGTGCCAAGTATTTGTGGTTGCTGTGTATATATGTTATATTCATTTTCAACTAAATCAGTGTGCAGTTCCCCGGTGTCACCACTGATTCTTCCACTCGTTTTCTCCTTCTCCATCAAGCCTCCTCCATACCAAAAGGATGACCCTTCTCGACTACCCTGTTCCAGAGTTGGATGTCACCTTACAAGAAGTGGGGCGTGTCCTGCAGCTCACTCTAAGTCCTGACCATTACCCGGAGTTCAAAAGTGCGTTGGAACAGCAGAGGGAGCTCCTTCAAGAGGCCCAGCAGAAATTAGCAACCAGAGCTGCAGGCCAGGAGAACTGGGTGACAGAGCAGTTCAAGAGGGGTCTGCTGTCGTGTGCTGACCCCCTGCCCACCTCCACAGCCCTCCCTGTTGTTCTTCTTCCGTCCAAAGCAAAGACATGTACCCAGCTGGGGAGGGCAGCCGCTCTACTCTGGGCAGCAGCAAAGCTGTACAGTGAGCCCTTGTTACTGGAGGGCGATGTGCCAATGGAGCGCACACAGCAATCCGAGGTATTTGCTGCCAGCCGGATTCCTGGCATGAGTCACGATCAAATTAAGGTAAGTTTTCAGGCAGTAAATTCAAATATGTGAATCTTGTATCCAAGTACTGGATCCAAGTATGTTGAGCTATTTTTAATCTGTAGCTTCGTCTTTTCCAGGTCTACCCAGAAAGCCTCCATGCCATCATCACCTGTGTTGGAGGAGTGTTCCCTGTTGACATTTTGTGGCGTCCCAGCACTGATGGGCCACTTTCTGCTCGACCATTCATTGACATCTACAACCAGCTGGCTCAGGTGATGGATCAACCGATCGCAGGAAAACAGAACGATCCCTCCGCCATTTGCAGCCTCTCGGCTCTGCAGCGTAAAACCTGGGCTGCCATCAGGGAAGAGATCCTGGAGCACGGAGGGGAAGCAGCAGCGTCACTTGGGCTGATGGAGAGCGCTGTGCTAACACTCTGTATGGAAGACTTGAATGCACCTTCTGAACTGGCCAATATCCTCAATGCAGTGAGGCTGGGAGGAGGAGGAGACAATCCATGTCTGAGATACTATGATAAGGTACTGGAGGATTTTAAAACAGACACACACATGACTACATAATTCAGTTATACTCTCAGAGCAAAGCTTGCAATTACCATTTCTTTGTCGGCTCTTTAAAAGTGAATAAGGGTCAGAACAGTTAGTATGAAAGTGAACATTAACAAGGCAAACGAATAGCAATGCTCGCTGTGTTTCAGTGGATTGAAAAGATAACCCAGTTGTTGTTTTTCTGTTTTTTTGACAGGTGGTGAACCTGGTGGTGTTCAAGGACGGCACAGCTGGGATGGTGTTTGAGCACAGTGCTGTGGATGGGATGGTGGCTGGGCTTGTGACAGAGCGTGTGTACAACCTGTCTGAGACTGCTGACTTGAACCTAGTGTGTACTAAACCAGAAAATATGAATGGCTTTGTCACAGTAAACAATGTTAATTCTGTTTGTCCATGTTCCCTAACATTCCCCTTGCAAGGAGTGAACACCCCCAAACCAAGCCCTGACTTAAAAACAACTCATCCAGTTCTCACTTTTGATGTGTCCTCCTATCCTGATGTCTTTTCTACTCTGAGAGGGCAGAGAGGCCTGTATGATGCCTGGATCAACTTCTCTTTGCAGCTCTCCTTGAGGCAGACTCTCGGGGAAGCTGCTGCCAGTCACATGCTTGTCACACCTACCCATATGCGCCACTACAAACATGGCCGATGTGATCCTACATATTCACTCACCATGCATTCTCGCAAGTTAGTAGGTGCCTTGGCATCCTGTGTTGGCCCAGATAACAAAATCCAATACACTACCGACCTTCTACGCTTGTTCCATGTTGCATTCTTGGAGCATAAGAGCCTCATCAGAAACACCAAAAATGGTCATGGTGTTGGTCCCCATCTAGCTGCCCTGCGTCGATCTTTGCCATCTGACAATCCACTGAAGAAGTTTCTGGACCCCTTTGGGTGTCCATCTGTGTACCTCACTGGTACAGATCTGATGGAGGGTGTAGAGTGTGGAGTAGGGAATGTTTACGCCCGAGATCAGCTGGCTGTAACCTACCTTGGAAAACGAGACAAGGTTCGCATCGTGCTAAATGGGAAAGGGAGCTTTGCTCTGACGCTGAAGAAGCTTCAAGAAAACCTGAAGATAAATCTGAAGTTAGTGATGCTATTAGCTGTTAGATATGCCATTGCAACCCAGATGGGAGCCCTGGAGTGTCTGCTCCAACAGGGTCAAACACAGAAAATTAATGGACAGACATATCACCCAAACAATGCTAAAAGCACAGTTGACTCCACCTCAGACATGAGTCCAGACTATACTCTGTTGATTCACGGTGGAGCAGGAGAAGAGATGATGTTGAACACCCAAGTGATTGGGGTTATTGAGTTTGCCCTACAGACAGCCTTAACCCTCGGATGCCAAGTGCTTCAACAAGGCGGCAAGAGTCTGGATGCAGTTCAGAGGTCAGTGGAAGCTCTGGAGGACTGCTTCCTTTTCAATGCAGGTAAAGGCTCGGTACTCAACAAAGATGGCAAAAACGAATTGGAAGCAACCATTGTAGATGGCAATGCGATGAAGTCAGGATCTGTTGCTTGTGTGCAAACTGTAAAGAACCCAATAAAAGCAGCCAGGTGTGTCATGGAGAAAAGCTCACATTCACTCATTGTGGGAGATGGGGCTGAGGAGTTTCTGCAAGGGCTGGAGGAGAAGGAGAAGCCTGTTGGACGTGAGTATTTCTACACTGATATACGTCACAGAGAGTTAACTGCAAAGCTCAGTGGTGGAAATAACTCAAAAAACAATCACCCTCAAACAGTCGGAGCTGTGGCCTTGGATCACCGGCATGGGTTGGCTGCTGCCTCCTCCACAGGTGGGTTAGTAGGAAAGCTGAAAGGGCGAGTTGGGGATACAGCAGTAGTCGGGGCAGGAATATATGCTGACGACAAATTAGCAATCACCTGCTCTGGAGATGGAGATGTATTTCTGAGGCACACAGTTGCTCAGAAAATAGCCAGTCTCTATCATCACAAAGGCTATAACCTTAGACAGGCATGTAGAGAAGTGATGGCTGAAAATCTGAATGGGATCTGTGCAGGTATCATTGCTTTGGACAATAAAGGTGAAGCCATCATCGAAACAAATGCTGGCGTGATGTTTGTGGCGTCAATGATAAGCGGTATTTCACGAGTAGAAGTCCTCAGGCCTCTGAAGAACTTCTCTAATGTGATCTGGGAAACAGATGAGCTGGTTGCTTACCTGAATCCCAACCCTTGGATCCCTGGGTCAACCATCCTGACAAGAAAAACTCTTAGCGGGGCAAGCAGCATCTTCCACTTGGCCACACCTGATTTTGTGGCTATGCTACAAGGCGCAAGAGCTGTGTCGAGCTTACTATGTGAGCGATTGGGAGTGCAGCGCTGTGCCATGGTTTTCAATCCAACCTCTGATCATCCCGCACAAATCCGACTGCTCCCACTTCATGGCTTAGAGCCAAAATGGCAGCCCCATCTTGCTGGCGAAGAGGAGTTCCATGCTTACGATCCCAGCTACTGCACTTCAAAAAGTGGCCCACGCTTGGATGATGAAGCACTGACCCAGGTTCAAGCCAAGATTAGAAGCAGACTGCCAACGCCAAATGCACCCTCTTGCTATGACTTTTTTGGAGACCCTTCTAATGACAACCTGTTCAGCCGTATTGTACGTGGAGAGCAGCAACAGTGGAGAGTGTGGGAAGACAATGAACATGTTGCCTTCCTCACACCATACCCAAACACCCCTGGACTTACTGTCGTGGTGCCACGCAAACCACTGTCCAGTGACGTCTTCAAACTGGACGAGGCTGACTACAAAGCACTGATCTTAGCCACTCAAAAGGTTTCCCAGCTACTGGAAGAGGGGATGAGAGCCCGAGGTGTTGCGCTGATCTTTGAGGGCTTCGAGATTGACTATGCTCATGCCAAGCTGATCCCTTTGTTACCTTCACCAGATGGCACCAAGCCTGCCGAGCTGCAACCAGAATGCTTCGAAAGCTACCCTGGATATGTGTCGTCGCTGGATGGACCAGCCGCTGATGCTGAGACCCTCAAAACAATCCACTCAAAGATCACCGATAGCAGGCCTCCTCATTCATGGGAAGACCCTAAATCCCACTCCACACTCGCCATCAAGAGCCAGTGGTATCGCAACATGTTCCAGATTCAAAACACCCTTTTCCACAGCACAGTGGAATATTTCCACAACTCCTGCCAGTACTCCTACGCTCTGACCCCTCTGACCACAGACACCATCTCCTCGCCGATGGGCCTGGGATCCGACTCAGAGCCAGTTTCTGTTAACCTGCTGGGCCAGGACATCTACCTGGCCGACTCAATGCAATTTGTTCTCGAATACTTCCTTCGCTTCCAGGAGAACCTGCCGGGGACCTACTACATATCTCCCAGCTTTAGAGGGGAAGATCCTGATGCCACACACTTGAACCAGTTCTACCATGTAGAGTGTGAACTGTTGGGTGACATGGACAAAGCCATTTCCACGGCTGAGGGATACCTGGCTCATCTCACCAAGTCCATGTTGAAGAAGCACTCAGACATAATTCTCAACACTGCTGGGACCCTCACGCATGTCACAGACATGCTGAGTAAGCTGGATGGGAAAACCGCACTACCAAGAGTCCCTCTAGACCAGGCCATTCCCATGATGCCCTCTGCTGACTGCGTGGAGTGGGTCCAAGATGGCCAGCCCCAGTTCGGCAGAAAGCTAACACGCAAAGGAGAGCGGGTCTTGATAGAGAAATACGGTGGTGCTGTTTGGCTGACTGAGATGGACCATCTGGGCGTTCCCTTCTACCAGGCGTATGTGGAGGGCACCGGGCAGTGCAAAGCCAAAGCTGCTGACCTTCTGCTGGGGCTGGGTGAGACTGTGGGTCTTGGAGAACGCCATTCCACCCCCGAGATGGTGCAGGAGGCCCTCAGACACCATGCAGTGCCCGAGCAGTCCTACAAATGGTACATTAACATGCGCCAAGTGAAACCACTCCTTACCAGTGGATGGGGGATCGGGACGGAGCGCTACTTGTGTTGGCTGCTTAAGCATGACGACATTAGAGACGTACATATCATACCTAGGATGAAAGGAATGAAATACATGCCCTGATCATAAGTTCATCTTGGATTTTTAGGCCATTAGATGCAATATACTTGTAATAATGGGGCCAAAGAGGAGAATAGAATATGGATTTTTACCATAAAAATGTCTCAATAACCAGAGTTTGGGACTTTCATCCAGCTTTGGGTTTCTTAAAATCTTTTCCCGCTGGCTCCACGGCCAGAGAAACCTTCCTACAGCCATTAGTCCCACCTGACCCTTGTACTCCAGAAAGTAAAAATGTTTCTGAAAATTAAGTTTTTAGTTAAAATGAATCTTACACAAAGTGTTTAATTAGTTATTCTTTAAATGTTATCATATTACACTGAAGGTTGGCTTCCTTTGTTAGTGGTAAAACTACAGTATCACTGCAATTGCTGAGTGAAAATAACTGAAGAGTTTAAGTACAACTTGTATTGTTTCAGTATATTCATTTTGTGGAGAAAGACTGATAATTTTGTTACTTGGTATAAAAGTTGTGTAAACACAGACAGGAGACAAATTAAAGAAAGAATGTTTTAGTAAGATGTTGGGCCACCAAATATATCGCCAGAACATCTTCACTGCTCCTCGGCATTGATTTTACAAGTGTATGAACACCATTCTTCCGAAAGATATTCCCTCATTGCATGTTCTAAAGATGGTGGTGGAGAGAACTGTCTTAACACGTCAGTCCACAGTCTCGGATAGGTGTTCAATTAGGATTGAGATCTGGTGACTGTGAAGGCCACGGAACATGGTTCACATCATTTTCACCCCTTGTGGACGGGGGCATTTTCTTCCTGTTTCACTAATTTTTTCAGGTTTTTCCTTTAATTTGTCACCTGTCTGTAAATTCTTCAGTCCCTGTGAGGACAAACACATTTGTTAAAGTCCTAATTATTGGCCATAAATGTTGTATAATCAATTATACAAGCAAATTCTTTATATTGCTCTTTATAATGTCATTTTTAATTTTTAATTTTTGTCTTATTTCTATCACATTGTCTTTTTATGTAAAGGATTTTTGTTCAAGTCATATGGATCATGTACCTGTGTTGTTGTTCATGGAATAATAATGATTTTCAAATCTTAAGAAAATAATAACAGAGCAAATAAATACCAGTCACCAATCTAAATGGATTACTGATGTGGCCAATGGGATGTGTTCCTGTAGGAGTCTCTGATGATGTCATTGGTTCAAGGCCGTCAGAGAACCCTGGGCACAGGTACAAATATCACAAAGCTGAAGTGTGTGTGTGTGTGTGTGTGTGTGTATGTGTGTGTGTGTGTATGTGTAAATATAGAATCTTAACTTTAGAAAATATTATAGCACAATCTGAGATTTAATGTGAGAGATTTAATGAGATTTAATGTGTCGCCACCAGATTTCAACAAGATCATTTTACAATGTGCATCATCAACTATTTAAAATGACAGCAGAGTGATTTGCTCTATGTCAGTCTCCTGGTTGAGCCACAACAACTTTGCCATACTGTTATACTTAAGCAATGAGCTGAAAGTGACACTGTATTGATCTGCAAAATTGGATGGAATAACTAATCTCACAGTACTGAGAACATATTGATTTAAGAATGTGACGTACAGATTTGTCCACACGTGCTTAATCCATGTATCCAAAAGTGGCCCAGTAATTTCATAAAAGTATCAATGAAAGTAATAGGAAGGTTATTAATAAATGATGAACATGAATATCAATATTTCACCAAATTGGTCAGTGAACTAACGACGATGGCTTGGCAGCACATGTTGACCTTTAACCTCATGAACAAAGTAAGAAGCTGTGATGATCTCACTTCTTTACAAGGTAATGTCACAAAGGCTGAAAATGGTTCTTTTATATCAAGGGTTATCAAAAAAGGTGTCAAATTAATTACATGTTTTGTGATTGATTAAACTAAACCAATTGCATATATCAGTATTTGCCTGAGTGGCATGTTAAATAGTGTACCAAATAATAAATTTACAAATATAGATGCGTGGGCCATTTAGCCTAAGCTAAGCAGAAACCACTCAATATGACATTTTAACGGTAACACCAACTTTGTGGCAAAACTCAGGCTCAGTTGAGAAGTAGGCTAGATTGTAATCTACTGTAATGAGCTTGCTTTCCAGTTGAATATAGGATACTAGAGTCATATACACAGGACAGGTGAGTCTTTTATCATGCATTAGTAGTGTCAGTTTCATCACTTTATCTATCTATCTGTCTATTGATTAATTGCAACAATCAGAATAAACTCATGCATCCTAAAAAAAAACCCCACAAACAGGAAATAAAACTTAAATTCCTGAGTACATCATGTACAGGGATTCAGATTTGGCAAGCAGCTAATTAGTATTATATCATATATAATTATAAATTAATTTTACATAATAACATTAATATTATATAATAATAGTATAAAGTAAATGTTAACATAAAATTAGCCGTCATTTATAAACGTATTGTAACGAAATAAATCATAACCCGGATGTAGTGTGTGAGTAGTAGAATATTTGTTTCCGGTGTCACTGTCGAATCTGACCCCCGGCTTGTGCAGAGCTCTGCCTCTGTCTGAAGACAAAACCCTTTGGTCTAATTTCTGAAACGTGAGTTTCTTCGTGTTTCTCCGCTGCGTGTTCTCGTGTTTTCGCTCCCTCTACATATTCCACGATTTCATTATGAGTGTGTTTTGACTGTGAGGCCGGCTGAAGGTAAGGTCAGCGCTGCCTAGCCTAACAGCTAGTTCGTTAGCATGTCAAGCTAACAAGCTAGTCATGAGATGTGTGACTTTGCGTTGAGCCAGCCATTTTCTAAAGACAAGGGGACCTCGGCAGCTCGCTGTGTTGATGTGTTCTCCTCTGCGGTGGCAGTGTTCATGTAACAGTCGTTGGACATTAGGCAAACAGCGAGTCACTTTGTTTAAGTGGTTAAATTTACATGGTTGCTAACGTTAGCTAACAGTACAGTCTGTAGGAGCTGACACTGCATCAGATAAGCAGTTTGTAAGTATTTGTACCTTACAACAGACTTAACTGGCGATGGAGCTGGTTGTTTTCTCTTATTTCTACAAAGCAGAGAGGAGTTAGTTACTGAATAAAATATTTGTGACATTGCTCATGGATGAAATAGGGGGGGGTAGAGTTAACTTGCTAACTTTGCATCAGTAAATAGAACCACAATCCAGAACAGGCTTATGACTATTAGCTTTCCTCTTGTATGGTTCCCCAAACTATTGCTTACTCTTTCAATGCAAACCCTCTTACTGTTACTTTAACTCATCCCTCAATTTCCTACCTGTTACATTCACAGATGACCATGATGATGACCAGTTGAATTTTTGACCAATATCACCGGACTAATATTTCAGATATACTTCCACAGTCAGTTAACCTCAGTCCCTTCATCACACAACTTTTGCTTTCCCTTCCCCAGGTGCCAGGGTGTCCCCCCTCTCCATGTGTGATCCCTAATGGGCGGCTGGTCTCGCAGTGCCGTGCTGGAGCTGTACCGGGCGCTGCTCCGCGCAGGGCGTCACCTTCAGTACACCGACCGCAATTACTACCGTCGTGCCGTGGCTCGCGAGTTTCGCCGCTGCCAAGCCCTGTCAATACCCGCAGACAAGGAGGACGCACTGAAGAGGGGCCAGTTCTTCCTCAACAGCCAACTGGGTGGGCTTATGTAGGGGAAGGGGCCACAGGTCATCTGGAGGAGGGTTAAAGGTTGTCTGGAGGTTTATCTCCCAGGTGGGTTTACGAGAAGAAAATGCTCTGTATTAATGATGGAGGAGGGTTTTATTGTTCTAGGTAACAAATAAGATCATATTGGGCGTGGTTAATCAATGATTTAAGAATCTGGTTACCCAACATATGACGTAGCCTTTTAGCTAAGAAATGGAACAAAGCCAAAACCTTTTCTGTCTCCATCTTCCTCTTCTCTGACTCTCTTTGCTTATCTCCTCCTCAGTGGCAGGATGGCCGGGGTGAATGGAGACCGTAAAGGAAAGAAAGATGACAATGGGATTGGCACGGCCATCGACTTCATGCTTTCCAATGCCAAGCTGGTGCTGGGGGTGGGCGGAGCAGCCATGCTCGGCATCGCGACACTAGCTGTCAAAAGAGTGAGTCAGAAGACATTTATCTCTTAATTCTTTCCCTTAACCCTTGTTCCCATGTGTAACGATGGAAACGGACGCTCTTACATAAGCATCTGTACCAATGGGCTCACAATTGCTTGTTGTACAGATGTATGACCGTGCCATAAGCGCTCCCACCAGCCCCACCAAGATGGAGCAGACAGGAAAGAGAAGCTGGGAGGAGCCCGCCTGGATGGGTTCGTCACCTCGGGTACTGAACCATGACATGAAGTCCACAGTTAGCAGGTCGCTACAGTCTCTGCCCACTTCCGCACATGCTTTTGAACCAGGTGAGAAGAGCTCTTAAGTCAAAAGTTAAGTCAAATCTGTTCCGTCATTGTTTAAAGTTGCCAGTTTTGTGGCTTCGACTCTTCAGCCAGTGAAGATTTTTCTTTAATCTGTTGACAGTCAGCCTGTTTGGAGGATTGTTGCTGTTCCTTTACAGTGGGTGTTGTCTCTCTGTAGCGCTGTAGTTAGTCACCCAGCTGTTCTATATTAGTTTGACAGTGATGTAGTTGAACCTTCACGTTTTCAAAATCTCAAAATCTTCATTTATTCCTTGTAGAGTTTAGTGTTTTTTAGCGTCTAATATTTAAAGAGCACACCCGTCCTGCCTCCCCACCCTCTGCACCTTTACCCACTGCCTCCCATTTAAAAGTCATTATTTGAAATGGTGGAAGAGGAAGTTTCACACAATTCTGCACAGATGCATCCTCTAACTTTCATTTGCCTCCAATCTCTTTAGACTGTCTGCGGAGGGCCATGGGTCGAGCTGCCGTGGGAGGCAGTGGGGCCACTCAGTCCGACCTGCTGAAGGCCCGGATGCGTTTGTCCCTGCAGGAACATCTGTGGGAGTTCTACCAGAGTAATGTGAACATCCCGACCGAGGAGCAGGCCGTGGCCAGGAGGGCAGCGCTGGACATCTGTGCAGAGCTCAGAGTGTTTCTTCACGCCAAACTGCCCGACATGCCGCTCAGAGAGATGTACCTGAGTGGCAGTCTGTATGATGACCTGCAGGTAAGAGGTTTCACACCTTTAGTCCTGCTTTTTGACAAGAGTATTATAATTAAATAAGGTTAATAAAGGTTATTTTTTTCCCCTTCTCCTTCTCTTAGGTGGTTACAGCAGACCACGCCCAGCTCATGGTGCCTCTTGTCTTGGAGAAGAACCTGTGGTCGTCCATCCCCGGCGAGGACACCATCATGAATGTCCCAGGTTTCTGGCTCGTCCGCAGGGAGAACTTGGAATATTTCCCGCGGAACAGCAGCTACTGGGACCGCTGCATGGTGGGAGGTTACCTCTCCCCTAAATCAGTCCTGGAGGTCTTTGACAAGCTTGTGGCTGGCTCCATCAACTGGCCGGCTATAGGGAGTGTCCTCGACTACATCATCCGTCCTGTGGTTCCCTCGGAAACGCTGACCCTGGAGGTACAGTACGAGACGGACAGGAGGCTGTACGTGGACTTCTTACCGTTACTTGTGATGGAAGATGGGACCTCGCTGATCGCTAAACCACATCGGCTTGCTGCGGAGCGCCACGAAAACCTGTGGCGGCAGAGCTTCCGCGTGGCTGAGACGGCGCGGCTCAGGGCTCTGGATCAGGAGGACGGAGGCTGCCGATGCGCCTGCCTAAAGGTGGCGAAGGCGGTGTGCAAGCTCAACCCTGCCCTTAACCGGCTCAACGCCAGCCAGCTCACCAACGCCATCTTGTTGCTGAGCGAAAAAGAAGGCGACTGGACCCAGGAAGCACTGGCTGACCGCTTCCTCCAGCTGCTACGAGCGCTAGTGGGACACCTAGAGGCCGGGAGGCTGCCGTGCGCCCTCAGCCCTAAAGTTAACTTATTCTGTGAGCTGACAGAACAGGAAGTGGATGAGCTGGGCTACACGCTCTACTGCGCCCTCTCAGATCCTGAGGGGCTGCTGAGAACTGCTGTGGCACAACCTTTCCACCCCTGAGGCCCTCGTCACCTCGCAGCTGCAGGGCGGTGAAACGTCAAACACAGGTTCTGTGTCGGTGTCCTCTCACCAGAACGAGGTTCCAGGGGACGAAAAAAAAAAAACAAACAAACAAAAAAAACATCTGCATGGAATCTTCCTCTCTCCTAAAAAACACGATCTGTTAATTACTCAATACCTCTTCAAACATCTGTGAGGAAAATGTGAAACACACGGTAGCAGTTACTTAGTTACTTGATCAGTTTCTTAAAAATCTGTATGTGGTGTGATCATCCAAATATCTCAGTGTGAGATGGAGGTGAAGGGTCATCGGAGTTCACGGCTCTCACTGAAGCCATTGTATTAATGAAGCGACGGAGGGGCGGAGCTCTGGATCGATTGGTCCGCGTGAAAAATGGATAACGCCATACTTGAGCTCTTTTTAACCGGTTGGAGAGTTGTTGTTTTTTTAGGAACAGCTGAGGTTACCGTGGTTACGGTGTTGACTGTTTTAAGACGGGTCGATGCCACAGTGTCGAGGGATAGTATGTAATGCTGATTGTTTGTACGCCGACCCCTGAAAAAGCTAATAAATTGTCATGACTCAATATTCTTGAGTTAAAAGAGACGAGCTAACTTTTCTTTGCTAGCACACAAAATATTAAACACTGCAAAGTTTTGTCGAAGCTTTTATAAAAAAAAAAAAACAAAAAAAAAACAAAACAAAAACAAAACTTCATTAATACAGTGGCCACATTCAAAGACGTATGCTTTACATGTTTCCAGTGATGTGAGAAACCAAACTTTAGGCTGTGTTTGGAATGTCTGCAGCTTGCATGTGTTCGCTACCTAATCTAATCAATCGAAACGGGTGAATATAATCTATACTGACCCGTGCTTTGATGACTGTTTCTAATATTTCACTCCATTCAACAGTGAATCTGATATATGAAATTTAACGTACATCCACGGACGGAATATAGTAGCATTTATGAGGGAGGTGGATGCAGTTTCTGATTTGTTGGCGATTTCATGAAATCTGAACCAAAAGTAGGACCACCATTTTATCATCCAGTGAAATGTTTCCATGTGACTGACTGTCTGTCTTGATACAGAGCCACTCTTTGTGTGTCTGCAGTCGGTTTCTTCTCCAGTCTTAACATCTGTTGCTTGGGTGCACGGGGGCCGAGATGCTTTATCAGTAAATCTTAAACCTCTGTCACGGGTTATTTTTGCACCGTCAAACTGTTCTGCAGCGGTGTTCGAGTTTGACGCTCTTTAAGTGCTGTTGTCTACTGGTTTTTGCTTTAATTTAAATCACAGTTCAGATCCTCTTTGGTCTAGATCATTACAGTCACATGTAGACTGCTTCATATCGCGTACGCTTGCTTTAGGCTGGGTCTAGATCTTTGTAGCGAGGGCGTTCCTTTGGTTGGACATTGTAGTTTCCAGAAACTGTTCCTCTACAGTGTCAGAGCAACAACGAACCTGCAGGAGGTCTCGTTGCGTTTGGTGAGTTAGTCTCAGTATTAACTTCAGCTCTGGTCTCGGTTTCCGTTCGAGCATGGAGCCCGTTACCTCAGTAGTACTGTGTTTGTGTTTGTGTGCGCATACCTGTGCACGGTTTTTAAGTCCACATTAAACCCTGATTAACTTAGAGGTACTGATCTGGCCCTGTCTGTCTTTGAGTAGGTAGCCAGACGTGGATTAGTGTGGCGGTGCTGTCACTGCCACTGTACTGCAACTACAACCCACAGCCCTGATCAGCTGTGGTTATGTGACCTGTGGCGATTATAGCTACCACCAGACTGTATATTAATAGATTACAGGTGCTAATCTCTGTAGAATATGATCTGATCAAGGGGGATCTACTCACGGATCCTCAGTTATATAAACAGCAGCTTTGATAGCCGAGGTTTTTCCGATGTTAGATTAGCCTGGTACTCAGTGGAGCTTCGTCAGTTTAAGCCGCACGGCTCCACATGTTGCGTCAGCTCACTCCTCAGTGGGCGGAGTAACTGTCGAGTGGAGTTTATTGCATCTCTTCTCTAAATTAGCACTCGAAATACGTTGTCCAAAATAATCACATGCTGCCTTTTTTTTTTTTTTTTTTTTTTTTTTGTTCTCACTTTTAGCCTTAGACTGGAAAATAAAAAAAATTTAAAAAATGCAGTGATATGGAGCGAGTGTCGCCTCAATCCCCGTCCCAGTTTGTATACTGTACAAAGTGGAGGGATCAGGGTTGTTTATACTTCTGTTGTGCATTCAGTTAAAATAATCATCCGGAGAAACAGGTGAATATTTTTGTATTTATTGTACATTTGTAACCAAAAAAAAAAAGAAAAGAGCCGAATATTTATTTGCATCGATTCAGTTCTACGTGTGAAGTGTCACTCGTGCTTCATTAAGTGCTTTGTTCTGGATGTCCACAGTAGATCTTCTTTGTGTGCATATGAAGCGTCTTCCTCCGCAGACCTAGTTTATGCTACAAATTACTACTGTGACGAGGGGAGTCACTGTGCCACATTTGTAATGTTATTGTAAAACCAGACCCAAAGTAGATCACTACCTCTACCTTGTGGAGTGCATACTAGCCATATGCTGTGTTGCATGCCGTGTATTTTATTATTTTTTTTCCCAGCTTTTCTTTTTCTTTTCTTTTGTTTTCAGTTCAGCTCTGGAGTTGAACAGTGCAGCACTTTGTATACTTCATTAAATGACATTCTGTATGGTTATATTTGACTGTTTCTTCCCCCCCCCTCCTCTAATGAAGCAGGTAGTTTAAGAGCTTTCATGCTCTTAGGCCGGTTACAATCAAATAACCCCCCCCCCCAAATCTAAAATTTAATGAAACTTTCAGTCATTGTTAAGTTTTATTGAGTGAGATTTGGTAATAAAATTCACATAGACGTGTTAAAACAAAACATCCTGAGACAAAAGCAGCTCCAGCTGAAATGTTGTTAAATCTAGTTTTAGAGTTTGAAACATGGAGCAGTTGCTAGAAATGAAAAAAAACAAAAAAAACAAAATCATTTAAATGTTTGAGGTGCGTTTGTTCCCGTAGAACTTCTAAATTACAAAAACTTAAAACAGCACAAACCTCAAAATGCATAGGTCTGATTGAATCCTGTCAAATACAAAACATCTGGTTAAAGCTCAAATCAAAAAGCAGCTTCACAGACACGTGAAGAACTGAAGTCCCTTTGTTCGGCGGCAGAACACGTGGTTATTAATGTAGGATTCATACTTGTTCACTGGAAACCACTTTCTGGTGTCAACCTCATTGTTCTAAAGCAGATGTGAAAGAGTTATGTGGAAGCACGGCCTCTCAGTGAAACACAACCACCATTACATCCTTGTGACTGTGGGATCTTTAAGGTCACGTCACATCACCGGTAGAAACAGGCAGTGAAACCTGTTTCACACAATCGGCGCTCTGTCGCTACTTGGCCGGGGCGAACCCCACGCGATCAGCGTTCCTGTCAAACACAGTGTAGTACTTCCCGATGAAAACATCTCCCAGGATCCACAGGGGCCCGGCGGGAGGCGGGATATCCATGGCCAAGAAGCCCGACAGGCAGATGGATACGCCCATCTGAGACTCCTGCAAGGAAACGACAAAAGATTCTCACTGTCAGCGAAACGCGTCATGTCGTTTAACTTCTGCCCATCAGGACATAAAGATAAACTAAGATGGTGCGGTTTCTATTTCCCAAAAAAATGAATGAATGAAGATAGATTTTATTTTGTCAACAAATCCTATGGAAGTGCGTTAATCTAAATATCCTGACTTCCCTCCCTGTCTGTGGTTCTCCGTCGTGCCTATTCTAGATTTACATCTTTAAAATAAAGACTAAACCTGCAGCGAATGTTACTCAGACGGGTAAACGGTGTATTCGTTTGACTATTTCCTCGTGGATTTATTCCCATTGACTCAAACTATGTTCCAGTGCAGCAACGTGATTCATTCATGTGTTTTTGAACAGTAACAGATTTGATAAAGGATCGGTCTATTTCTACTTTTCAGGTGCTGGTTTTTCTTTTTCTTTTTTTCCTTTTTTAAACTGGCAGCGACAAACTTAAAGCGAAGTTTCATCTGATGTCAGTGAATCTACCTTTAAGATATAATCCTCTCCGGTCAGGTTGAACATCTTCCCCCCGATGTTGAAGGAGATGACGGGGAGAGAGGGGATCTTCTTACAGTCGATGAAGTACTACGAGGGAGAGGAGAGGAGAGGAGGAAACGATCTCTCAAAACCAAAAAGAAAAAAAACAAAACAAACTGTTTGGATTTGTATTTTTGAACTATACCTCTCCCATCAGCAGGGGCAGAGCTCCGATGGCTTTCTGCAGCGCTCTGATCTCCTCTCGGGGACCTACAATCAGGGATGTTCCCGTGTCAACAATAGCCTGGCAACCGGCTTTGCAAAGAGTCAGCTGGTTGCCAACTGCAACTCTGCGGGGGCAGGTATGAGAGAGAGCGAGAGAGAGACAGATTTACAATAACAGATTTAAATATGTAACAGCTTGAGGTGAAATCCTGATCAAATTTGGCAACACACACACACACACACTGTGGGCACCGTGACACACACAGAACAGGAAGTGCGTCCGCCCACACTTCACTTTCACAGATCCCTGTTCCTCGTAACAACGAAGCCACGCGAGATTGTCCCTCACCCGTTCATCTCAATCTGCCAGTAGGCCTTGCGTGTGACATTAACATAGTGCAGGTCTCCGGTGTAGTACTGCGGGTCGGTCCCGCCCAGCGTCAGCTCCCCTCCGACTGCTGCCGCCTGGTCTCTGAGAGAGACACGGAGGACAGAGGCGTTACAGTGGAAAACTTCAAAGCTGCTGAATTAACAAGTGGTTTAGTTCAGTGTTGTAGTGAAGGTCACCACGCCTGCGACCTTTGACCTTCGACCACCAAAATCTACCCAGTTTATCCTTGAGTCCTAGTGAATGTTTGTGCCAGATTTGAAGAAGTTCCATCAAGGCGTTTCTGAGATATCGTGTCCACGAGAATGACACAGACAAACTGAAAACAATATGGCTGCTGCTCTGACTGTCGCCGGCGTGGAGGAAAAACAAAGCCGCAGAGTCAGCAGTTAAACCAAGATGGAGGGCAGTGAACGTAGCGCTGGCTGAACAGAGTTAGATTTGTATTATTTGCAGCCGTTCGTCGCTGCGTCTTCCGTCAGAAACCAACCTGCTTATGTAGAAGGAGAAGACGTTCTGGGGCAGCAGCTTGGCGGCCATGGCTGTGTCAAACACCGGGACGACACCAGCCACTGATATGGAGGGGTAGGCCATGCCCAGGACCCCGTCGAACCGCGCAACAGCAAATGTGATGCCGGGCTGCTTCACCGCTTCCGCGAACTGTTGCCCAGGAACAGACAGACCTGCGATCTGCAGGGAGGTTGAGAAGGAGACAGAGACGTCAACACCGGAAAAACAAAGAAAAGAGTCTTTTAATGGAACGACAGGAAGGAATGCAGTTAAACAAAGAGCTTTGTGAGCGAGCGTCTCTCAGACTCACAGAGACAGTGTCCCCGCTGATGAAGCCGGACAGGCTGCCTCTGCCGTACTGGATGGAGAACTCTGTGCCGTTCTGAACGTACGTGCTCGACTTCTTGGAGTTGTAACGATGATGAATCCCTAACGAGACAGAGGACAGTCAATCCAGATGAGAATGCACAGATGCCATGGGGCCGAGGAAACAGAACACAGTTGGCTTGTTTAGTATCAGAATCTCTGTGAAGTGAAGTTGTTGGCAAATCAAGAGGACGACAGAATGATGCACAATATCTACAAACAACGAAGCCTTTGAAAAATGTCTGTGTCCGAGTCTGAGAGCAGCAAATTATTTGTATCTACCTCGTGACAACAGGAGGCCGACTTTGTCTCTCAGTGTTTAATAAAAAAGGACAGTTCGGCCTTTAAATGCAATTAAAGTCAAAATCTGGGTTAATGTCCTTTTTAAAAACCCAATCTTTTGCACTTCTGTCCCACTCACAGTGAACTGTGGTGACACTGATGCAGGAGTGAGGACGTGCACGGCTGAGTTAGTTATAGAGTCTCGTGAGGAAGATTTACTGAAGGTCATGACAGTGACACAGAAATTAAACCTGTATTAAACTAGAATCACCTCCTCACGGTCGTATCCCTCCGCCTCTCAGACTATAGTTCCAGGTTACATCCCTGTTTATCCAGACTCGTATAAAATAAGTCTTGAGTAATGGCTAAAAATCTTTGACCTTTCACCTTTGACCACCATAATCTAACCAGTTCATCCTTGAGTCCAGGTGAAGGTTTGTACTGAATTTAAAGAAAATTCCCTCAAGGTGTTGTGGAGATGTCACATTCACAGGGTCAAAACTGTGGTTTGTGAGGTCATCACACCCTTGACCTTTGACCCCCAAAATCTAATCAGTTCACCCTTGAGTCCTAGTGAATGTTTGTGCCAAATTTGAAGAAGTTCCACGGATGGGACGGACGGACAACCTGAAAACAAGATGGCTGCTGCTCTGACTCTCACAGGTGAGGAGGTTTGTTTGTAATATTTTAATCACACAACAAAGTGTTTTTTCCAGGAAGCAGTCCAAAGCAGCCCCCACCCCCCCAGGACGGACGGACAACCTGAAAACAAGATGGCTGCTGCTCTGACTCTCACAGGTGAGGAGGTTTGTTTGTAATATTTTAATCACACAACAAAGTGTTTTTTCCAGGAAGCAGTCCAAAGCAGCCCCCACCCCCACCTCCCCCCAAAAAAAGCAAACTCACAGCAGGCCAGGTCCAGGAAGGAGCAGTGGATGGAGGGGACCCACAGGTTGGAGGAGCCGGTGTCAAACAGCACGGTGAACTCCTGAGGGGGGGTGCCGATGCTGATCACCCCGTAGTACTGAGCCTGAGACACAAACACAGACTGAACACGCAGCAGACTGACGCCTCCGCGGGAAGGCGCACAGGTACGTCAACAGGTGCATTAAGGTGCGTGAGCATGCGCAACAACTATTCAATACGACGGCACATTAGACGCAGCTGCTGAGGGTGTTATTGGTTTGAATAAGGAGCATTTCCTGTGCGTTCACGTTCCCCCCTCAGCTGCAGGAAATCAAAAAACATTCAAGGAACAAATGTGGAGAGATCAAGTCTTTCCGTTTCCATGCCAACCTTGTTCCTCTTTTATTGAAAGTATGAGCCATAAAAGAAAGAAAACTGATGTAAACACGGGATATCGTGGTCTAATATTTACCCCACTTCCTCCTTTGTCGCAGTTTCTGCTCAAATATTGAACTTTTGATATTTTACTGACCCACAAATAAACCCGCGTGAGCTACAAACTCTTAACGTCTTGTGTGTGATGGGCGTGTCACATCTGGACCTGCTGTGTATGAAGAGGACAGTGTCTGAAACGTGTAATGTGCAGGTGTGTGTGTGTGTGTGTGCAGGTGTGCGTACATCCATGAAGTTGGTCAGTCTCTCCACCGGCAGTGTCGGGGAGGGGGAGCTGTCCGGCGCCCCGCTGCTCTTCGCCAAAGCCCGGAGCTCCTCCACCGACATCCCGCTGTCGCTCATCAGGCGACGCAGGCTCCTGGTTTTATGAAGGGGAACTCTGCAAAGACATGATTTGATTACATGTCACATGTATGGTGCGCGCGGACACGCCGCTTCCTGCTGCAGAGCGCGTGGCTCTTCTTACTTCATACAAGTTTTAGTAACTGAACTACAGTGTTAAACTGTGAACCGGTGTCTTCACTGTGGGTGAATGCATCGCACACTAATTGGAATCACGTGAGGCTAATTATAACAGTAGAGACAGGAGTTAAACTCGCGCGCATTAACCTGCATTTAACGCTGCTCCTCTCGGAGAGATGAATGTTCCCCCAAATGTGACATAGGTACAAGTTGACAAAGCATCAGCTGACACCGTGTTTACCTGATAATGGCGACGCTTTGTGTTATCAGCAGCGTCCCGATGATGTGAAGTATCTTCAGCCGCGTCATGTCTGTCCGAAAGGAGAAATAAAAATAAAAGAAATAAAAGAAATAAATGTAAATACAAGCACTTCTGTTTTGTTTCCGATGTGGACGGGCGCTCACACGCAGACCTCTGTCTCAACTGACGCAGGGAGCAAAGCGAAAGCGCTTCGGCAATGTCCGCGTTCACTCGTTTTTCTCCGCCATGCCGCTCGGTGGTTGGAGGAGAATGATCGGTGGGGCGCTGTCATTGGTGGAGGAGGCTGGCCATCATCCCGCATCACAGACCTGTGCAGGAGGTTTGTGGAGGGTCACGAGTTGTAATGTGACTGAGGAGCAGGACAGCAGACATGTAACAGAGACTATAAACCTGACCACAGAGTAAAGTTTACAGATTATAGATTGTAGATTATAGGTTATAGATTATAATGGTAATGCTCCTGATTTTCAGTATCCACCATGACTTTGTTTTTCAGTGTTTAAAGGACAGTTCGGCCTTTAAATGCAATTAAAGTCAAAAAATGGGTTAACCATCGATTTCAACAGGATCCAAAACTGTCCCTCCATCGTTTGCACTTCTGTCCCACTCACAGTGAACTGTGGTGACACTGATGCAGGAGTGAGGACGTGCACGGCTGAGTTAGTTATAGAGTCTCGTGAGGAAGATTTACTGAAGGTCATGACAGTGACACAGAAATTAAACCTGTATTAAACTAGAATCACCTCCTCACGGTCGTATCCCTCCGCCTCTCAGACTATAGTTCCAGGTCACATCCCTGTTTATCCAGAGTCGTATAAAACATGAACCGTGTGTGTGTGTGTGTGTGTGTGTGTGAGATTTTTGTCATTGTTTCTGTGTGAAGTCTTGAGTAACGGTTAAAAAGTGTTTTCTGAGGTCACCGTGACCTTTGAAAACCAAAGTCTAATCAGTCCGTCCTTGAGTCTGAGTGAATGTTTGTGTGACATCTGAAGAGATTCCCTTGAAGAGTTCTGGAGATATCGCCTTCACGAGGCCAAAATCTTGTTTTGGTTAAATGGGGCACTTACTTCATCGCGCTCAGGTTACTGCTCAGCCTGTGGAGACACTTGTATTATGGCCTCCGTATCTCTAGAGGGAGGTTTCACAAGTCTGAGAAAATAACTTTTATAATAGTCAGACCATGAGCTTGACTCATACTGAAGGTCAACATGTCTCTGCTTCTACCTCTGTTCAATTCTTTCTTTTTCAATTTTCAATTCTTATTCTTATTATTAATAATAATAATAATAATAATAATAATATGATTCGATTTTAGAAAGTTGCCCCATGCTGGGTCCTGCTGCCTTTAAGGAGCTGCTGGTGCGTAGGAACTGTTAGCTTTAGACTGTTTCCTTATGTTTCAAGTGTTTATGCTAAGCTAAGCTAAGCTAACCAGCTGCTGGCTCTAGCTATCATTATGTATTTACTATACAGACTTGAGAGTATTGAGTGGATCTTTTTCATTCATCTGACTGTTGGCAAGAGAGAAAATAAGCATTTATTCCCTTCTTTTAAAACCATCAGCCTCAGTAATGACTTCAGCTTCGTGAATTATACTTCAGGAGTTTCAAATAATGTAAATAATGTGATGTAAAGTTTGAATAAAAACACAAGATGAATCATCTGAAGCCACCGTTCATCACGCCGCCCTCCCTGACACAGACCCGTGACAAAGCATGACAAGATCACAAAGACAGATTCTCACTTGACCTGTCGAACGAGTTTCAGATAAAATCCTCTACAGACATAAGAAACTCCTCTGACACACACACACACACACACACACACACACACACACACACACACACACACACACACACACCCTCCATCATCATCAATCAGACTTTGGGCTGTTGTTAATAAGAAGGGAAACCACTAAACTAAGAGCTGGATTCTGGATGAGGTTAGAGCTGGTTTAGTGTTGAGGTTGGTGTTTGACATCAGTGGTTAAGGTCAGAATAAGTCTCCGGGGCATAACTGTAGGTCAAAGCAACGTGTGTGTGTGTGTGTCTGTGTGTGTGTGTGTGTGTGTGTGTGTGTGTGTGTGTGTGTGTGTGTGTGTTTCCACTTGTATGTTTACGTATATTTTACAGTTTTGCAAAAAGAGAATCCACCCTTTGTTGTGACGCTGCAGGAAAGTCACACATGCCTCTTTTTAGGGCTTTTTCACACCAGATGACGGAGAGAGAGAGAGAGAGAGAGAGAGATAGAGAGAGAGAGAACGAGAGAGGGAGGAGTAGTTATCCATGACATCTGTGACATGAAAGCAGCTCAGGTATGTAAACGCAACAGATAACACTGAGCCATTCCTTACACTGGATCCTCAGTCAAAGACCAAAACGGACTCTGGTGAAACACGGAGGACTGATAACAACGGTTTCCACGCTGGAGGATGATGGTGAGAATCAGCTCTTCCTTCCTCTTGTATGTAAATGGTCAAATGTATATTTTATTACCTTTAAAAAAGAGTTAAGGCTCCTTTATCTAACAAAGAAAAACTCACACTTACATTCAGGACGTTCCTGGTTTTGTCTTAAACTTGTGTCAAAGATTCAGAAACATGAATGTACGACGCCTCACTTATGACTTACATGAACTGGATGGATGATTATAATGAACTGGCTTCTTCAAGTTACACGTAGTTGAACGTAAGCTGGTGAAGCCGAGACCTTACGTAACTGGAGCACCTACACCTGACAACAGCATGAGACCAGGTGAACACAGCAGCACATGTGGTTTGTTAGAGATGCTTAAAAAAAACGGCACGGCTCAAACATCTGTCCAGCTGTTGTACTGATAGAGACGACGGCGACACAAACCAGAAGGCAAAAGCACATCTTGTTGTCCAGTGAAATACTATGTGAGTCGTTCTCATGAATAACTGCAGGTTGATTCACCTGTTTTCTTCGGCTGATGAGCAGCATCATGACGCAAGACCAGGTCCCAGAAATGGAAGCTATCTCTCATTTTTATCTTGATTCACCTGAGCTTTACCTGCTGTGACATGCTTTAAAAAAAACTATTTTCTTTTTGAAATCCAGCAGTAAACTTCTGCTCATGCAGCTGACACGATAAGGTGGGTTCTGCTTGAGCTTCTACTCTCGAGGCTCTGTTTTGAAGAAGGACGATGGTTTCAACACCGTGAGAATCTAGACTTAAGGGTGTGTGTGTGTGTGTGTGTGTGTGTGTGTGTTTTCCCACAGATCTCCACTACAGATTAGTTTTTGTTTTACAGTAACTGTCGATTAGAGATGACAGCAGCTAGACGACAGATAACGAGCATTTTTCTGGTAACTAGCCTTCAGGTAACCACAAACAAGGAGCAACACAATCACAGAGCGCACTTGTAGGAAGTGAAAACCTGTAACGATTGGTTGTTTGGCAGCCTCAGACTTTCCTCTTATCCTGATAGTTAGTAATATTAGAGAGTTTAATGTGTCACTGTTGCACCCCACAGCTGTCCAAACCCCCCAGGACAAAGCACATGATGCAGGCCGCCCTCAACAGCTCCTACGACGTCCCTCAGCCCGCCTACGAAGACCCAGACGCAGCGAAGGTAAAACAAACAGATGGACGATAGACGCAGTTCTCGGTGCGTTGTTAGAAAAGTCGATTCTCTCTCTGATTCACTTTGTTTGCCAGCCTGCCGTCACGGATGGAAGCCAGAGGTCAGAGGTTAAAGTCAAGCCCGTCCCTCGTCCCAGGTCGAAATCAAAACCAGAAGACCAGAGCAACACCAGCGTCGCTGCTGACTCCGGAGGCAACACTAACAGTAACACCGATGCAGTGGTGAGCTGAGCGGTTTTAAACTCATAACTGCACGTGTTCATCAGCATATATGAATTCCTTTGCGTGTCCTTTTATCGGCAGAGTTTCCCGCCCAGTGAATATCCAGCGGAGAGGCCTCATCCTGTTCGCCCCCCGCCTAGACCGCCAAAATGTTTGACCTTCAGTAAACCCGCAGCAGCTGTCGACGGAGGCAGCCAACGCATGGATTCAAACGCCGAGCCAACTGTGAAGGTATACGATATTTTAAACAGAACAAGCTGCTCTAACCTCTGACCTCTGACCTCTGACCTCTACATGTGGTGTTGATGTTACATTACATCACATTACATTTGGCAGATGCTTTGTCCAAAGTTCAGTTTGAGACTTTTTTTAAACACCTTCTAAAATTTTGCTCAACACCTGCCTGTAAAAACCTGTTCTAGTGCCGCAGGACGCGTGCTTCAAGATTTATTACAGATATTACTCATCTCCAACCAATAGTTTGACATTTTTCTTGCCACAAGGAATCTTAACTTGTCAAAGCAGCAAAAGCCCAGCTCCAGGCCTCTGCGCACTCACCACACCTCATGCACCGGGACACCTGAACTGTGCTGTCATTGATGTTATTATTACACACCTGCTTTTCCTGCCTCTGAGCGGGAAATGTTGTTCTGGCTGTGAGCTTGTCATGCGACCAGGAAGGAGACTCAGGAAGTCCCTGTCTCTGGCCCAGAAATACAGTCGTACAGTTTTTTTTTTCCTCTTTTCAAGTTTTTATGCTAAGCTAAGCTAACAATTATACATTATTATATATTATTATATTGAATGGACAGGTATGAAAGTGGTTTTGATCTTCTCGTCTAACTTTTGGCAAGAAAGAAAATACGCAAAACTTTTGACAGATTTAAAAAAGAAAGTCTTTCAGGTTCCAATTTATTGAACATTATTATTAATACTTTAAATATTTATTGAAATTAAACCCACAATATACACATTTATTTACCTAAACTTTAACAACGGTGTTTGCTGTGTTTAATACAAGGGGTGTTGTATTAACTAACTTTCCCCTCTGCTGCAGCCTCCTCCTCCCCGTCCTCAGCGCCCCCCTCCCTCCTCCATCTACTGTGATAGACTACAGTCGGCCATGCGGATGCAATCTCCGGTAAGAGCTCAGCACACGTCAGACAGTCATTTCTGAGCTCTAAGAACCTCTTATAAAAGAAATAAACCCAGGTGTGATGTTTTGTTCTTGGATAGAGCAGCACCGAGTCTCCACAGCCCACCATCAGCTCCACCCAGCAGCCTGCAGTCCCTGTCCCTGAGGGACAGCCGGCCCTCTGTGGGACTTACAATGAAACGGTAAATTGCGAGTCTTACAGTCCCTGACGTCATTTCTTGTAGAGTTTTGCAAGACCTTTAGTTGTTATCATTATTCCAACTCAACACTCAACAGCATGAAAGCTCAGACACCTGTTGTGCGTACATTCAGTGGTTTGTTATACTCGACTGCGCGTGAATGTCTTTGATTTTCAGGCCACACACGGTCCAGACCGACCTGCAGTTCCACCTCGCCTCGCGCAGTCCTCCCTCCCCCGCCCCGCGCCGGTGTGTGACGCCTCGCCCCGCCAGGTATGAGAGCCGCTGCGGCAGAGCTGCGTGTGATGAGCCGTGCGTTAGGACAGGTGTCCGTCAGCACGGCGACAAAAGGTGTAGAAACACATGCGCGCACATCCACGCTGTCATGGAAAATCAGATACAAAAGAGTTCACCCTTTGTCCTGCGTGTTACGCTGTACAGTCAGCATGAAACGCAGATTTTTGGCAGGGCTGCGGAAGCCCTTCACACCCCCACCATCTGTAACGGCCTCATGGGAAAATGAATCTGAGGGGGTGACAGTTCGTTTCCTGCATCCTTCAGTGAGTCATCAGAAATGAGTTTAAAGTGATTTGATGCTCTGATTATCCACTTGATCAACACTTTGACTTGAAACAGGCTCCAGTGGAGTCTCCTTCACACATCTCCATGAAAGTCTCAGTCTTAAAATCCACAGCACTTTTCATGGAACAGGTTTTTCTACTGAGCTTATGTGTGAATCAAATTTCATGGCAGCTTGTCCAGTAGTTATTTCAGATATTTCACCCACTTGCATGGTGTCGCTGGAGGCAAAGTGAGTGGGATTCATTCTCTGGCCACCAGCCAGCCTGCCATACCCAGAGCCAAGCCACTAGCATGGATAAAGATTTAGTATTTCCTCCACACTGCAAATAAGCTGCTAAAAATGAAAATTCCTTCATCGATTTCCTGCGATTCAAAACCATTCAGTTTATTAAAGGCTTTTCTTTAGAGGAGGGTTGCTGTTGTTTTTTTGTGCAGTTGAGTTGATAAAGAAAATACATTTTCTTTGTCTATGACAGACGAGACCGCCGCCTCCTCCATTCAACCCTCCTCCGCCACCGCCATCAACGGGGACGCCGTCAGACTCGGTGTACTGTGAGATAGAGCATCGCCCCTACCTGGATATTCTGTCAGAGGATGAAGATAAGATGGTGAGAGAGAGAGAGAGAGATTTCTGCAGATTAAGGCCATAGGTTTTAATTCATTTCTGAACCGTTAATGTATTTCCATTCAACACTACCAGACACAAGGGAAGACGATGCCTCGCTCCGGACTGCGCTTCCAGAGCAACTGCTTCTCTTCATGCCAACAGAGCAGAGAGGACACAGACGTAAGGCCTTTCCTATACTCAATAGTTTACTTGCCCCCTCCTCTCCTTATAATAAACTTTGATTTTGCACAATTTGATTTACTGTGCTCCTACATATCAAGAGGCTTGTTTCCACTCTCACAGGAGTAGTTCTCTTCATCACACTATTTTCTTTAGAGATAAATTGTGAACCTTCCTCCACGACACAGTGACTGACAATGATCTGTTTTCCTCAGGACCACTATGGGATGTTGAGGTGGTTGACAAGAGTGTCAAGTAAGCACAGATCTTGTTTTTGTGTGTGCAATTTTTATACTTTTATGTAATGGATGACCAAAGATATAGGCCTGTATTCTTTTATTCTACAAGAAATGTGCAAAAAAGTATACGATGGAAGTATGGAAGTATACGATATGTCATTTATTTTTGTGCCATCCTTCCAACAGGACCTGATTACATGACTCCGTCACTGTATGGCCTCAGTATAGAAGAAGAAACCAGGTAACACAGACACTATCATGTGATTTCTTTCTTGTGAACTGGTGAAGTGTCCTTTAAGTTTCATGTTTTAATATTTCAAGAGATTTAAAGTATAAACAGTGCATGCAAATCAACAGTTGGCTTTAATGTGACAATGGAAGTTATATCAGAATTCATATTAAATTCGAGCACATGAGGTGGATAGAGAAGCAGATGCTCGTTAAGTCTCTCCTGTCACCGTCCCTATGCAGATTATTTAATCAGAGAGCCATGGATGTGAGCAAGGCCCTGCGCCTCTTCAACGTCCTCATGATGAAGCGCAACGAAAGCCTGCGGAACGTCATCACAGAGTTCAGCTCCATCTCCAGCAGCCTGGACAAGCTGCAGAAGAAGACCAAAACCATGGGCATTGCTGGGGGCACCACAGGCGCCGTGGGAGGGGTGACGGCAGTGATGGGCGTTGCCTTTGCTCCTATGACCATGGGTGCCTCGCTGATCGCTACGGTTGTCGGCGCTGGCATGGTGGCATCCGCCGGAGGTATGGGCGCCCACACTGCTAAGGCCAACAAGAAGATTGTGAATAGGATGGGAGTCGAGAAACTAGTATACGAATATAAGACAAATGTCGCCGACCTGGAACACTGTCTGGATTTTATCCTCTCTGGGATGAATGAGCTGCGAAGGCACGACATCGCCAGGTTACAGAGGGCAGGAGCCCAGCCCCACGCACTGAAGATGGCACATCTGTCACAGTCCGTGTTTAGGGATAACACAGACAAAGGGAAAAGGAGGTCGTCTGCTCCACACACAGGTGGGTTGTCATCTGAGAGACTGCTGCTGGCTTTTGTCAAGGAACTGGACCAGTATTTTACAGAGAAGGAAGGTCAGAAGCTGAAGAAAGCCAACAAGAGCAGGTTTTCAGGTCGGGTTCGCCTGCTGGCTGAAAACCTGCAGGAGGAACTACAACACCTGAATCACATGTGGGAGATATTCAGTTGAACCAGAGAACTCTTAATGTGTGTGTGTGTGTGTGTGTGTGTGTGTGTGTGTGTGTGTGTGTGTGTGTGATATGTTTTAGAACATTTTCATTGGTGCGATTAAATTCCTTATTTACATGTATTTTAATAAAGAATTTATACTTGTAAAACCTAATGTGTGATTTATTAAAGCCAACATTTAATGGTAGTTTAAGATTGTAGTTCGACTACAAAACATGACTGTGATAAATGAAACAGAAGAATTAATGAAACTCACTGTCAAGAGTTTTATTTAAAAAAAAAAAAAAAAAAGAATTAATAAAAAACAGTGTTTTCAAAGTTTAGTCCCTTGGTAAGAGCGCAGTAGAAAGGAATGTGAAGAACAAACAAACACTGGCGGAGTGATATTCTCGGCACCGCGGAAGGATACCGCCGGTCCTCGCTTTAAGTCTATATCAGCGCCGCGCCACAGCATGCGCCATTTTCCTTTCCGAGGAACAACAAACGAAGCATCATTGTCGGACATCGCTGAATTGGCCGAAATGGCAGTGTAAAGTGTGCAGCGACCCAGCAGCAGCCAACAAAACAGTGCATCCAGCCAGTGCACTGAGTCACTTCTAATTCAGAAAAATGTCGTAAGTATTATTTTTATATCGTTTCGGTCGATGACAGCTGTCAGGTCGAGAGTGGCCGCGCGCCTCAGCGGCCTCAGCACTATATAACATCTGAATATTTTCCGTTGAGATCAGTTTGACTGTTCAAAATGAATTTCACATGTACTGTGTTGTCGAGTTGACGGATGAAATAACTTTATTAATTTACGTAAAACGTAGATGACGTAGCACGCGACATTATCATGTAATGTCACATTTTGTACCGTTGGCTCAAATGGTGTCGACGCTTTGAATATACGTTAAAAGTCCTCGACAGTTTACGATTTTTTCGATTTTTTTTTTTTTATCGAACTTCTGTTAAATGATCACGACTGACTGTGAGCGCCAACGTGGCAGTCAGGAAATGGTTCTTTTCCTCTTTGTGTTTCAAAATGGCGGAAAGAGAACAAAAATGTGGCTGTTTTGTGTGGGTGAGGGGAGGGTGGCGGCGGACTCTGTGACCCCGTCTAGTGTCGTCATACTGACGTCAGAGTCATAAGACTGGTAACGGGAAGGAAACACGTGATGTGCACCAGGTGCACTGCAGGGATGGGGGCAGTGTTGTGCGAAAATGGGGAAGCATTTGTCTCATTGAGATCACAATCATTGTCTTTTTGTGCACACATTTAGTTTTTAATTTGTGAATCAACAAATACTTTTGATTGCTTTAATTGATTATAATATATTTCTACATTATCAGTGTTCATATTTTCACCACTAATGTCTCATTTTCTCCCTTCCTGTCCTCAGGTCCTTTGTGGAAACCCTCAACACTGCTGCATTCGACAGCATAAAAGAACTCGACGCTCTCCTAGCATCGTCACGTACTCCGTTTGTGACCAACAACAGCCATTATGACCATGATGATGACAAACTCACAGTTTGGCCTGGAAGACATGGAGGCCCTTCTCTGGGGGCCTTCCTCTCCCATGGCTGACCCTATGGGCTCCCTACACTTTCACCCTGACCAAGAAGAACATCAGGAAGGAGGAGGAACCTCGCGGGAGGGGGACACTTCGCCTGCGTCACCCCTCACCTCCTCATCGCTGTCTTCTTCCTCTTCTCCTCCTCCCTTCTACTCTCCTCCTCCCTCGCCGCCGGCCGTCCTCCTCCATGGGGACAAAGCCCGGAATGAGTCTGACCTGCTCTCCCTCCCCTGGTTGGGCCACCCCGATGAACTGAGATGTAGCCAGACACTCTCAGGTGACAGGAAAGGTAACCAAACATTGAAGTTGACAATCAGAAATGTAACACTCAAACATACTTGAAATACTTCCCGAGTGCCGTCTCATAACCAGTAATGGTGTAACTGAATAATAAAGTGCCTCGTTTTCCTTCCACAGAGGAAGCATTCGGTGACCTGGACTGGATGGCTGAGAGGATGGATCTGAGCGAGTTTGACCTGGAGTCTCTGATTGGCTCATGCAGTCCTCCTGAAGAGTCCCCCAGCTCTACAGAAGATCTCCTGGCCTCATTAGATTGCCCCATGGAGCTCGACTCCCTCCCGTTGCCCACACTCTCAACTCCTGCACTCTCGAGTCTTCCCTTTGCCTCCCCTCAGAACACACCTCCCCCTACCCTTCCCGCTACCAGCGAAGATGCTTCAGTCATTACAGTGGATGACTGTGAATCCCACGCTGATGGGCAGGAGGCGCCCTCCCCTCCCCCATGTGTCCCAGAGCCACAAGAGGAGCTTGAAATCAAATCTGAGCCTTCATCTCCTGACCCGTCCTCCCCCTGGGTTGATTCTTCTTCCTCCCCAGTCTACACCCTGGACCTGGGCAGCGAGGTGGATGTGTCAGAGAGTGAGGTGAAGCCGGTGTTAGCCGCTGTGGTCCCTCAGGTGCCGAGGCTCGTGCTCTCCCTTTCACCAACCCGCATCGTCCTCGTGCTGGCTCCCAAAAATGAAGTGGGGCTCACCACCGCCACCGTGGCCACCACTTCCGAGGTCATTCACTCCTCCCCTCCTGCCCCCTCCCTGCAGAGGTCCTCTAGAAGCAGACCGTACCCTGAGCCCAAATGCAAAGCTAGCCCACCCTCTCCCAGTGCCACCAGCGTCAAAGTCAAGTCCCTTCGGGGGGCAGCTGGTGACAACAGGGTAACTCTGAAGGCGCCAAAGGACAAGAAACTAAAGAAGATGGAGCAGAACAAGACGGCCGCCACGCGCTACAGGCAGAAGAAGAGGGCGGAGCAGGAAGCGCTCAGCACTGAGTACGCGCTGCTGGAGAGGAAGAATGTGGAGCTGACGGAGAAGGCTGAATCCATGGCCAGGGAGATCGAATACCTCAAAGAGCTGATGGATGAGGTCCAAATGGCCAGGATGAGAAAAGGTCTCGGTGCTGACCCCTAGTGGCTGGGAACAAACCTGACCTGAGAATAGCTGCGTGTGGTCAGAAGTGGGCACTGCAGATTTTATTTTTAATGCACACATGTTTCAGTACAGTATGTGTTCTGTCCACACAGCATGTCATGGAGCGCACAATCCAATAAAACTGATGTTTGTCAGAATATCTCCTTTTTAACGATCTAACACTGGTATTATCAAATATAGAATAGTTTCGTCATGTTCAGAGTAGTTCTATGGAAACAAGTATTTTCAATTCAGTAAATCAACCTGTGTGCTGTTTGTTATATTTTCCTATATCTGGACCTCAGTAACTTACCGGTAAGTCTTTTTTAAAGTTTTAAAATGTGTATATTATAGTATAACCGAACCACTTGTATTATCATTCTCTTAATAAAGAGTCTTAAACCTAATTGCATTCATGTGGTGTGATTTACTTGTGGGGTAATGTTGGGAGAGAAATGAGGTCATCACTTCACACAATAGCATCAAACTAGAGAAATATGTGTGTGTGTGTGTGTGTATATATATATATATATATAAAATTATTGAAAGGAAATAAACCCCTATAAAGTAAGCAAATGTTAATTCACCATTACTTTTTATTTTATGAACTTAAAACAATGATTAACAGCTATTCAACACTTTTTGTTTTTTGTAGCAGCTAAGAGTCTTTTCTATTCTTCATTCAGGAATTTTCACCCACTTTTCCTGCGGATCACTTTACACTCGGCTATTTTTAGAAATATTTTAAGGCTGTCTTGCACACACTCATGTACCCACCGTTCTCCTGCTGCACAATCTTAAAGCAGAGAGTCACTCACAATGAGATATGGTGTTTCTTTCTGTCTCTGAACACGTCTTTACTGTGGCCAGAAAGCTCCGTTTTCACTTCATGTGTCCACAGCAAACGACTTACCCAGAGGTTTCTTTGCAGACTACATGTTGACCTTTGTGATGAGGTCGCATGTAGGGTTTCCATCTGATGACACTTCCATGTAGTTTGTGCAACAACACGTGCGTTTTTGCAAAGTCATGCAGGAGTCTCGTTTTGCCTTTCATCTCGTCTTGACGGTTTCCATCAGCTGCTGTTTCTTAATGACATTTCAAAACGGAAGTGTTGTGATGTCTCTTCACAGCCTCCCCCGTGCTGTTAGCTTCATTTTCACATCCACAGTCAGCTGCTAAGAGGGAGCCTGAGCTTGTTGCTCTTGATCACAGAGTTTGAAGAGTCAGAGACGATTTGTAATGACAGCTCTTGACCTTTGACCTTTGACCTGCCTCACAAGTCCGAATGAATGAAGTTCTGAGTGTTTTTCAAGTAGAAAAGTTGCTAAACTTTTGCAATTACTCTATATTTTTATCTACTTTAATGAAATGTATGTCATTGTTTTGCTGCTGGGGCTGTATTTGCTTCTTTTCACTCCAGAAATCAACAATATATTGAATTAGTCCCGGGGGGGGGGGGGCAGCTGTACATGTACAGTAAACTTCAGAGAAGCCGAAGTTCACGACCTTTTTAGAGACTCTTTTCAGACTGTTCAGAATGAAACCTTGTCCCAAACACAAAGAGCCTTTATTCCCGGTCTGATGATACTTGACAATGAGACTCTAGACGTCCACATCTGCGTGGAGCCTCTTTCAAACTAACAAACAGGGCGGAGGATAATGGAGGCCGCCTGACCAGCGGCGTGCTGCACACACACATGGGGATTCAATCAACCAACAGTCATGTGAAGTTACAAAATGCAGTTTCTACGTATTAGCGGCAGCGTTGGGGGACAGACACAGTATTTCCTGTTTCTGTGTACTCACAGGAATACACACTGTGTGTATTTGTCATGTGTGAGAGTGGAAGAGCATGCGAGAGAAGAGAGTGCTGACTGGTGCTGACCTAGGCACAGCTTGAATAATATTCCCAAGAACAAGTACGTTCAGCCCATAACCGGCCCTCGTGTGCTCGCTGTAATTGGTCCAGGCTTTGGTCCAGATAGCTCAGGGACAATCTATAGATGGAGGCACGCCAGAGTCGAGAGGGTGCAGAGAAAAACATTTCCTCCACAAAACCCTGGGCTGATTCTCTGTGGATGCTGCCGGTGCTCATTCTCCAAGGGAAACATCTGATCTAAGACGGTTAGAGCTTCGTAATTTCAACATTGAAACGTTGAGGATTTTATTAAACATGAAGAATAATCCCTGTAATAGGATGAAACATGAGGACACAACTCAGGTTATGTAGAGTGGATTTACCTCCCACTATTCTACTGCCGTCTAGCTGCTGTGTCGTTTTTTTACACAGTGATGTAAAGTATAAATCGTTACCTGATCAGATTTATCAGCCAAGATTAATAAAGGTTTCTTTTGTTTTTAAAAGGTCAAAGATCATGAGCACAATTAGATTTCAAAAGCACAAAAATGAGACAGAAACATGAGACAGCTTGAAGTATTTGTCATAATGTAGCTGGAGATTTAAAAAATATTTTTCTTCTTTTTTTTTTATTCTAATTATCCAGTGTGTTGGCAGATGACTCCGCTTGCTGCAGTGCCACCTAGTGACAATACTGCACAACTGCATGTCTGATAATAGTGTTTTTTTTGTCTTGTAGGGTCGCACTGCAGTCACCAAAACAAGATGGTTTAAAGAATGAGAGGAAAAGGCAAAAATACACAACAATATATCCACATCTTTTATTGTTGTCTGGGGATGAACAAAGTACTGATGATGCGATGCACCAATGTACAAAGGACCACACAGGAAGTAATGTCACTTTGGCTACAGTAAAGTGGTACACAGTGCAAAATGCCTCGCTAAAAGCCGACGACGTAACATGTTGTACACCGGAAATATACACTGCTCATACAATATATTCACAGATCGGAGTGGGACTGAGACTCCTGAATCGATATCTGAAACATCCTCATATCAAATTGTAAATAGTCATGCTTGTCACACTAAGTGTAGCGGGAGCCTACGTCACTAAATGGAGCACAGAGTCAGTAAAAGCAAAGAGGAAGCCGTGTCGGGGGGTTTCTTTTATAGGCTACATCGTCTGTATAAAATCTGATTTTACAGCATGGCAGTGGTAACGGTCACATATTATACAGCACAGACCACGTGTGTGAGGACGATGACGATGCACCTGAGGCTCTGAGCTTCAGCACATTCACCTTCCATACTGATGTGAACCTCGTCGTCACATCCACTTATTTTTTTTTTATTTCAAACCGGATGTGCTGAAGTTCAGAACCTGAGGAACGAAAACTGTGCAACTGTCCAAATACTTGCGGCCTGGACTGCATGCGTTCATTTGAACCTTTCAGAGTGTGTGAATTCTCTTCTTTCCACTTTTAATTTTTTCTTTTCTTTTTTCTTTTTTGCAGTTGTAAAGGTAGAGGGTTGTGATGTCTTACCAGAAATTCACATAGATCTGCTCAAGCAAGAGTCAGAGCAATAAGAAGAAGTGAGGTTGCCTTCAACTCCATAGGCACTCATTTATCTGCATGCGGTGTCTTAACATGCCTCTGAGAGCTGAACATGTATATATATATAAATATATGTATATATATATATATATATCTATATATATTCTATCTTTTTCAAAATATGACTTTAGATGGCGGGAGCGGGTGTCTCGATGATGTAGAAAAAGGTAGTAAAAGCCCTCTGTGAGCTCACACATGGTTTCATGAGGTTATGTTGTTTCTGTAGCATGCGAAAGCTTGATGTAGCCGACAGGACACCGGCCCGCCGCCGGGCTGTGCTCCCACTCTCGCGCTTCGATGCTGAGGCACGTGGCTGAATCTACCTTGTGGATAAATGCACCGGATGCACGACCACAGACGGCCCGAGCTGCTCCACAGGGATCCGAGACTGCACATGGTTTGATCACAGCCTTCAACTGTTTTTAGAGATTCTCTTGAGCATGAATGCCACAGCGAAAGTGGGATAAAAATATATATATTTACTGCTTTTTCTTTTTTGTTTCTTTTTTAGCACAAGAGAACCAAAGTAACCAATTACAACCAAAGCGCAAAGACTGACTCTCTTCTACTTCCGGCAAACTAAAGCAAATACTCGCAGAAAAGCTCCAGTTTGAGTGAATATGTGACTCACGTCAGCTTTAATCAGCCTTTCTGTAAATGAGCCAGATTTCGCCCCCGGATGAATCAATTCAACCCTGACTCCCTGAGCTAAACCCGATCAAATGTAAATGAGGAAAACGTTCATCTTGCTGTAACTAGAGATCAGGAAGTTATACCGCACTTCATGTCCGCAGGAAGTTCACAAAGGAGTCGAGACTCTCCCGGTCCTGTGGTTGGACACACCGGGCTGCAGATATTCAGGTATACATTATTATCTCCTGTCATTTGGCACGTGATGCAGAAAGGGGATGACTGGACTGTAAAAATCCCCCCAGACACCGATACAAGACACAGGTAGAGACATTCCTCTTAGTCCTCCACTTACCAAGAGCTACAGACATGAGCCCCAGACCCCCCCCCCCCCCCCTAATATTATCTCCTATCCAACTCCTAATACAAATCTTATCAGTGCAGTTTGAACATAGTTACAATGATGAGTAATTCTTTACTCTGCAGTGTTGAAACAGGGTCTCTTTAGCAGCAGTTGAAGCAAAAGCAGGATATTTCTCCTCCTCTCGGGTCTGAGGGGAAACTGTCTTTTTCAACTCTCAGTCTCTCAGACGCGTCGATCCGCTGCACCGTCCGTCCAGGTCGAGCTTCTGCTGATCGGCGATCAGTGACTTCGGTTCTTTTCATTTCCAAACAGAAGAGCTACTCGTGACGAGACTCCTGCTCCAAACCGTCTGTTTTCCCTAAAGCTCCTGGGAGTCGGACAGGGAGATCTGGATGAGGTTTAAGTTACATGAGGTGATGTTCGGGCCTGTTCTGGAGCGACCGTCTCACTGCAGCTGGCATCCCCGACAGTCGTCCTCCGGCTCGGTGTTGTCGGAGGAGTAAGAGCTCTCCTCGCTCACTGCCAAACGCAACACGGTTATTAGACAGATGTAAGAGTACGTCAGACACTCTGTATGTATGTATGTATGTATGTAGGTTCAGATGTGAGTGTTTCAACTGCAACACAACAGTAATTAACTTTATAGATACAATAGTGTGACTTACACCACTCGGTCTGTATGGGGAGGAAGGCCTTGTCTCCGTTCTCCCTGATCATCTCCTCGATCTTATCCAGCAGGACCGACACGCTCCTGTCTTTGCCGGGGGTCTTACTGTCCAGGACGTGGTAATAGTTCCCGCAGTACTCCAGCAGTCTCTGCAGCTCCCTCCCGCCTCGAAGGATGTGCTCTTCGATGGGCGTGCGGCCCAGCCAGTCACCGCAGCTGAAGAGCACCATGGTGTGGAGACACGCACCGTCGCCAAACAGAGTCTCTATGTGAGCCAGGAGCGTCCGCCTCTTCCTGGCCGTGAGGGACGAGACGACGGGGAGGACCAGCAGCAGGGTGTGCGGTCCGGGCCGCAGGAGGGCAGCTCCGCGCTGGGACTCCTGGCGGATGCGCTTCGGGGTTCGCCTCACCGAGAACCAGTCCCACCCCGGGGTGTCGACGATAGTGACCCGACGGCCAGACACGAGCGCCTGTCTCCTGAGGCACAGCTCCGTCTCCTGGCCGGACTCGAAGTACCGACGGCCCAGGATGGAGTTCCCCACCGAGCTCTTTCCAACGCCCTTCCAGCCCAGCAACAGCAACCTCAACTCTGTACACCCAGGAGAGAGAGAGAGAGGGAGAGAGAGAGAGAGAGAGAGAGAGAGAGAGCGGGAGAGAGAGAGAGGGAGAGAGGGAGGGAGGAAGAAATGAGGGATGGAGAGAAACAGAGAGGCCTTAAGGAATAAAAGAAAAATAATATTGATTGACCAGTAATGAGTAAGCTGTTTTCTAGAACACCAATTTTTGCGCAATCATCTCTCTTCTTCATTGCATGACTCACTCTGTTACACACACACACACACACACACACACACACACACACACACCTCTGGGAGGTCCTCCAATCATCTGCTCCCTCTGTCTCGCGTGCTCCTCCATCCTCATCCTCTCCTCCTCCAGAGCTCTCCGCGCCTGTTCTTCCTCCAGTAAAATCAGCTCATTCACCTCAAAGTACCATCCTGCCAAAAAAAAAAAGCAGCAACAATATTTATTTCATTTGAAGAGTTTTCAATCAGCTCCATAACACAGCTGTCACAAGAAGCACTGCTCGGTGTGAGGAGCTCACCCTGGTTGTCAGTGATCATTTCCTCCACCTTCTCCATCAGCTCAGGTACCTGTGTGTTATCCTCCGTCTCTTTCCTGGTGTTGTCAAAGGCGTGGTACCTGCAGGTGGAAAAGAACAAACAAAAACAACAACAAGACGTTTTTAAAGGTGAAATTCACCAAATCATCTGCGCAGTGTCCTCCAACAGCTGAAAAACAAATACCCCACGCAGGCTTTTTTTTTTTTTTTTTTTTTTTTTAAATCTCATAGTGTCATAGTGACGTCATCAGGGTTATCTTGGCTCGGGCTCGAGATTTAAAAAGCCTGCCCTCTGTGCAGGTGGGAAGTGGAGATTGAAAGGAGTGCAGGAGGCCGGGGGGGGGGGTCGAATGAAAGACGCCATCGTCCAGTGTTCCTGCAGCGTGAGCCCGTATTAATGACGTCAGGACGCTCTCTTGTACCCCTTTAATGGATGCAAACATGGTGTGCACGTAACACGAGACCTGCACATATGTTTATATTCAGAGGTTACCATGACGATTTATCTCTTTATTTATTTAGCTCTGAATTACATAAAAGATCTCTGCAGCAGAATCAGAGATATCATCCCTTCTGTTCCTGTCAAAACCTGGCGCCTACATTACCCACAATCATACTTGACCCCTGACAGACGGGTCACAGGTTTGCGTGTGTTAGCAGCTAACCGCTAAAGCAGCCTGAAGACTGGAGCAGAGGTGAGGAGGTCTGATGAGCTCTCTTCTCTCCAGCTCCACATTTTTCCATTTCCAGATCAGTGCAGGCAGTTTATCAGACTCAGCTCCCTCTGCAGCCACTAAAGCTTTTATATTTCACGTTTTTCACATTAAGTAGAAGAGTAATCCTCCCCGGCACCTGTAAACACACCGTTAGTGTTTTAACACTGTTCTCTGGATGTGACCCAGAGGAGCCGTAGGTGTGAACACAGGTGTCTGAACGAGTTGGACCTTTCCTCCGCCAGCTCCCCCCCCCTGCAGAGTAACGTAATGTCCAAACTGAGGCGATGTGTGAACAGAGCCGGTCACCGTCACAGCGACCCGGGGGGGGGGTCGATGACGTTTCTATCCTGCCTCCTGCAACGCTCTGCCCGGGGCACCACCCCTCACCTGAAGCGAACAGTGACTCAGGCGTGTGACTCAGGTGTGAAAGGGTCATGTGACTGTCGACTGAACCGCTGCTGCACCAGATTTAGGAACTAGTGGCTAGACTGAGGAACTTTGATGTTCCTGTGTGAAATCAAACGGAGGAGAGAGAGAGAGAGAGAGAGAAAGGGAGAGAGAGAGAGAGGGAGGGAGGGAGGGAGGGAGAGAACTGACATCATACCTGCTTCCACACCTCTCCACCAGCCACTGCAGGGCCTCTCCAGTGTTTGCTATGTGCTCCTCGATGAACACGCCTTTGGGCAGCTTGTCCACCCCGGTGAAGAGCACCATGGAGTACCTCCAGGTGCCTCCACCCAGGGCCCCCAGCTGCTCCTCTGCGGCCCTCCTCTGGGTGTCGGTGAAGGGCTGGGTGACCGACACCACCAGCAGTATGGCGTGGGGTCCAGGAGGGCAGAGGATGGCCCCCATGCACGGCCCCTCGCTGTCCAGGCTCGGCGGGGGCCTCGGGTTGTCCGACTCGGCGCCGGCGTTGTCGTCGTCGTCGTCGTCGTCGTTGTCAGCTTCGGCGTCCTCCTCCGGGTCGGCGGGGATGACCCACGGAGGGGTGTCGACCACCGTGACACGCCGGCCGTAGATCTCCGTCTGGCCCACGTTGCTGTGAGTCGTCTCCGTCCCGGCGTCGAAGACCTCGTCCCCGAGGACGCTGTTGGCGGTGGAGGTCTTACCCGACTTAGGGCCCCCTAGGATGAGCAGTCTGCGCTCAGGAGGGTGGCGGCCCCTGGGGTCACCTGTTGAAACACAGAAACACCTGCCTGAAGTTCCCTGTGAGGATAATTATCTTCATCCTTTATTCTTTTTTAATCCTGTTTCCTCTTGAGCTCCTCGGAGACGAGGACACATCTGTGATATACGTCCTCCTCCCTCCCTCCTGTCCTTGCTCCTCAGATTTCCCCAATGTCCTTTTCTTATCTCAGTTCCTAGCCACCTTACACCTCTCCTCTTTTTATTTCCTCCCCTTTCATTCGCCCCCCCCCCCTCCCTGCCATTGTGCTTCCTGTTTGTTTTCCTCTGTCCTTAGCCTTTGGAAGAATTGGGTCAGAGAGGAGGAACCTTGGACTCCTTCCAGCAGAGAGAACAGCGTGTGGACAGAATATGATTTACTCTGAGTGAAAGTTACAGGAGGAGGATGAATGCTTTGATGAAACGCTGACACAGAGACATGTGGACGGCAGGAGGGACGAGGGGGTGACAGGAGGAGAAGGAGGTTTATTATTGATTTACTCACGGCTGCTGACACTTTTCCATGTGAGTTGCTAAACACAGGAAGTAGTCTCAAGCAACAGTTTCCTACTACCGTGGACGTCCAAACACGATACGGCTGTTAGAGTCTGCCCTGGGTGCTGCTGAGTGAGTGAACGGATGATGATGATGATGATGATGATGATGATGGTGGTGGTGGTGGTGGTGGTGGTGGTGATGATGGGGGGACCTGCGGCGGAGGTGTGCTGCAAAGAATGAAAAACCCCACTCACCAGTGTCAGAGGCAGAGGACACAGCAGCCATCTTGTGTGTAGAACCTCTGGCTTCCTCCTCCTCGGCCCCCCTCCTCCTTCTCCTTCTCGCCTCCACGGTGGATTCCTTCTCCTTTGCCTCTTCAGAAAGCGGCGGATCCCGAGTGGCGTGCGAAAGGGCGGCAGCTCAAATGCTTCTTGGCTCTCTCTTTCACTCTAACCCTCATTCTACTGCGGCGTAACTCACTCTCTCTTCCTGTTCCCTCCGTCTGCCACCGCTGCCTCCCGTCCTCTCCTCATACCCCCTCTGCCATTCACCCTCTCCCCCTCTTTTCTTTTCTTCTTCTTCTTCTTTTTTTTCAATCTATTATCCTCCACACCCCTTCAACCTACTATGGCTCTTTTCCCGTCCTTTTCTCTGTGTCTTCTCTCCCCTTTCTCCTCGTCCTCCAGCGCTCCTTCTTTTGTCTTATTTATCTGTCTGAGCAGAGGGGAAAGATTGTGCAATGCAGGAGACTGGAAGCCAAATCCACCCCTGCTGCAGCAGCAGCTCCAGGAAGATGTCTCGTCATTTTTCTTTTCCTTTTTTTTTTTTTTTGAGGCAAAACAGAGGAAGCTGTTCCTCCCACTTGCTTATATCACACAGCAGCAGCAGCAGCGGCAGCGGCGGTGTGGCACTGTATGAAGACTGCAGTCAGGACAGATAGAAAGATGGATAGACAGAGAGAGAGAGAGAGAGAGAGGGAGAGAGAGAGGGAGAGAGAGGGGGAGCACTCTGTTCTCTGTTCACAGCTGGATTTATTCCCCAGATGCTGCATCACGCACAAACACAACTCTTCATGTGACGCCCGCAGACACAGAAATACTGAGAGGCAGTGAGGGCATGTGTGCTGCATGAATACATTTAAATATTGATATATGAATATAAAGACATGCGGCCACAGCTTACATAATACATTAAAAGCTCCTATAAATAGAGACTGTCGTCTGCCTGAAGTGAATTCAAAGCAACTGTCGCCGCGGCGGGAACACTCTCTGAAGGATGCATCATGTGTGGCAGAGAAATTATATTATATAAATCAGCCTGAATGTCTGAGCTCATCCTTGGCTCCTGAACACGTTAATTATAGTCGCTATATGGCGCGACACATTCACGGACCCAGGGGAAGTCACGTAAGACAGAGGGTTAAAAAACAAACAAACAACAACATTTGCTTTACATGTATCGACGGTGATGCATTTAATGACACGTTGTTGACGTGACGTTTTTTAAGCTTTGGCGTCTTAGATTTGTTGAAGAAAAAAAAAAAAAAAAAAAAGACTGAAGAGCAATTTAAACAGTGACATGTGACATTCAGACCTCACGCCGTACGCCGACTCAAAGTGTCGTAAAAACAGCGCCGCCTCCTCCATGTGATACGACCAGGCTGAAATCGGCGCGGCAGCTTGACAAGCTCGTGTGTGTTCTGTGTGTGTGTGTGTTAGTGTGTGTGTGTGTGTGAAGGAGAAGGTGCAGGGCAGAGCCATAAGTTTTAGCGGACACCACCGGCTCTTACAAACATGGAGGCCGCCGACGAGTTCATGAAGTACCGCTCCCCGCTGGTGTCCAGGTACGCCAGCAAGGAAATGGCCTTCAACTTCAGCGACAGGAAGAAATTCACAACCTGGAGGAAGCTGTGGATCTACCTGGCGAAGGCTGAGAAGGTTTGACGACACTTAGAGCCTCCGTAGCCTTTTGTGCCTTTTTATTTATATTGATATTCACACATGCACTTTTCTGTCTTATGTGTTTATGCACCAAAGTTTGCGACCTTCACAGAGTCCTATCAAGTTTCCAGCTCTAAATTTAGTTTTTAGGAGGGGGGGGGGGGGGGGTCTCAGCAGCACCTCAGAGCCGAGCTGTCTGCAGCCTGCAGGTCCCTGAAGCACACACGCTCCACTGTCTCTGCTTCTTGTACAATAAAAACAGCCTCAGGCCAAGGGGAGCTGTTGTTTCATTACAATATTTAAAGCTAAATAAATTCTTTATCACTATGAGAGCTTTTGGGTTCATAGATAAATCAGCTGAATCAGTGTTGATACAATAAAATCAGGCTTTTTACCCATAGATTTTCATTTATGAATGTGGAGAGTTTGTGCTTGAAAAATGACATCATCAAGATAGTTGTTTATTAATCTTCTGTTGATCGACTAATCCATCAATCGACTGATCGATTTAGCTCTTATGCACATAAAATGTTCATCAAAATGGCTCCTGATCTGAAGTTATAGTGTTTACACTATGATAACACGGTGCAGCAAACCTTAAACCTTTTCTCTTTTTGTAGCTTTTGTAGCTTTCAGTCTGATGTGTTTGGGATCTTCAGTGTGTGGCTGCACAGCAGAGTCTGCACTGAGCTCCCCCTCTGAAATAACGCAGCACTCATGACATTTAGCTCCCAAACTGAAGCGCTACTTGATCCCTGTAAGGTCCCCCGGCCCATGGTTTAACACAGGAGGGGGGGGGGTTTATCAATAAGACATGGAGTTTGTTTAATCAAGCAGAGATTCATCGTTACTGACGATTTCAGCAGATATCTTAACAAATCCTGCAGCTCTTATAATTCCCTGTCATATTAGAGTGCAGGAGGTGGGGGGGGGTGGTATGTGTTTTAACTGTTGACAGACCCTCTCTCACATGCATCACCTCACATGACATGTTACACACACACACACACACACACACTAATCGGAGCCGATCAGAGTCCGTCTCTTCTGCTTGTTCTTCGGGGGCCAGCTGTGCGTCAGGCCTGTTGCCGCCGCTCACTGGTTTGTGTGTGAAAATAGCACCTAGAGAATGTGGCGGTAACAGGAGACCGGCCCCTGGGACGCTTCTGTGTGTTTTGGCCTAAAAAACGAACTATATTTTTCTCCCCGTGAGAGAGATGAGGTTTGTTGTGTGCAGCCGTTATTTACACGGAACTGGCCTTCCTGTGTTTTTGACCTTTGACACCGCAGGTTTTCGGGTGCAGCTGTTTTCAGGGATTGGGACCGATTTCTCAATCAAGTCGTGTTCTGTCGTCCCACCACATGACTGCTCTCTCCCAATAGAGGAAACCCAAATCTAATCAGGACACAGAGCGTCTTCTCACGAGGACGGCACATGTCCGTCGAGACAGCTGAGAAGACGGAAGAGAAATCAACGGGGTGTTTGATCTGACTATCATTTCTTTTTAAGACAATTAATTGAAGTCATGGAGTCTTTCAAAAACATCTAATTTAGCTGAATCGTTACAGAACCGCCGACATTACAAGAGCGGAAATATCCTCTCTTACTTTTTATTTACCTGGACATTAGAGCCACATCCATCAGTCGATCAACAGGAAATGAATCGGCAACTATATTGATAATCATCATGATTTAATTGTGTATGTTGAAGTAAAAAGTCTAAGTATCGTCTTAGAGAAGTTTTCTGCTCGTCTTAATATTATAGCAAATGAGATGTTTTTAACAATCGATCAATCGAACTTGGGCTGTAGAAGATTGTGATGGTTTTATAGACCGAGTGAATAATCGAGGAAATAATCAGAATATTAAGTTGCAGCTTCACTGGAAATGAGAACATGACGTTGGATTATCTGAGCAGGTGCAGGTGTGATTATCTTAAGGTGGACATAATGATTCCTGTGTTATGAACTTTATACTTTACAAAATGTAAAATTAAATTGTAACTTCACAAATTCCCTTGTGGGCATTCTTCCTCTTTCCCACTGTGTCCATGTCTTCCTCCTCCTCCTCCTCCTCCTCCTCCTCCTCCTCAGGCTTTGGGTCTGCCCATCACGGACGCCCAGGTCCTGGAGATGGAGAGTCATGCAGACAGCATCGACTTCGCCATGGCGGCCGAAGAAGAGCGTAAGCTCAGGCACGATGTCATGGCTCACGTCCACACCTTCGCACACTGCTGCCCCACCGCCGCTCCCATCATCCACCTCGGAGCCACGTCCTGCTACGTCGGAGACAACACCGTAAGTGTGATGAATATTGAAAACGCAGCTACAGCCTGAATCGAGTGATCAAGTCTTCCTGATACAAAGTGATTGTTCGTGTAGTTTCTCAAGTACAAAGCGCTCGTCGTTAAAAGTTTTCATGTTCTCTAAAGTCGTCGTGTTTTTCCTCCTCAGGATCTGATTATGTTGCGTGATGGATTTGACGTCCTCTTGCCTAAGGTGAGGCTCAGCTGTTTTGCCGGGAAACACGCACACACCCATCCAGCGGTGCATCTGTGGAATCAGTGGGAACAGTAACTCTGTGTGTCTGTGCGCCTCAGCTGTTCAGTAACAAGTCAACAGTGTAGAAATAATCACCTCGTTTTTTCCTTTTGCAATGTTTTGTCACAAAACGACACGAACCAGGCGTGAGCTTCACGTGTGAGGGTCGTGTATGTCGTGTGTGTGTCGTGTGTGTGTCGTGGCGGTGTGTTGTGCAGTAACTCCAGCCTTTGCTTCGGTTTCCACAGTTGGCCAGAGTCATCGACAGACTGGCGAACTTTGCAGAGAAATACGCTGACCTCCCCACGCTTGGCTTCACACACTACCAGTGAGTCTGAACACAGCTGCACTTCCATGAGGGTCCACTCATCACATGCATCCTATTTGCTAAGTTTCCATGAGTCTTCATCTGTCTAACTCTCTCTCTCTCTCTCTCTCTCTCTCTCTCTCTCTCTCTCTCTCTCTCTCTCTCTCTCTCTCTCTCTCTCTCTCTCTCTCTCTCTCTCTCTCTCTCTCTCTCTCTCTCTCTCTCTCTCTCTCTCTCTCTCTCTCTCTCTCTCTCTCTCTCTCTCTCTCTCTCTCTCTCTCTCTCTCCCTCCCCAGGCCCGCCCAGTTGACCACGGTTGGGAAGCGAGCTTGTCTGTGGCTGCAGGACTTGGCCATGGACATGAGGAACCTGCAGAGAGCCCGTGATGATCTACGTTTCAGGGGGGTCAAGGGCACGACTGGGACCCAGGCCAGCTTCCTGCAGCTCTTTCAGGGGGACCATGACAAGGTAGAAATCATCATCTGGTGGAGACGATGAGCAGTTTATGACTAGAATATAATCTACACGCCCCAACGTTTTATTTCCGTCGTGGAGGCCATTTGTATCTGACCTCTGGTGACCTTTAGAGGTCATTGACCTCAGCATTGCATTTTCCCAGCGTCTGCCCCGTCACTCTCCGTTATAACCATGTTTATCTTTGACAAAATCACAGTTTTGAGTTAGTGTTGTGTGTTCTATGGGATCAGATGACTAGCTAGCACATTAGCAAACATTGTGATCAGAAGCTAACATGCTAGTTTGGTCTGGACCACACTCATTAAGTCCAGGAGGCTCCGCCCTGTCCCAGAGGTCACGTCCTGGTTTATAGAAACATGGAGAAAGTTTCAACGAGCTTCCATTGTCAAGCTCCTCTGCTGCACTAATCAGTTTGGTTGAAATGAAGAATTAATTGATTTTTAGATCTATGTAATTGTACCAAGTATTTTGTTTCTTGCTCTCCTCCACCAGGTGGAAGAGCTTGACAGGATGGTGACGGAGATGGCCGGCTTCAAAAGGTCAGAAGCCTCCCGCTGTTTCCAGTGTTCAGTGTAAATGAGGGTGATGTTAACGAACAGGTTATTGAGACTTTGTCCCCGTCTTACTCAGAGCCTACCTGGTGACCGGCCAGACGTACAGCCGGAAGGTGGACGTAGACTGTTTGTCCACTCTGGCCAGTTTGGGAGCGACTGTTCACAAGGTAAAGAGCCACAGCAGCTGGAGACACGTGGACAAATGTCTCCACCTAGTGATGTTTTAGTGGAAGTTGGATCATCTGTACAGCTCTGTTCTGTTAATGGGACAGTTCAGGTCTTCTGTCGTGGGGTTGTATGAGGTCAGTCATATACAGTCGGTTCATCACCTGCAGTAGATTCTGCTCAGCTCGCTCCCAGGTAGGAGATCAGACTAGGAGCACCGTCAGACCAGCAGAGTGACGTGTTGCTGTGGGCGGGGCCACCAGAACAAACCTGTTTTAGACACTAAACAAAACAATCTGTTTCTAGATAAACCTCTGAAAATATTCTACATGAAGCTTCATTTAAACAGATGTTGGATTGTTTCGTGGGTGTTTTTTCTGGTGGCCCCGCCCACAGCAGACGGTGTTGATCAGTTGATCAGAATCTACTGCAGGTAATGTACCGACTGTATGCGACCACCTCACACCACGTCAAAAAACACCCGAACTGTCCCTTTCACTTGCTGAAGCTCGCTGCTGATGCGTCTGTCTGCTGCAGATCTGTACAGACATCCGCCTGCTCGCCAACCTGAAGGAGATTGAGGAGCCTTTTGAGAAAGAGCAGATCGGTACGTTCACTCACTACTGGACCTTTAAATACAATAGCAGTAAAATTATGTTTGAATACATCAGTCAGTTGCTGCTCACAGGAAACATCTGCTGATGTGAACCACAGCTTGCAAAATAAAGAAATATGATGGATATCAGCGTGACGTTCTCTTGTCCCTCCAGGTTCTAGTGCCATGCCCTACAAGAGGAACCCCATGCGTGCGGAGCGCTGCTGCAGCTTGGCGCGACACCTGGTGGCGCTGGTGGCCGACCCGCTGCAGACGGCCTCGGTGCAGTGGCTGGAGAGGACGCTGGACGACAGCGCTAACAGGTTAGCATCCCCGGACACGCATATGAATTGGAGATCTGCAGGCAAAATGAACACCCTGTTCAAAGTTAAGGTTTTATCCAAATGAAAGCCACTGGCTCATACAGATGTTTCCTTCTCCCTCTTCACACTCAACTTTCTGCAGGAGGATCTCGCTGCCCGAGTCCTTCCTCACCGCGGACATCATCCTCAGCACGCTGCAGAACATCACAGAGGGGCTGGTGGTCTACCCCAAAGTCATTGAGAGACACATCCGCCATGAGCTTCCCTTCATGGCCACAGAGAACATCATCATGGCCATGGTGAAGGCTGGAGGAAACAGACAGGTGGGAGGAGGAAGTACACCGAGAGAGACGGCGCTCAGCGAGCGAGCCGCCACTGACACAATAATAAATCAAGATCTGAGCGTTGAGCAACAACTCATTTATTCTGCTAGAGAGACAATTCACTGCCAGCGCTGACCAGAAACAATCCTGGACTTCCTTAATCAAGAGATAATGTCTTTTTTTCTCACCAATTACTTTCATTAAAAACCAACAAAGCCGACTCTCCTTCTGCTTTTGAGCTCGAAATGAGCGGTAACACTGTTGATGATGACACACCGCCGTCACCATTAGATCCTCACTGTCTCTAGAGATCACAGATCAGCTGCCAGTGTGTTCACTTCCACTTTCTGCGTAATCCTCCATCTGTGTGCTGCGTCTGTCCCTCAGGACTGCCACGAGAAGATCCGTGTTCTGTCGCAGGAGGCGGCGGCCGTGGTCAAACAGGAGGGCGGCGATAACGACCTTCTGGCCAGAGTCCAGAGAGACGCGTACTTCGCGCCCATCCTGGGGCAGCTGGACGCCCTGCTGGACCCCAAGACCTTTATAGGCCGTGCTCCACAGCAGGTGCGACGCCAACAGTCCCTCATCAGTTTGTTAAAACCTTTTTAGAAACGAATGACGTGTAATAAATATTTTTCTCTTCCCTCCTGCTGCTGCTGCGTCCTCTCACCTGTAGGTGTCCAGGTTCCTGTCTGAGGAGGTGCGCCCCCTGCTGGAGCCCTACAAGGCTAAGATGGATGTGAAGATTGAGCTCGAGCTCTAACACGCACCTGTCTTCATCGTGGTGTTGTTGCCGTGGTGATCGCTGCATTGTACCTCAATAAAGAACAATGGTTGAATTAATTTCTCTTCATCACGGTTTTCATTTCTGCCTGCAACATTTTATTGAAATAATACAAAAGATGATTCATATATTGTGGTAATGAATTATGTTAATAGTGTTCTTATCATCTTTATTGAAAGTCATGGGGCTTTTACAGCATGCATCATATAAAAATGCTAATTAAATACTCAGGTGAATTATTAATCCACCACTTTATTACTGCACATTTACCATTAACTCTTGCAATCATTAACAGATATTAAGGGCTGAGTTTCAGTTATTAAAGTTTAAGTACAATTCAAGCTCTTATTTTGGTCAAAGAGACGGAAGAGGAGAGGAAACCCACTGAGGAACTTGCACAAGAGGGTGTTAATCACAAGTCGTTAAACCTCTGACAGTGGATTTTATTGCTGGGCGTGTGCAGCGTCAGGACAAAGTGCAGCAGCGTCCCAGCTCACGTCCCGTTCTACTGTCTCTGTGATAGCGGTGAGGACGGAGTGACTTACGTTTCATGAAGTTCAAACAGAGATCTGTGTCTCGACCAGCATCAGAGTGAGTTACACGTCGTTCCTCTGAACAGTAAATATAGTTTATATTTTAATAATACACTTTTACAATTCTTATTATTTGCTTTCTCGGGGAGAAGTGGCTTTTATTTAATTTTTTATGTTTCCCTTCATATGAACCAAGCAGCAGCTGTTCTGCAACATGTGGCTGTGGGCTTTGCTCCCCGTCTGTCTGGCTGTCTTCGGCACTGGGGGCATTTGGACTGTGTGAGTATTCAGCTCCTTCCTGTCTTAATGTTTTCCTTCTGTTTGTATTTTTATTTTTTTTTCAAGATTTAATGTTTTATAAATCTCATTTCATGTCTTAAAACTGAACACGGGAAATGTTCTTTATTGAAAACTCTTCTGTTCTGAGTGTTTGTGGGGTAAATTAGGAAATGTCCACAACAGATAAAGTGATTACAATATCCTTCCTAATCTCCAACTGAAATGTGTAAGAAGCTTCTGTGGCTGTAAATCTGAAGGTGAACACCTTCCACATCTGTCACCATGAATAGTGATGGTTGTAGATAAATTTGTATATTTGGAAACCAGGTAAATACTTACTGAGAATCTAAAGGGAGGAGGTACAAGAGATGACACGCACGCTAAAATGATACTAGCTGCTGTCTGAAGTTGTTTTACAGTCTGAAGACAGACAGGACGTGTAAGTTTTTTCAGCTTCTCTGGTGCCAGTTTTCACTGTGGATCTTATACTGAACCACAAAACGACATTTCTGCTCCTCAGGAGTTTTTAATCATTTTAAAACTACAAACGAAACGACATTCATAGCCTTACATCCTCCCCAAGCTTAATGTCATGTTCCCCTCCGACAGTAATTATGTATACCTCATTAATAAGTTTGTAGTAGTAGTATACAATAAATTATCCTTTTTAAATGAGTGATCTGTTGCTAATTTTATTGCTGTTTCCTCATTTGTCCTGTTGTAATTGGATTCACAGGCTGACACACTGTCGGAAAATCAAAACAATGACAATAAGATAAGATGAAAACGTAACTGTGACAGACTCAGTCGCATATTTAAAGTAGAACAGTCCAGATGTACAAACACATGTCATTTATATTGTTATTATTATAAGACCTGATGAGTCTCTCTTCTTCTTAAAAAGTCTAATCTAATAATTAATCATACAAAGCTTTAATGTTTCCATACGAATTGTAAAATTACAAACTAACAAAATGTTGTTTAACCTTTATATATTTTGGGTGCGAGCAGACTGACAGTGCTTGTGCACTCAGTCGTGATACTGTCGTTTCTTCACAACAGGTTTGCTGTGGCTGTAACTAACGGATCAGTGAACCTCACAGAAGGAGTCCCTTACATCAGGTGGGTGTAAACCCTCTCTGTCCTGAGATGATGATGATGATGGTGATGATGATGATGATGATGAATACATACAGCAAAATGCCAAACCAGTTCAGTGATTAACAAATGAATGTCTGAATTCTCTCTCTCCTGTTAGCGAGTGCGGCACATACAACCCTCAGAGCTGCCTCTTCTCCCAGATCTGCAACATCTGCTCTGTTTTAGGTAAAGACACGATGATATATTTATACCAGTCCTCATTCACTGTTGTTCCTACGTTCCTACACTCTGTGCAGCATGTTCAACCTGCTTCACACTTAATTTAGAGCTACTATTATTCAAGGCTGCAGTGGTCAACCTGCTGTTTGAAGTCTTGGCCTGTTTTCTACATTTTATTTTGGTAGCACTTTACAACAAGACTTCCTTATAAAGGATTTTTAAATGGTTTATAATTAGGTTATTAATTCTTTGACAACACTTTATAAATCATAAATTAACTATTATAAACAAATTATAAGAGTTATATTCACACATTGGTGCAGGCTCACTGTTTGGCAAGATCAAGTTAATGCTTTCTACTAATTAATCTTACTAATGACTTACTACCGTTTATTACTGGTAAAAGGAGCTTATTGTAACTCGTTAATAAATGATGAATGTGTTTTACACTTTACAACAAGGCTCCTTTTCACCAGTTGTATCTGCATCCTGGATGCCTGCATGTATGAAAACTGTGTTATAACTTGTTTATATATTATAATATATAAATGTGTTTGCAGACCGACGTGCTCAAATTTCATTTCTCATTATCCCAACGTATAGAATTTAAAATTTTATCTTTCTTAAACTTTTTCTTTAACCATAATTCTAATGTCTAACGTCTTTGCCATTTCGCTCTGTCCGTCTCTCTCAGCCCTGTGGATTGTGCTGATCCGTTTCCAGCAGGTTAGGGACTATGGTAACCATGGAAACGCCAACACTGCCGGTATTGTTTTGGGATTCATCGCCTCTGTTGGGATCTCTGTCATCGGCAACTTCCAGGTAACCGCCTACAAAAATACCTAAATTAATAATAGAATAATAAAGAATGTTTGCTTATCTTTATTCTTTAATTTTATTTTTTATTTGAACTCAGAATGATTACTCTGTGCTCATTAACGTCTCCACTTCCCCTGCCTTCTCCACTTAGCAATCAGTTTTAATGGAAATTCACCTTTTGGGAGCTTTCCTGGCTTTCTTTGTTGGCCTGGCCTTCTTCTGGATACAGCTGTTTCTAACCTATAGGGCTCAGCCATCTCAGGACCGGTGCTGGGTCGGGCCTGTCAGGGCGACCGGCTGCATCCTCTCTACCATCCTGGTCATCGTTAGTATCCTTCTTTCTGTCTGCATTATAAGAGGTAAATATCAAATCCAAGCCAAGTTGATTCTTGTGAGCAAACGGGGATATGTTGTTGAATGGACTATTCATTCTCTGGACATATGTTTGTGTGATAATACCCCTGCGGCCCTGTCAGTAATCTTCATCAACATCATGTTCCAGCTTCATTTGAACTGTTTAACCTGGTTGTTATTAAAATCACAAATTATCTTTTGTTTCCACAATTTGTCCATTACATTAAGCCATTTATTTAAACCTTTATCCGCTACTATAGCTAGCTAGCTTTTAACAATTTATCAAAAGCCTACTGTTCTTTTTTTTTATTTATCCATCCATTACTTTAGCTGGTTTCAACTGGTTATCTATTAAGCTGTTTTAACATTGGTACTTTTAACATTATTTCAACCATTTATCCATTAGTTTTAGCCATTTCAACCTTTATCTGCTACTGTTTTCAAGCTAACTATACTTCTAGCTAACTGTTTCAACTGCATATTTTAAGATTTGTACTTGTAATATTAGCTAATCCATTACTTTTAGCTATTTCAAATTTAAAGTGCCACTGTTAGCAAACTATTTTAACCATTTATCCGTTACTTTTAGCCATTTCAACCTTTATCTGCTACTGTTTTCAAGCTAACTATTTAACAATTGCCTTTAGCAAACTATTTCAACTGTTTACATTATTTTAGCTGTTTTAAGCTAATTCATTATTGGCTGTTTCAAACTTAAACTGCTACTGTTAGCAAACTATTTTAACCGTTTATCCAGATTTTTTAGCTAACTATTTCAACTGTATATATTATTTTAGCAAGTTAAAAATGTATCTATTGCTTTTAACATGAGCCAACCATTTGAACCATTTATAGCCAACCTGTTGTGGGGTACACCTCCGGTTGGGAATCAGTGACACCGTAGTGTTTACAGTTTTAGAGTATAATCATTTGTTGAGAGGTAAATTCACCAGATCTTTATAATTGTCCACTGTGTTTTTGAGTTGAACACAGATCGTCAGTGCACAAATATTAATTTTAACAGCCTGTATATTACTCCAGACTCTTAGAAGGTGGTAGCCGTCATGACAATTTGTTTGCTTTAGTTTTTTCTTTTTTAAGTTTATTCAAATAACAGATTTAGCTATGTTGATGTGCAGTATCTGTTTTTAAAAATCCCTCCCCAGAAACAAGGCAGAGAGGTGCAAGAAGCTAAAAATACAAACATGTACGACATCACACATAAAAGTAATATACACCCAAACACAGCTAATGAAAATGTTAAAGAAACTCACATATTTTCTATGTTTTAATTTACTTTTTGCTTTGCTATGATGTGCATTTCTTTCGTTATTGTGCTCCTTGACCGCTTCCCCCTCCTTCAGTGGCCATTCTCGCCAAGACAGGCTATCGCTCTGGCGCTGCTGTGTGTGAATGGGCCTTGGTCATGTTGTTCTTCTGCCTGTTTGGCCTTTTTGCAGCTGAGTTCAGACACATCGACTGCCACCAGCTCACTGTCCAGAAACAAGCTTTGAGGGATGGCCGCAGCCCTGCATCAATAGAAGTGAATGGTTATGTTGCAAACGCACTCAGCTGAAGACACACACACACGTATAATGCATGTGTACATATTCAACTGCTGTGTACAGTACTGCTGCTTTAGTGTCTTTCGGTGATCAGGGGAGTTTCTAATATTGCTATTTATTATATTTATATTTGCCTTTTTGCAAGATTCAATAATAGATTTGTTTGAAAGCTGTATATTTGAATCTCTTTCTAAAAGCTGTGTTTGTTTCCTCATTAGTTTTTAAGTGTTAATAACATTTAGTACCTTTACCTTTTTGTATACTTTTGCTATTCCATAGTAAACACATACGGATAGTAGATAACATATAATCTATTATTTTTTTTAATAATTAATTGATTAATCATAAAAAGACCATAATCAAAAGCCAAAGAATGTATTAGACAAAAATAGCAGAAGTAGAGAAAAGCCTCAGAGGATTCATCGATCATCAGAACAGTTGCCAAATATTCACGACTCGAGCAATAAATCAATCAACTAATCATTTAGCTCTTGAAATAGTAGAAGCTGAATAAAACTGGACAGTTCTGAGCTTCTAAACCGTGTAGCAGTAACTCCATACTAACACATGGTGGCGCCATTCAACTGTCATTCACTCTGCAGCTATCATTCACAGTATGAACTCTATTCAAATGTTTCCCTTTTAAATTAATATTCCAGCTTCAATCTCGTGTAAAAATCATTCATGCATGTATTGTTATCTCCTCTGATATTTTTCTCCGAGTAAAATCCCCTTGACGCTTTCTCATGCATGGTATTTTTATACTCTGTATTATATATTTTTGCCTCCAAGTGTAAAATGAGCTCATGATCAGTGCCTAGACAGTGAATACCAGGAAAAGACTGGTGTTTCTCAGCCTCACTCTCCACCTGTCAGCTGGGCAACACAGCAGAGGAAGGGGAACAGAAAAGGAGGATGGAGATGTGAAGGAAATGTTGGGTTAGCAAGAGGAAGAAAAAAAAAGAAGTTTCTTTTATGACATAATGCATAATGAGAACTTTTTCAAGTGCTTTTATTTTGAAGCTCTTTGCAGTGAAAGCTTTGTGGTACAAAATTCATGTTATTACAGAGACTTTAGATCAGCTCTCACTATAGATCTTACCTGCACGCTGAAGATGCCTCTCGCATTAACCAGAAGCGACCAGCGGGGGCGCTGAGGAGCGACGCCGGCCGATGATCGTTTCACTGATGGGAAAATGCAGCTCTGGCTCCCTGCCAGCATGTTTTTGGAAGATGCCTCCAGTTTAGACAGAGGATTCAGCACAATTTGTCAGGGCTGTTTGAGATGGACAAAACAATGGAGCTCTCATAGCGACGCTGATAGTGGGAGAGGTCCTACTCTTGGCTCCGGCGCTCAAACTCTTTCTCTCATCCAAGTTGTGTGTTTATTTAAACATGCCGTCTTGGGGTCTGTTGGCATCGTCTCTGCTCGCACTTTGTGATCAAATTTTCACTTTTGTTAGTGTCTTACTCTGATGTCATTTAAAAAAATGTACTGGGGGCACGTAAGGAAGCTTGAGATGGGAATACTGGGCCCCCAGTGTCCCGCTATGTCCCGACAGCATTCTTTCACATACTCCATGCTGTGTGATCAGCAGAGGGGGGGGGGGGGGGGGGGGGGGGGGGGGGGGGGGGGGGGGGGGGGGGGGGGGGGGGGGGGGGGGGGGGGGGGGGGGGGAGGGGCTGGGGGGGGGGGGGGGGGAGGGGGGGGCGGGGGGGGGGGGGGGGGGGGGGGGGGGGGGGGGGGGGGGGGGGGGGGGGGGGGGGGGGGGGGGGGGGGGACAGGGATCAGACGGACAGCTCGGAATTCTATGGGAATTTCTCAAGTGCTGTTAGTTGCCAGTGTTCCTGCTGCAGACAAGCGCGCAGATCTTCTGCCCACACAAAGCTGTCTGGGCTCTCTGATGAACTTGTTTACTGCAGCTGACTGGCAACAACATCTTCAGCTCCCTCCAACGTGACAAAGTGACATTTTTCATTATTTTTAAAAAAAACCTGGAGGACTTGGTTCGTCCCACTTTGTAAAGAAAACCTCCTGAGCAGCTGAGTGACCGCAGCTGACCCCCCCCCCCCCCCCCCCCCTCAGAACGCTGTGGATATTTTACATCATTTTTAAAATGCACACAAATACACTTTTTTTTTTTAGTCGAGATGACAAAATGTTTTGAATTATACAGCAGCTCATGCAGAGGAATTCAGAGGGAGAGCTTTGGTGCCAAAATACCCTTAACCCTGCTGTTTTCATTAGTGAGTATAAAAGGCTCCTGATAAAGTAGTAAAACTCATAAAATCACCAGGAGCGTCACGCAAAGACCGGGAGGCCCCTTGATGTAAATGTCAGAAAAAGGTCTGGATCCTCTATTATAGAGTACGAGAACATGGTTTATGTGACACCCGCCTTGTTGCTTTTGACTTTGATTCAAGAAGGAGGTAATAGCAGCCGTGCTCTCTCGGCCCGTACTGTAATCTCTCCTAACACCTGCTCGAGCTCTCGTCTCTCTTATCCCCTCATAGCTCTTGAGCAGAAACAATAGCAAAGCTTTCCTATCATGCGGCGGTGCAGTCGCCTCCGAGTCCACTATCAGACATCGGAGCGGTCGCCTTCGGCCACTCGGTTTCTCTGTAACGGTGCGACCTGTCAGCTCTTATCATTGGAGAGCCAAATCCTGTGCATTCCACATGGAAAGGCCACTTTGTCCGCAAAGACAATTTGCCAAACTCGAAGGCTCAGAGAGGACGGGCGGGGAAGTGTTATAGCGACGAGGTGCAGGAGAGAGATGGGATTGTGCAGAAAGTGTGAGAGACAGTAAAGATGGGCTGAGTGATAGAGACAGAAGAGAGAGCGAAGGAGAAGAAGAAGAAGAAGAAGAAGAAGAAGAGTGGGCACCAGCAGCCGTGATCTCACCCTCCTCTCCTCTCCTTTGGCAGCGGCTTCCAGAAAGCTGCCCTTTTGCAGAAAAATGCCAAGCACACCGCATTCCACCAGCCACACAAAGGCCCTCCCTCGTCTCAGCTGCACAGGCACAATCAGACAAGGGATAATTATATAATTAGGCTGGCTGGTGCAGACAGGGACCCTCAGATGGTGTGTTGGTGTGTCATATTTACGTTATCGGACAATGAAGAGAGTCTGCCCTTATCAGAGGAGGCAGCAGAGTGTGTGGGGGGCTCCAGCTGTGGCATTTAGGGACAGATTGTCATGATAGAGAATAACGGGTCGATAGAATGACCTTCAGCCCGTGGCCCAGCTGAGATCAGGGCATGTATTGTGAGAGAGCTTTGGTGTGTGTGTGTGTGTGTGTGTGTGTTGGGGTCTTGTGTTATGTGTTGAGGAGGTGGGGATTTTTGGGGGGGGCTCCCACCACCAGATGATACATGACAGGGGTGAAAAACAGAAGCTGAAAGAAAGATGAAACTTAAGCAAACACTTTACAAACCACCACAGACATGAAAACACTGAGATACAGTGAAGTATTTATGTGTATTTGTATCGATAATACGATCCAGTACTTATCCATTACTTTTAGCTTCAACCACCAACCACAGTTTCAACCACCAAATATTTTACTTTTAGTCATTTTTCCATCACCCATTACTTTGTTTTTGCAGTTAGTTGCAATTACCTAATTTAGCTAATTTAGCTAGTTTAGGTAATTGCAACTTTTCTTTACCTTTTGTAATTCCAGCCATTTATCCGCATCTTTTTCACAAATAATCTATTAATTTAAGTTAGCTGTGTCAACCATTTAGCCTTACATAGCTAACTTCAATCCTTATTTATTACTTTATTTTTTTAGCTAACTAGCCAAATTCCAGCTGTACCGTTTGTGATTTCAACCTGTTTCAACCATTTATCCACAACTTTTTCACCAGTAATCTATTACTTTTAGTGATCTATTTCAACCATTTAGCCTTTACATAGCTAATAGCTCAACCATTTATCTGTACTTTTTAGCTAACTAATTGAGCAAATTTCAACTGCTCCTTTTGTAATTTCAACCATTTATCCGCAGTTTTTTCACCTTACTTTTAGCTAACTTAATAATTAGTCATTTCAATAATTTATTCACTCCTTTTAGCTTTTACAGCTTTTACTTTGTGTGTTGATCCATTTTGATCTATTTGAAGAGTCCGTGCATTACATTACTTTTAGGGAACTGTTCAGACACATGGTGGTTTGCAGGTGTTAGCACTGTAGACACTTCACAAATCTTTCCACACACGCCTCAGCTGCAGAAATGCCCTCGGTCGGGGACTCACTCTGCTAAATGACCACTGCAATTTACAGCTGGACAGATAAGACCACCTCTGCCCTCTCGTCAGGATCCGTGCTCCCAGACGAGAATCGAGCCAGTGTCCCTCTCAGTTGGCCACCACCCAACAATCTCCCCTCGCACCGTGGCCTTGGCTTTGGGTGTGTCTCCACTCGCACGGGACAGCACAGAATAGACTATTGTTGAGCGCACAAGACAGAGAGCCAGAAAGCCAGGGGAAGAAGGAGGGGTGGTGGTGGTGGTGGTGGTGGTGGTGGGGGGGGCTGGACATGGTGGGGGGAGAAGTTAGCTTTTAACGAGCGAGCGAAAAGCACATGGACAATGAGGCATGGCTCACCTCCCACTTGCATGCATGTGCACTGATGCAAAGCTTTGAGATCAACACGGAGCCCCAGATGCTCAAACATCAGCCATCTGATATTTCATAAAAAGCGTCACATCCAGAAGCTCACAGTGTAAAAACTGTGTGTAGAGCTTTCATGTTCACAGTGACGTATGTGAAGAGTCGTTTCGGAAATAAAGCTCGTTTGCTTTCTTGGCAGGAAGTAGATGTTCGCAGGATAAATACGAAGCTGCAGCCAGTTAACTCAGCTGAGCATTACAGTGGCAACCTCGATGAGACGAGACTGCTGAAGCCCGGGGAACAGTCCTGGATTAATGCCAAAAATGTTGAACTACTGAATAGCCCACCTTTAAGCTGTAGGGCCATCTGTTGCCCCCAAAACACCCTCAGCAATCCTCGTCCCGCTCATACACCAGAACCTCACATTCAAGAGTCACTCAGCTTAAACAAAACACTTTTTAAATCTTGTTTAACTTAAGTTTTTGTGAATTTCAAGGACGTTGTGAAAGGTTTTTTTTTTTTGTTGCATATTTTAACCTTGAATTTCCTTCCCTACCACGTTCGTTCTGATCGTTTTCAAAGCACAAAATAGATTTGTGTATTGATTTTTAGCTCCTGGGCAACCTTCCATTTTCTGGAGGATAGAAACTCAATCCTAGACGGCGCGCCTTAGAAAGAATAATGTGAAGCAAAAGCAATTTGAAGTTGATGAGCTAAAATGTGCAAAACGAGTACGTGGTTCCTTTAAAATTCTGTGTCCTTTTTACATTTCTGTCGCTTTCTTTCCTTCTTAGTTACACACATGCATAAATACAGCGATGCAGACCTGTGTGCAGAAAAACATATGAGAAACTGTGAAGAACTTCTTTGTCTCTCATAACCACAGGTGACTGTTTACCTTTAACACCAGCAAACAGTCATTAGCACTCACGAGGCTCCGATCGTCTGTCTCTCTGAGATTACTGCTTTTGACGACATGGAAAAAGCAGATCCTCGTACGGTAGAAAGTATCACTGTCATAGCAATGAAAACAACCCTCCTCAATTACAGATTCTCATCCGTCTAGTAGAAGATGTTCACATGTAACCCACCGCTGCTGAACTATATTTG